AAGTAGTCACTAAAACAGGCATTGGTTATTTATTTCACCTTATCATTTCTCATTGTAAATATACAAGATTTTTGCATATACCTTGTTTTTCAAAAAGCAAGCACAGAGAATTGTCCATGGTTCCGGTGTTCCATTAGAGCCAGTGAGTTTTCTATAAGAAAAAAGAGCATGAAGCATGACAGTACAATGGTGACAGTCAAACAGTATGATGGCAATTTTTATTATCAGAGAATATCCGTTGGCCCTAACAGAACCTGTACCATTGTGAACATATGTTTGTCTGACTGCTGACTTAATTATTTTGCTTGACTTTTTGAAGAATGGAAGGTCTTTTCTCCTTACCTTTGTGTTGACCTTGATACATTATGACAGTAAAGGTAATTTTTTTGTATGCAGATTCATATACCAAAATATTAACAACTGAAGGTTACTTATTCATACCAAACTTATTATCATTTTGTCATATAGGTTCCGTTTAAAACTAATAATAACACTGCTAATTTTTCAACAAAATTATACCCATCTTCTTGGTTAATAAGATAATTACCATTCAAAGATAAAGGAACAAGAATGTTTTGTAGGTCATAAATTTATTAATAAAATCAGTTTTCCATCAATATGATGATAAAGGTCAAAAGGCCAAAGCATAAATAATTTCATGAATGAAATCAAATTTTCTCTCACAATAAGTTTGGCGAACTTATAGATGCAGTTACTGAATAGCTTATCTTATAGTCTTGCTTACAAACAGAGATTGACATCAGAAATTGATGTTTCCAATAGACTCTATACAATCTGTTTTTGACATATTCTATCCTCTCAATCAGACAAATATAATTAAGGAAAGAATATTATTCTTAGATCTAAACCCTTTTCACTACTGAATTTATAGAATTGATTTGTCTTTCTTCCATGTATTTAGAACTCTTGAATGCCAATTTCAGAGCTTGTTATTTTACGTGATGCAGGCAACTAAATCTTCCAATGTGACCAGTTCAGACCAAGATTAGTCAGAACTTCTGTGATGTCATGATTATCATCTGCACAGTTAACTATTTATTTGAGCCGTGTCACGACAAAACCAACATAATGGGTTGGCGACCAGTATGGATCCAGACCAGCCTGCGCATTCGCGCAGTCTGATCAGGATCCATGCTGTTCGCTTACATACAATATAACAAGTATAGAAACTGATAGCGAACAGCATGGATCCTGATCAGACTGCGCGGATGCGCAGGCTGGTCTGGATCCATGCTAGTCGCAAACCCATTATGTTGGTTTTGTCGTGACGCGGCTCATTTAGTACATATTTTGAAATTGTCCCTAAAATTGATGAATGATTTTGTCCAGATTGAAAGATGCATAATTCCATTTAAGATATTTAGTGGGGTAAAGGTATCATTTATTTGTATAACATAAACACGGTCTGGCTGTTTATGCACCAAGAAATTGTAACCCCCCGGCTATCACATCCCTTGTAAATAGTTGGCTTTTTAACTATTGATTTGCCAGCCCAGTCCTGTTAGGACAGGTAAAGATGGTCAAATTTTTGCTAAATGCTCCAGCTTAGCATGGCTGTGTGAGGGACAGGGAAATGGGTTGATGATAGGTTGGTAGTTGGAAGCTCAGAAATTGGTAGTAACTCAGGTTAGTTATTGAGTAAAACTGGTTAGGTGGATTTTACCAAAATAAGTAAAACTCCGCTATCACCAACACAGTTCTATATGTGAGGGGGGTATAGGTTTACATGGTTTACATTAATTACCTGATATAATTTACTTGTGGGGTAGTCATTATTGCAGCTTGGGTGCAATTATTTATAAGCCATTTGCACTGAAAACTGAACTCTGTATTCACTAAAGTCAAAAGGTAATTTGTTAAGCACTTCGTCTTGTCACAAATTAATTAATTGTTTTATAAACATCACATTACATGCATGTCATTATTTGAATTTACAGCTATTCTAGTGCACAATGATAATTGACACGCTCTCTAGGGTATCGAGAGGATATCACGTTTTTCATTAATTTTCCACTTGAGGTCACGTTTAAACATTATTATGACAAATGATTAACTTCGTAAATTAGAATGGCAATAAATTCAAAAAGAAAATGATTTCTATTCAATATGCCTGGAATAAAAAAAAGATGAAAAAGAAGATCAGAGATTTTATCGAGAATTTGTAATTTGTTGCTAAAACTAGACTTAAAGGAAGCTTTCAGATCAGAAAAGCATGATTTTAATGTTTTTTCAATAGTTAAGCGTAGGTTCAATGGACAATAAAATTTCAGGCAATGTTTTTTTTAGACATTGCTGAACATTTTATTCTGCAATATCTGTGTGATTCAGAGACATTTCAGCCGCGTCACGACAAAACCAACATAATGGGTTTGCGACTAGCATGGATCCAGACCAGCATTTGCATTCCTGCAGTCTGATCAGGATCCATGCTGTTCACTTACAAACCCTATAACAAGTAGAAAAACTGACAGATTATAGCTAACAGCATGGATCCTGATCAGACAGCGCAGATATGCAGGCTGGTCTGGATCCATGCTGGTCGCAAACCCATAATGTTGGTTTTGTTGTGACACGGCTCATTTATATTTCTATAGAAACTCTTTTGATTTTATCGTTAATAATTGAAAGCGTGAAATTCAATAGTAAATTCTAAAATTTCTTCCATGCAAGTAAAAGATATGCTCCAGACTAAACTAGACTGCCCATGCTCAAGCCCTGTTGCTATGGAGTCAGTCTGTTACACCAAGGACACTCTTGACTTGTGATGGAGCTTTTGACTTCTTACTGTGAACCAACTAAATGTCTTGAAAGACAAAAAAACTTCCATTTTGAAAATAGGATGAACCCTATTTCAGCCTGTGAACTTGAAATTTTAAAAAGATAATTTTGTATGCCCATTTGAAAAAAACTTGCCATAATATGGGAAACGCTCATAGGGGCTTTTGATTCTTTTCATATGAAGAAGCTATCAAGCTGGAGAAGGTCTCAGGTGCCCTCAAAAATTAAGGTATTCATTGTGGGCATCTTAGGTCTTCGTCCACAAGTAGAATAGATACCATATATGGCTTAGCAGTGTCAGTAATACATACAACTAATCCAAAATATATTATTAGATGAAAAATATATATAGTTGCCTTGTGGAAGTAATGTCTTAAGTGGTTATTGTCACTATTATACAACTCATCATAGAAATTATTCATTCAGATATGGCTTTAAGCATTTTAATCATATAGCTATTATTATAAATAAACCAACAAATTTGTTATTGATTTATGAAAGGAAAACAAGTTATTTTGACTATTGGCAACTGTTTAATGATGTCAGAGTTCTTCATTTACTTATGCTAATTTGTCTGTTAGGTAATTACAGAATTAAGTGATTAGAATCTGAAGTGTTGAATAATAGGAGATGGGTTTTCTGATTGTTGACATCTGTGGTGTAACAGGTTGACTTGCAGATCCAGTTTGGACAAGATTATAATTATGCATGTGTGAGTGCTTAATTTTGTTTGTTTATCCTCTCTTAAGTTGAAGTGATGATGCATATATAGTCAAACCTGTGTTAAGGACCAGCTCTGAATAAATATCACCCTGCAAATAAAGGTAACTTTTTGATAAAATTTCATTTATAAAATGGAATCAAATAACCCCCAAATATGGACATTTTGCCGATAAAGACCATGTTTTGTCTCCCTCCCTTGGGTGGCCTTTTTTCAAAGGTTTGACTGTATTGACTATTGCTATTGCTATCACATAATATTATCTGAAATATCATGTCATGTTTTTTTATATACTGTAATTTGTTGCAATTGAGGCTGAGTCCCACAGGAAGATTGGTAACCGAATGTTGTGTGTCAATTAATAAAAACTTTACTTTCTTACTTATATAGTATATACATGCATACTCAGTTCTTAGAATTACAGATATTTACTTAAGTTTGCAGGATACTAATTTACATTTATATACATATTTTATATACAATATACACAGCTTCTATTAAGTTCCAAAAATTGGACTGCAAAATCCCTGAGAAAAGAAGTCACATTACATGTATTTTGGTAAAGAAGGAAAAACATTACATTTTACAAGTCACAACCTAAAATAATATAAAACTTTCTATTCTAATAAAGGTTTTAAAAAACTTGGAATTAACTATTATAGTAAACAAACGGTCATTATAAAACAAATAAACATTTTATATGTCAGTTTGGCAAAAACATGTTTCTAGAAAATAATGTTCACAGCTAAATTTGTGTTGAATGTACTCAGCCAGATTTTGGATATGGAATCATCAAATTGTTGTATTAAGTTACATTAACTATGAGGGGTAAAAAAAATATTTTTTCTAGCTTTTTGAAACATATTTTCACAAAGGTTCTAAGCTATTTGAGTATTTTAATTTTGATTTCTTTAATTGGAATGTGTTATTTGCATAGTGAATAGTGTTCCATTTAAGGAAACCAGTGTTCTTTAAATGATACATAATGATTATTCTCCAAGAAATAAGCCTGAGGGCCCTTATAATTACCAAAACGGGGGTGTTTATTTTGGTACAAAATTGGTAAAATACTTTTAAATAAAAAACAATAAAAACAACGTTTATTGTTTTTTGTGTTATTTTCTGCTGGGTTATATATAGTTTAAGCATCAGCTGCAATAAAATTTATGCTTAGTATTTATTAGAGAAATATGATACATCATAGGCTGTTAGACGAATTCTACAGCATGGCACTGTATAGCTGGAAAAATAAAAGTTCAATTCTCTTATTTCATTTCCCTTTGATATAAAATTCATAATCATACTCTTTATTCTGTAATTACAGAGAAAGGAAATAAAGTACAAAGTCTGTGATAAATAGATTTATTTCAATTCATGAACAGTGTTTTAGTATAGGAAGTCATCAAAATTATTGTTTTCGATTGTTGTAAAATGTATATAAATTAATGTAAATTTTTACAAACCCTGATAAATATTACACAGCAGATTTTTCTATATTTTTTCGACTCACAATGTCAAATTTCATGGACCAGTACAACAAAACATTCTTTTTGTATGTTCATATATTATTAGGAAATGAGTGCTCTACCCTTTTAGGCGAGCATCGTATGTTCTTAATCCATCGTTACTGTACCGAAGATCCTGCATTTCTATACAACTGTTACTGTCATTTTGTTGTAGAAACTGCTGTCGGCGTACGCCAAGAGTATATATTCGGCTCATAAGGACTCCATTGTCAAAAACTCCGGTTTCTCTGTTCGGCTTTTTGCAGCAAATCAGGTAAATGACCTCTCGTCGGAATTTAGAACCGCTGAGTATATATAGTACCATATTCACGGCAGCGTTCATCTCCCATAAACCATTTAACATCGGTCCCCAAAATCCTTTTAAGTGCGCCAGCTCTTCTGCATTTAAATGCTTAAATAAATATGGATCTATGATAGAAAAGATGTAGATTGGTCCCACAGTTAACGTAAAGACTACGTTCACTAGCACTAGGATCAGAGAGACAGATAAGTGTCTCGTTACTTTAGATTTCGTTAAATGTTTCCGTTGTGCACGAGAAACTGCAAGCTGGCGGATAATGATATAATTTCCTATTGAAATGAATATAAATGGAATCGCAAAGCACAAGCAAAAATCAATCCAAGGCAATGCGTACATACCAAAGTTCTGGTACTTGATCGATACCCAAGCACATACATTGTTGTATGTGTGTCCCATTCCTAAGAGAAAATGTACATTGACAGCATACAGTATTACCCATGTCACGATGATAACGATGAACGTGATTCTAGTTGTACAAGAGGATCGAACCCAATATGGAAATTTGACACTAACGGCTTTCTCGATGGTGACGGCTGCCAGTAACCACGAAGACGTACTTGAACTAGAATAGTGCATAAATGTTTGCAGTTTGCACGCAAAAGTACCATGCTCTCGAATAATTACTTTAAACATCACTTCGATCCAGTCACAAAATGGCCCGAAAATAAGTATGACAATGTCGGAAACTGCCAAGGCTGTCAGATAGATTGATGTCGATGAACGTCTGTTTCGCTTATTTGTCAGGATAATAATTGTCACTCCATTACCTATTAGTCCAATCACAGTTATTACAATCTTATAGATTTTCTCCACAATGAATGTTGATATGAATTCCTGTTCATCAGATTGTGTGACTGGTGAAACAAATTCCATACTCTGAGTGGTGAAATTATCCATCTTACGTATTTCCTTTTTTGGTTCACAAAAATAAAATCCTGTCAGTGTTTTAGTTCTTTGAAAAATCTTAGAATGTTTTAATATATATTTTCTTTGGAACAATTGAAATTATTTTCATTTCTTAACATCCAAAATGAAGTCAATTATAAACTTACAGAAAAGAAATTCAACTTCTTTTAAGCATTTTTTTGTTTCCATTGTGCTTATCTTAAGCAAAGTATTCAATTGTCATATATATATATTTCTTCAACATAAGCTAATCCTTCGTTTTGTTTTGTTGTCAAGTAAAATGTTTTTTAGAATTTTTTTTCACAAAATCTTTCTTTATAATTCAGCTATTTGATAGAAAAAATATATCTCTGTTGATGAAGTCAGTTCTGATTCAGGATTGTACAAACGTAGATCTTATATCTTATAACTTTCACAAAATTTGGAGAAGAAAAGAAATTCTATTCTAAATATGATAACATATATATAATCACACCAGTTATCCAATTGCCTATCTCTCTCTTAAGTAACGCCTTAAGTAAGACTTGGAGAATTCTAGTGACGGCACTATTGGTAAATTACGATGAACTAAACATCTGATTTATGTCCAATCAAATGCCCATCAGTTTATTGGTTCCCGAGCTTAATTGGTTCTAAAGATATTGTTATTTTACGGCAGCGTTTATAGATTAGAAAGTGACAATGTAAAAGCTTCACAAACTGTCCTCCGATACTGATTAAAGCAATAATCGTGGAGATAATTAGCCGAGCCCTCTTTATGTTAATGCACTGCCCCCTGGTGGCCAGAATAATCAGAGTTTATTACAATAAAAGTATTCAGTGTTTATGTTGTGACTAAAAGCAGTAGATGAAATCTGCGATTTTTATGTAATTTTGCTGTTTTTAATGCATCCAAGGGATCACTTTTTTATCCAGATATTTGTACAGCTTTGATGATGTAAAGGGTATTGAGCAATCTAGTAGAAAATATATATTTAGGTATTTTATTGACTTCTGGTCACAATTTTTGATTACAATTTTAATAAAATTATATATTCTGTTGAATTAACAATTTGTAATTTTTTCCTGAGATTGATTAATCTGAGATGTATTCTGTTAATTGTTAGAATCTAAATATTTGTTTATAATTGTAGCCTTGTTTTCAATACATCCACAATGGACTTTGAATAACCTGGCTGCATACGGCATTGATATGACTGTATGTAAAGTACTATTTCGGCACTCTGAAGTCGTGGGTTCAAATTTTTTTTGATGCAAGCATTATACTTTTGAAATTAAAAAATTTACTTCTCATAACATTTCCAGTATAATGGTTTAACAACTTATTATTATCACGTTTTTCATGTCTAAATATTAGAAGCAAAAATTATTTATTCAAGGTTAATTAGTATATGGCTGAAAAAACAGCACAAAAACACGACCCTAGCTAAAAGATCGTGACATAAACTGGAGATGTCTAATGACTTACTGCTTTTCTTTTTTACAATATTTGAGCCGCGTCACGACAAAACCAACATAGTGGGTTTGCGACCAGCATGGATCCAGACCAGCCTGCGTATCCGCGCAGTCTGATCAGGATCCATGCTGTTTGCTTACAGACCATACAACAAGTAAAGAAACTGATAGGGAACAGCATGGATCCTGATCAGACTGCGCCGATGCGCAGGCTGGTCGGGATCCATGCTGGTCGCAAAACCATTATGTTGGTTTTGTCATGACGCGGCTCATTTATTTATTATCCATAGACATGACATAATGTTTATCCTTGAGAAAAAACTGTTTTTAACCTTTGCTTTGTTGTTGCTGCTGATACCACTGTTGTTGCTATTTTTTATTCTTATGAGGGATGGGTAGTGAAAATGATCTGCTACCAAAAGTAAATGAATATATTTTACATTAAGGTCCTAAAAACCATTTCTGTTAATAATAGAATATAAGAATTTCAAATTCATATATTCTGCATATGGAGACTAGACCAATATCTGCATTTGCAAATTACCCAACCCCCCCTCCCCCTCCTCCAAACTACAGAAAGTTCAAAGTTAGTTCAAGTGGTTTAAATGGAAGCTCCATTTACATCGATCACCATCAAAGGGATAAGGGATTTAAGCATTTGTTAAATTGTTCTGTTGTCACTGCAAAGGAAAAAGTTTCAGTTGTAAAATAAAGTATATTGAAAATGGAAAAATTACTTAAAGGCATATAATTACTTCATTATGCCTCAGAAATGAATAATTCTTTCTGGTTCAGAAGTGGCAAACATGCTGGGTGCCTTACAGATGATCCTGTGTGGCAGTGTACTGTAATGCCCGGCTGGGGGTGGGTGGGGGTCCGGGAGCTGCATTTAATGTATAGCTCTTCCTTATTGATCTTTTCTTTCATATTCATATTTCGTATTTTAAGATTGGATACAAGGCATGTAAGATGCTTAACCTTGGTAGAAAGAAGTGTGAAAGATGTGAAATAATTTAAAATGACCAATTTAGTGATATTTTGTAGTGTTAACTAATTGTTATAATTGCCAAATAACAGTAGAAACAAAAGAATGACCTGCAAATTCTTTTTCAGAAACTGTACCTGGACACGAAAAGAAAAAAAGTTTTTATTTCACAAACATTTAATTTTGGCTTCGAAACGCTGTTATACGTTAAAAGCTTTCATTCATGAAAATGTATGAAATTGGGACATTTCAATACAGAAAGGCCAATCATCAAATTAACCTAGATTAAAATTACTAGTGAACCAAACTCGGGACTGGTTCTGCAATTGTTATAATAACGGTCTTTACTATAAAAGGTCTTCATTAACTGGCATTGATTGAAACTGTAATACATCATACAAATCACACCGTCTTACAAATCACACGGGAAGAAAAACGTATTGATAAAAATTGACATTTCATACTTACTTTTTCACTTGCCTGGATCACCCTTATGTCCTGCATCATTAACATGTATTTTATGAATCATCCTGTTTTATAATAGTATATTAATAAGTAATGAAGATATCACATAAAATATCATTTTCAGCTTAATTAAAGTGACCTGTATAAGCAAGTTTGAGTATAAAGCTAATTTTCTTTTATTGAACCAGGGATGATCCAGAATAACTTGATATTTGTCTTTAATTCTCATAAATTTCATGTTTTTTTAGTCCCCTACCGGAGGAGACTTTAGGTTTACCTTCCGTCCGTCTGTCTGTCAGTCCGTCTATCAGTCCGTCCACAAAACTGGATCCTGCGATAACGCAAAAAGTACTGAAAATATTTTTATGAAACTTGATTATTGGGTAAATGGCAGTAAGAAGATTTAATGCACATCTTTTTCTTTTCTTCCTATGTTGAAAATTCTGGTTGCTATGGCAAAAAATAGACTGAAAATTTGGCAAATTTTACACATAATTAAACTGGATCCAGTGATAACTCAAAAAGTACTGAAAATATTTTCATGAAACTTGAAATATGGGTAGATATGACAGTCTGGAAATTGCACATCTTTTTCTTTTCTTCCTATGTTGAAAATTCTGGTTTCAACAAATAGACTGAATTTCAAGATTTCTTATTTGAATTTTTACGCTTTTTCACTAGAAGTTCTTTATTTCTTAAGGTGTTTACTTCAAACTTTAAATATAAGTTTCTGGTCATCAACCACATTATATGTGACAAGGTTTTCATCTCTGGCACAAAAATTATCAGAATTACCTCCCTTGAGCTTAGAATTTTTATGAAAATAATGTTAGCTTTTTTAAATAACTTCTTTATTTCTTAGTGTATCTACTTCAAAATTCATATATATGTTTCTTATTATCACTCAACATTTATGAGAAGGTTAAATACTCTAGCAAGACTATTTCTAGAATTATGTCCCCCCCCCCCTGAACTTAGATTTTGTTCGAGAAATTGGTATTTTTTACTTCTTCATTCCTTAATTCCTTATAGGCTTTACTTTAAAATCCCACATCATGATAATATGACAAGGTTTATAAATCTAGATCCATATTTTCAGAATTATCTCCTCCTTTCAATTTTTCTTATCCATTCTTAAACTTTCTTATTTCTTCATGGAATTTCTACAAATTCATTATCTGAACACCTTCATTATATTTTTGTTTTTAATTTTCATCTTTGTTACTTACTATACATTATAGTTAATGCTATATTTGAAAATTGTTATTTTTTTAACTTATCTTCTTTGTGACTATAAATGGTATCTTTAAAGTTAAAGTAAAACTGACATCAATGTTCATAAATCTAGCATGACTTTATTTAAAGAGTTATCTCCTCTTTAAGAATTTTGTATTAAAATATGTTACATTTTGGTAACAGGGATGTTTAAAGTAATAACTTAAGAGTCTCCTAAAGCCAGTCTGTTCATAAATACTGTTTCCTGTGATCACTTTTAAAGATTTTTTCCAACAAATTTACTTAAAATAGAGAAAAGTTGAATTATTAGTTATACTTACTCATCCAGAGAAACTTGGACCTTTTGATTATCTGTTGTATAAACATTATTTCCTTACTAGGCACATTACTATGATATAGACAAACTTAGAAATCAAAAGATTTAAGTTCATTTATGTCATACATTCACTGGTAAAATTGAATGGCCAATGGCCCATCAGAATATTTCTTGGGTTCTAACCAGTAGGGGTCTTATGGATTGCTTGCAATTCTATGATAATTACTTGTTTCATAAAAGATATACCTGCTAAAGGATGTTTCAACTTTTCAATTGCAAACTATTCAATTGCAAAAGGTTATTTATTTCACAGAAACTAGTTACGTCTCAGGTCACCTTAAATAACCTTGGAAACGCCACGGCGGGGCAGCTCCAAAAAAGCTATATAACATTCTAATTCTATAATGCACCAAAGTGCCTGATACAAAATACATGTATATGTGTAGCTTTGTTTTAATATGTATCCAAAACTTATTTTTATAATGATTGTCAATGCTTATGACCTTGTGACAACTTACCAACTGCGCCAAATGCACGTTACTATGTTTTCTTAGTTATGCATGTGGTGGCCATAATGTGTTTAGTTGTTATATTTCTTGTTTCCTTGTAAAGAGGATATAATGCACATTTTTATAGTTGTTATCTATTTAACTTTTAATAAATATTATTGAATTTATGGCTTAATTCCGGATATTTCTGGATCATCTCTGTAACAACTTAATGTTTGTAAGTGTTTTTAATTAAAGCCATAAAGGTCAAGGATACCTCGTTATATCTCATGCCGGAATCTCACTTATTTCCGGATGTAGCGCTGTTACATAATGTCCTGTGAAGTAATGGAGAAGTTAAATAACATCCACAATTAGATCACTTTTAAAATGAGTTTATACCAGTATTAACCTTTTATCTGAGTGAATATCAATATTGTATAATGTCTCGCTTAAATGGATGCTCTTTCATTTGAACAACTTTCATTATCGTTGTGTTTTCTGATATATACAGGTCAATGTGTACAAAGTCCATGCATAATGAATTTTGTTATGACATGCTTGTTTAAGTTTGTTTGGCTTTAATGCCAATTTTAACACATATTTGGTCATATTGCAGTTATTCAGCCACCTTAAATCGGCTTCCTGGATAATTAAAACATGCATATTACCAATTTCTTTTCAAGTGACAGACTACTTGTCTTGATTGATTTCTGAATTAGCATCAAGTGACAAAATTTATTGACCATTCCACTCATGTCCAAGATCCATACAAATGTGATATAACATAGAAATTACGCCTTGTGAGAGGATCAAACTGGCTGCTTCTGGGTAAAATGCTGCTGGTATTTTAAGGTTAAGGTGTCTGCTGCTAAATACAGGCATCATACGTTCCAGCCATACTTGAGTCACAACTTTGTTTCGTCATAGTTGACACAAAAACAGTTTAGTTTCAGGAAATAAATTTGACAGTTGTTCAGATGAGCTACAAGGTATTTTTACATTCAGATTTGGATAGATAATATTTGATCTATTTGATAAATTAGGAAGAAAAATTGTATTATAAGGAACTGCTACTAAGTCTGAGATAATAATGCATAGGGGTGGCTGGTATTGCAAAGAATAATAAGTTATATCTTGGACATTTTTCAAGATTTTATTGTCAAATAGAAAGGAAAATAAAGCTGTATCTGCTGCATCTATGACTTCAAAAAATAAAATACTGATAAAGTGTTCTACAGTCTCAGTGCCACCCATATGGGTTTCATCTGGTGGCTAGGAAATATCACACATAAGATCTTGACACATAACCATAATCGTAAATGGAATCAATATGACAATCATGTTGCATTTTTATGTGCACTTCAAAGGACTGGGTGGTGGGGGATATACAGATTTGCTCATGTCTGTCCCTCACACTGTCACACTGTCTGTAAACAGATCGACAAATTAATGGATTATGGAGGCATATTATAAGAATCTTACCGGGCCTCCAGTACTGACTGGAATATCTAGCTGGAGGGTTTCTGTTTACAGTGGTAACAAGGCTCTGCAGAGTTTCCACTAAAATGTTGCCCAAGAGCTAGATATTCCGGTCTGTATTGGCAGCCAGTGTTTGATTCTTTTTCTTGCATATTACATATCAATTATTTTCAAAACATGAAATTAAGAAAACTGATATTCTCATTACGTACTTTTTTCTTATAGTAGCGTATGAACTTACAACATCATTAGTAATGGTAAAATGACGTCATCCTAAGAACGCAATTCCTTCTAAGAAGGAGCACGGCAATGACATCATTAACCCATTACCCCATGAGCATTTTGTGAAAAATGGCTGTTTTAATTGAAAAGGCTCCCATTACAACTTCAAATTGCTATAAAACTATAAAAACTGCTTCAATGCTAATCAAACTTGGCGCAAATGTTGACTGGACCAATGCCTTTGTAACAACATGCTCAGGCTTAAATTTCTAGCCACAATGGCAACGAGGGGACATCTCAAAATTGCCAAAAATCACTATTTTGTGTTGATTTTTTCCATTAAAATTGATTTCAAAGTGCTGCAACGTCTCAATGGATTGAGATAGAGTCCAATGCTTTTCAGCGTTGATTACACGTTACCTTATGATCAATCTGGGGTCATTTTTAGCCTCTCAAAATTTTCTTGGCGATAAGGGGGACTGCCGCCCCCCTTCAAACCCCCCAAACAGAAGGGGGGCACATCCCCCTTCTGGCAACCCCCTGATGTATCTTTTGGCTGGGGGGGCCGCGCCGAAAAAGTGGTCACTTTTTTAAACAACATTTCTCAAACATAAACAAGTGTTGGGGGCTTAAATAAGTCATTTTTTCCCCATTTGAGGCGACTAAAAGGGGGGGGGGGGTGAAAAAGGCGTAGAAAAGCGTATATATCTGGTAATGGGTTAAACACTTTTACTGCTATAGGGACGGCATATGCCTTCCCTATTATTTTCGGCTTATTTGCCCTATGGACGGCTTTTGCAGTTTCTATAATAATAATAATAATTATGATAATTATAATAATAATAAATATACAGATAATTATACCATCGACAATAATTATTATATACTAGCAGATTTCGAAACATATATAATTATTATAGTATTAATAACAAATAATAATAATTATATTTATTATGCCCCCATTTTGAAAAAAAGGGGGTATATTGCTTTGCACTTGTCGGTCCGTCGGTCCGTCGGTCCGTAGACCAAATGGTTTCCGAGTGATAACTAAAGAACCCTTAGGCCTAGGAACTTCAAACTTGGTATGGTGATTGGTCATGACCAGTAGATGACCCCTATTGATTTTGGGGTCAAGGGGTCAAAGGTCAAGGTCACATTGACCTTGAAAGCAAAAACGGTTTCCGATCAATAACTAAAGAACCTTAAGGCCTAGGAACTTCAAACTTGGTATGGTGATTGGTCATGACCAGTAGATGACCCCTATTGATTTTGGGGTCAAGGGGTCAAAGGTCAAGGTCACATTGACCTTAAAAGCAAAAACGGTTTCCGATCAATAACTAAAGAACCTTAAGGCCTAGGAACTTCAAACTTGGTATGGTGATTGGTCATGATCAGTAGATGACCCCTATTGATTTTGGGGTCAAGGGGTCAAAGGTCAAGGTCACATTGACCTTGTAGGTAAAAACGGTTTCCGATCAATACCTAAAGAACCTTAAGGCTTAGGAACATTAAACTTGGTATGGTGATTGGTCATGATCAGTAGATGACCCCTATTGATTTTGGGGTCAAGGGGTCAAAGGTCAAGGTCACATTGACCTTGTAGGTAAAAACGGTTTCCGATCAATAACTAAAGAACCTTAAGGCCTAGGAACTTCAAACTTGGTATGGTGATTGGTCATGATCAGTAGATGACCCGTATAGATTTTGGGGTCAAGGGGTCAAAGGTAAAGGTCACATTGACCTTTTAATTAAAAACGGTTTCTGATCAATAACAAAAGAACCCTTAGGCCTAGGAACTTCAAATTTGGTATGGTGATTGGTTATGACCAATCAGATGACCCCTATTGATTTTGGCGTTAAGGGGTCAAAGGTCAAGGTCACATTGACCTTGTAGGTAAAAACGGTTTCCGATCAATAATGAAAGAACCCTTAGGCCTAGGGACTTCAAACTTGAGATGGTGATTGGTCATGATCAGTAGATGACCCCTATTGATTTTGGGGTCTAGGGGTCAAAGGTCAAGGTCACATTGACCTTGTAGGTAAAAATGCTTTCGGATCAATAACTTAAGAACCCTTATGCCTAGGAACTTCAAACTTGGTATGGTGATTGGTCATGACCAGCAGATGACCTATTGATTTTGGGGTCAAGGGGTCAAAGGTCAAGGTCACATTGACCTTTTAGGTAAAAACGGTTTCCGATCAATGAAATTAAAACGCTTAGGCCTAGGAACTTCAAACTTTGTGTGATGATTGGTCATGACCAGCAGATGACCCCTATTGAGTTTTGGGTCAAGGGGTCAAAGGTCAAGGTCATGAGTGAAAACTAAAGAACGCTTAGGCCTAGGAACTTCAAACTTGGTATGGTGATTTGTCATGACCAGCAGATTACTCCTATTGATTTTGGGATCAAGGGGTCAAAGGTCAAGGTCACAATGACCTTGTAAGTAAAAACGGTTTCTGATCAATAACTAAAGAACGCTTCGGCCTAGAAACTTCAAACTTGGCATGGTGATTGGTCATGACCAGCAGATGACCCCTATTGATTTTGGGGTCAAAGGTCAAGGTCACATTGACCTTGTATGTTAAAACGGTTTCCGATCAATAATAAGAGAACCCTTAGGCCTAAGAACTTCAAACTTGGCATGGTGATTGGTCATGACCAGCAGATGACCCCTATTGATTTTGGGGTCAAGGGGTCAAAGGTCAAGGTCACATTGACCTTGTAGGTAAAAACGGTTTCTGATCAATTTGCTAAAAACGCCTAGGCCTAGGAACTTCAAACTTTGTATGATGATTGGTCGTGACCAGCAGATGACCCCTATTGAGTTTTGGGTCAAGGGGTCAAAGGTCAAGGTCATGACCAGTAGATACTTTATAACCCTTATTAATTGTTTGATCACTGGGTCAGACGTCATGCATAATAACCTTATCACATGACTAATTGGCTGCTTATAGGGGGCATACATGTTTTACAAACATATCTTGTTAATAATATAGTAATTTCTTAGAAAACCTTCTGGCAAATAGGTGATAAATAAATAAATAATCCTCTAGCAGCAAAAGCTGGTTAAAACATGTGACTTGTCTTACATAGGGGGTGTAAGACAGGGTTTTTTAGCACTGGCGTAAACGGTAGATAAATTCCTGTCTGACATGCATGTCTTATGGACACATTTCTTTATAGTATCTGCCTGCATCAAACTTTTTGTCTGTCTCAAATCCAACAGTGTATTTTTATCTGCAATATTGTCATCTTATATTAGAATAGTTGTTAATTGTTACAATATAAATTTATTCATAAAGCTTGATAGGAAGTCAATAAAATGTATTTCTGTCCCAGTTCTGAAGAAAAAAATGCTTGAAACCATGCCTAATGAAGAATAATTCACGTATTTCTGGGAGAAGTACATTTTTTACAAAGGCAAAGAAGAACAATTTAAACTAGCAAAGACAATTTTCTTAAAACTTTCTCTGATTAACGGAATTATGATTGAAACAAAACAGTTTTTATTCTGCCTAAAAACCATAGCAAGCTCTTGTGAATTGAGGTCATGAGGTTAAGAGGTCAAGGTCATTTTATACTTACTTGAGTAAATTTGTTTGATACTCTGTAATTTGCAGATTTTCAGCAAATACAGAATCTGTTCTTGTACATTAAATTACATTGAATATTCCACTATTATTTAAGGTCTTGCTGGTATGCTGAAATATTTTATGGACAACAAGAGAGAACCAGCAGGTTCGAAACTCGGCTACCTTATAACCCTCGGGCAAGCGAGGAACAAGATACAAGCCGAGGCTGAGGCTCGAGCCTTGGCCATGGAAGGTATTCAGCTTTTGACTATAGGGATTTCACCAGGAGTGTCAGAGAGTGAGCTCATCAGTTACCAGGTAAGTTGGGAATATTTTTCCCTTAATAGCTGCTGAATTTCTATAATATATTTGTCAACCTTTCAGGTTTGGAACTGTCCATTATCTATTTTAGGGATGATAATCAAGATAAAAATTTTAATTTGATCTAGTTGGAATATTAATCTGTTAAGGTCAAAAAGGCCTTTTTATAGAAACATCTTGATCTGGACCTAACCGTATTTGACATACTACTTTCACCACATATAGTTTCCAAGGTTATTTTAGATAATAGCCAGGGCAGTTTCGATAGGGCAGGGATGGTGATGGATTTTTGTGATATATTTGTATACAATTATTGGCTAATTAGTGAGGATTAGATTTCAAAAGGCACATATTACTGCTGAGTATGATTTTTTCTGGTAAGATCTATCAGAGCTACTAATTTTAGTAATAGAGCAAGATACTCTAATTATAAGTTAGTATGAACTTTTATATTTACCACTCCAAATTTAAACTATGTACGAAGGTTGTCCAAAAAATTGGTGCACTGCAGTTATTGTCGTGAGAGTTATTGATAGAAAAACATTAATTATATATCACTTGAAGAGGAAATATATCTCAAATAAGGAAAAAAAAAGAAAAAAACATGTAACATGTATGTCGTGAAAACAAATCGTCATTCAGTTACCTTGGTAACGTAATACCGGCGCACAACAAAAAATTGGGTTTGTTCATTACTTTGATGCATCACGGTACTCTGTAAACACTACATATTAACGTTAAAGTTCAGGAGAAAGTGTGTGAACGTATTCCTAACATCACTAGAAAATATGACGTCATTTGCCCTATTGTAATAGTTGTAAACAAACATTTATGTGTGATCGTCAATACTGTAATTACGTGAAAATGTAAGTCGCTAAACGTCTGGAAATACGGACGATCATTAAATGTGGTGCAAATATTGGCAAAACACCAACAGATACCTACAAAGAACTTAAAAGGACAAGCGGGACAAGTTCAGTGTCACGAAGGCTGGTTTTTAAATAGCACAAACGCTCTGTAGAAGGGAGAAAGAGAGTCAGTAGACGATGACAACCAGTCAGGCAGACGTCCATCCGTAATGCAGGCGCATTTGACAAGGGTTGTCCAATATATTCCTGCACTGGCAGGGTTCGTACAGTCTTAAAAAGTGCTTAAATTTGAGTCTCTTTCTTAAAAAGTGCTTAAAAATGAAAAAAGTGCTTAAAAGTCCTTGAATTTGATTACTCTCTTGAAAAGAGCTTTAAAAGTGCTGAAATTTGCTAAAAATGTGCTTGAAAATGTTTGAATCACAGAATGACATAGTTTTGATAAAAATCAACGCTTAACAAAATAAAAAAAAGGATCCAATTTTGTATCAAAATCAATGAAATTTTTACTCAAGGTAGACAAATTGCAGTTCTTTTGAACTAATCTGTATTTAATGAACCATTTGTTGTTCTTCTATAATGTCTGAAAATGTGTATTCAACAAAAAATGGTGTACAAACTATCCATTATAGGTTGAAGATTGTGTCGGTATATGTGCAACAAATTTGCTTGAAAAATGGGAAAACGTGCTTAAATAGTGCTTAAAAAGTCCTTGAATTTTGGCATTGGATGTCTGTATGAACCTTGACTGGTGGAATATGTTACATGTACGTTGCATAAAAAAAATAAAAACTACACAATACTTTGCATCAATTTTTCCTCTATTGACAGAAAACAAATTAGATTCTATATCATAAATAGCAAAAACCACTTTACAAGCAACAAGCAATTAATACATTATAACAGTAATGAATTTACCCAATTTTTTGTTGAGCACCGGTATTATGTTACTAAGGTAACTTAATGACCATTCTTTTACAAGACACGCCGGTTACTCGGCTTTTTCTTTTGTTTTCTTTTTGTGAGACAGATTTCCCCTTCAAGTGATATATATAATTCATTTGTTTTTAATAACTCTCACGACAATAACTGCAGTGCACGAATTTTTTGGACAACCTTCGTATAAGTGGATATTTAGTGAAAGAATTTTAAATTCCAGACATTTCATGTCAGAAAATATGTGCAAATCGCCAAACAGTATAATCATTCATATCATAATGCTATATTACATCAACAGAATCCTTCAAAGTCACACTCGTGTACAATACAGATTTTTCTTTCTGTATTTTTATATGTAATAGATGCATTAGATATGTAATTATAATAATAAGTAGATCCAAAATTATCTACAGGTAACGTATAAGATAAAAAAGATTTTTTACCAAAATATGAATATTAGTTGAAAAGTACCTGTGAACATTGCATGGTTGTATTTTTGACCCATGCAGGAATATTTTCTCATGAAACTGTTTGAAAATTTCAGATGTTTGAAAAAGTTGACGGCCCTACAATTATCACTAGAATAGAGTCCTTAGCTTCAAGTAGAACTCTACAAGAATTGGACGCTGATCTCCTTAAATGTAAGTTTCTCTTATGAACAATCATATTTATTACCAATTTTGGAGTTATTAGTGTGAAAATTTGAAATAAATTAGCCAACAGTTTAGAGTTTGGTCAGACGTGCCGGCTAGCATCTATACTGGTGGCTAAGGTAAATCACTTCCAGTTCCAGCAGGTTATGGGTGAAGAATCTGAGCTTCGATCATGATCTTGTGGTGAACCAATGGAAAGATCATCAGCAGAACATATCTGTACCTTCTTTATGAATTTGTTCCCTATAAACCACAGCTAAAAATAGATTAAAGTTTAAAGCATCTCTTAAAAAACTTGAATGGATCAACAACAAAAAAAGATACTGCAGAGCTCAGAACGTGACAAATGCAGATTTTTCCCATCTAATCAAGTGGTAAAATGTTTTACAGATACAACATGGTTAATTAATTGGTAGTAAGTGCAATGCATTGATTAGGTTGTGAGTGACAGTGGACCCTGAAAGCATTATTGTTAAAGTTTGTTTGAAACTCTGTTTGTAACGAAAAAACTTACTGAGGTTGCTGATGATTTCTGTTTGATCTATTTTATTCTTAGGTAATTCACTATCAGTTAAGTAAAATAAAATTTGATTGGACCCTTTAAGGAGCTAATAATGCTTTTATTAAAATGAATTTTCCTTTAAACATCATAACATCTTATCATGAAAATTAAAAAAAAAAAAAATTAAAAATAAACGCTAAATTTTTGTATAATGGTTTTGTATTTAAGCATCCTTGGATGAATCTCTTGCGACTTTACTACCCAATGAGATGGAAAATTTTTCAATTGAAAAGTAGTGGCAGCACTTTGATATATAACAGATAACAGATTGCTCTACTTTGTATTTAATAATGTTTTTTTCCTTTCAGATGCTCAAATTTCACGTCCAAGAGGATTAATTTGTAAGTGTTAAGATTATCTGGTTTTGTTTCTTTATGATATATGGTTACCATGGTAATGTCAAAGTTGTTATTACGGGATTTCAAAACCATTTTGTAAATGCTCAATGACATATCTTTATATGAAAAAGCCTCATGGTAAATGTCATAGTTTACTTTTGAAAAATAAAATTTTGTTGTTGATAGGTATTGCTATTTATTGAATAAGATCTAAAAAAATGTTATATGGATACAGGATTATTATGTAAATGGTCAATGACATATCTTTGTATGAAAAGCCTCATGGTAAATGTCACAGTGTACTTTTGAAAAAAAAATTGTTGATAGGTATTTCTGTTAATTGAAAAGGACTAAAAAATATAGATATGGATACAGAATTATTTACTAAGTCAGTTAAGGTCATTAATCTCAAATCACTTGCTCTGATAAATTTGGGTTCAAATCCCATCAACAATGGAAAACGCTAATAAGTTTCTAAGTTTTCTTGAATATGGTTAGTATTCCTACCAAAGTATACAGTATTTGTCAAGCTGAAATAATATCCAATTGTTATGCTGAAAAAAAAGCATCTAATTACTATGCTTGAGGGGTTCATGGCCGAGTGGTTAAGGTGGTTGTCTTTAAACCATGAGCCTGACAAGTGTTGTTGGATTCTACATGTGAAAAAACCATCAAGCTAGCTTACAGAATGTCTCTGGTTCTGCTAAGGTGTTGCCCATTTGTGCTTGAAATGATGTTTAGAGGTGCACCTATACTGTGCAATGTCAAACACAACAAAAAGCAACAACAATTATTAAGCTGAAATATTACTATTTATAACAAGCTAAAAGTGATACCTTTTTAGCAAGCTGAAATATAGATTTTAGCAAATATGTTTAACATTCAGTCGTATCTTTCTCCACCAGTTTAAGCTGAGATTAGGATGCAGATGGTTGATGGTTCAACTTATGGTGTAAGTTTCTGATGAAGTAATGCCCAGAGGAGAACAATGGGTCTCTTTAAGGTTAAAGTCTAAAAGTTCCCATACCACTATAACATGGTTGACCAAAACTAAAAACCTAACATGGTCAATTTTACTGAAAACCTAACTTGAAGTATAAATTTAAACTAGATATAGATAGTATTACATAACAAAGCATACCGTTATATGATAACATGTATACTTTAGATCAATGGGGCGATGCATTTGATCTGGTTGTTTTGGTACACGACGAGAGCGGACGTATTGACGGGGGAGCAGGTGCCCGCAACTTCCTTATTGACTTATTTCATAGGTTTGCTTTTCTGTTAATTTTCAATGGAATGGTGGTAGAACCTTTTGTGTAATAGTTAGTTTGCTTTATATTTAAGGAAGGGGTCCTATAAAGGTCCTGTTTGAAAATTAAACAATGTTGCTATTTCACCAACCAAATGAAATAAATGGGCATCCGTGCTTTCTTTGTAATATATTTGACATAATGTTAATATAACAAGGTTTATATGATATTTTTTTGTCTTGAATGTTTTTTTATTTTTGTTCTGATTAAAAAATCAATTTAACATAGTGATAGCATTTAGTTATGGCAATCAGTCATCACTAAAATTAAGCTATCCAGCTAGCTTACGGGACGTTGGTGGTTCTAATCAGGTGCCTGTTCGTGCCTGAAATAATGCACGGAAGGGCACCTGAGGTCTTCCTCCACCAGTAAAGCTGGAACGTCACCCAATGAACTAAACTGTGTCGGTGTGACGTAAAACCAAAGAAAAAAAAAATCAATAAAAATAATATAACAACTGAATATTAGGAATACATGAGCTACATGAGTGAATTATACTTATGTACAAAATAATAAAAACCACAGAAATTTATTCATGAGATCTGCATGAATTTGATGGATATGTCTGTCTATAGCTCAATATATGAGACAGTATCAACTGAATAACTCACATCATCAGATAATTTACAAGCCACAGTAGGCAAACGTCCATGCTTTTACCTATAAAACAACCTCTGTGATCTTGTGCATCATTCTGGTCCTTCATCACTTTGACCTTCATTTTTTTTCAGGGATAAATATTTCTTTACAATTGTCAACAGGTCTGTCAGGGACAAAATTTAATGTTTCTTTACAAAGGTCTCCAGTTTTGTCAGGGATAAATATTTTTTTACAAATGTCTCCAATTTTATCAGGGACAAATATTTCTTTACAATGGTCTTGATTTTGTTTGGATGTTAAAGGTCTTTATTTTTGTCAGCAACATACACTTTTTTTTTTAAAAAAGTTCCCAATTTCATCAGGGACAAATTAATTATTTTCAATGGTTTTAATTTTGTTGCTTTAGATATAATCCAATCTCAGTATGTACAAAATATCTAAATAATGGAAACTAATCAGTAATGTCTGTAAAACTATTTATGGAAAACATTGGCTGTGTCTACACCTATCCAAGTTTCTTAAATGTCACATTTAGATAAGCTAAATAAATGGCCTTTTCAATATTTTATCAGGCACAATTTTTACTGAAATGTCTAATTAAGATTGCCCAAGATTTATACCTTTGTCTTTGCAATACCATCATGTTTCTGTAAAATATGTGAAAAAAGCGGGAAAATGATGCAATTAGCTAAAACAGAATGGAGTTAATGAAATTGAAATGGGTACATTCTTTTAAAGTAATGGAAAATGTGAGAAAAATATTTTTTTGAGCTGATAAATTGATGTTAATTCTTTATTTGATGAAAGTGATTTACTAAATGAACAAGATCATTTAAAATTCATTTTGACATTTTTTTATTTTTTGCTCTTCTGTGCATCGGTATATTGATCTGTTCATCTGACCAAAATATTGTATACATTTACTAAAGTTTTACAGATCATGAACACTCGATCAGTTATAAAAAGTCAGAAAATAATAATAAAAACAACACTATCACACCTTCAGGGCACATGTTTTGTGTCAAACCGGTGTTATCAGTGTCTTGACAGCCAAAAACTTGTAGAAAAATAGAACATGTTCTAACTTTCTTGCAAGGAATTATCTTCTTGGATGTCACATAATTTCTCTTTTAAATCTTATTCAAGTAGGGTGTCTACACTATCCAATACAAGAGAATATGATACTTGCATTCAAGACTTGGATAGGTGTAGACGGGCTCTTAGATTTATACAGCATTGCAGCTAAGTTGATCAACACTCTATAAAAGAAACTTCTATCACAAATTCTGTCAGAAAACTGGCTGCTTACACCATTCTGCTTTTGTGTTAGATACCACAATGATTTAGTGATTTAGATTTTTCAAGTCTGCTAATCTATTTCTTGTATTGTTAGTGTTATACATTGTGTTTGAAAAGGTTTGACTGATTAGTTTGTTGTTTACACATTCAAGTTCTGGTATTTATATATCAAATTTCCAGACGCAATATTTTCTGTTCAATAGGGCAACTTTAATGAAAGAACAAGATGAATGGTAGGGAAGTAGGTTTAAAGCACCATGCCTCTAGATTTGTGATGGATATTTAAAAAGAAATAAATTTTTGATATTTTTTTAAGCGAAATCAAAAAGAAATTGAAGTTTAAAAAAAACTTAATTTGAGATGGTGAAAGGAGCAGTTGAAGATTGCAATAATACTGCAAATGATGCCTTGTTTGTAAATAATACCTTTACGACAAATTATTTCACAATTTATTTATAACTCTTCTTCAGATTAGAAACATTTCATGAGTTCTAATTTCATAAATACAGCATTATAAAACCCATATTTGCCCTTTCTTTAATGAAATTTTATTCACATTTACCCAAATTTAATTTATTTAAAGTATGTGCATTGTTTAATTATCAACTTCTTAAATGTTGTTTCATTGAATTTTAAAAAAACAAATTTGTGTATGTTTTATGGAAATTACTGCAATAGATGTAGTAGTTCAAGTCCATTGTCTGTCTTGAATATGACATGTCTGCAGCAGTTGATTCCCTTGATCAGTACAGTAGCATGTTCTCCTACTTTGCTCTATAGAGAGAGCATTGGGTTAATAGTGTCCGTAAAAATCTCTGTCAATACAGTCATGTACGTAACTTTTTTTTTTCAAATTCTTGATATGTAAATGCCTCTGTGATGCAGTGGATAACATTGTTGACTATTATACAAATTTAGCACATGCAAGTAAGAAAGGTGTACTGAGTATGGAACACAGTTGGTCATTATCACTTGGAACTTTTTGTTTTCAGATATGAAATTGCAAATGACAAGGTCCAGGGTGGAGTTATATCGTTCGGACTGACGACACAAGATCAGATCATCTTAGGAACTGATCCATTCTATACAGCCTTGTATCTTAAATTGCTTAACCTAGATTTAACTCCTACAGGTAAACACTGATGCCGTTTTATTCTTTTTTTCAAGCAAAGACAAAAAAAAAACAGTGATGCATTTTATGTCAGCATTGCTGCAAAATAGTGTATAAAACTTGTACATGGCAGTGTCACATTGTTTAAGATAAGAAAATATCTCAGCATGCATCTAAGATTATTATCATCTTTTGTTATAAATTATAAATTTTGTTATAAATTATAGATTTTGTTATAAATTAAAGATTTTGTGATAAATTGTACTTCATTGTGCAGTAGAAATTGTTGTTATGTAATTTTGACTACATCAGGTCATGAACCTATCTATGTTGACTAAAGGAAAAATTCTGTTTCAAGGTGGTGCTGATGTTCTAGCTGGCCTAGATGCCCTTTTGAACATGTTTGAAACCCATGGTCGAACATCAGTGCCGAAAGTAGCATTCCTGCTGATGCAAGGCGATGTTGTTTTGGATAGTGTAAGAGCTAAAATACAGGAAATTAGAGATAAAGGTAAAAATGTGGAACAGTTCCTTTTTGGCTCATTTCACAACATGATTACAATATTTGCATAAGAAATCTGGGAGTATATTCTTTATTTTCTTTAAATAATTAAATGTCTGAAAATTGTACATCTATATTCATTAATGTCTTGAAAAAAGTTCCCTTTAAAGAATTCAAATACAACTTTAGCCATTAACCCGCTAGTAGCAGCTGAATTTTAGAATGACACCAGTATGGACTAAGATCCAGACAGCACATCTGTGCCATTTAATCACTATAAGTCTACACAGTGTTTGCTATTCAGTCAGAAAAATTTAGAAAATTTCTTATTAAAGTGATTATTGATTTTGTCTACATTGAAAGACGGACAGTTCGATTCAAGATTCTTAACATGGTAAAGATTTAATATGATAATTATTTTACATCAGACACTGCATTAATGCAGTTGCAGATTGAATTTTGAATTTTTTTAATCAGATATTTTGTATATTTCATTTTCAAGACATCGCCATAGTAACAGTTGGTATAGGAGCAGGGACAGATATGGTTGACCTGCAGTACATTGCTAATCACAAGGAACTTGCTTTCCTGCAGACGAACTGGCAGTCACTGCAAGTCACACCTACAATGGACGCTTCTATAATTGCCTGTAGGAATTATGATTATAATTTGTTATAAGTAAATTTAGTTAAGTGTAACATTACAATTCTTAAGGGCCTATGTGGTCAAGTGGTTAGGATTGCTTACTTCAAATCACTTGCTGTTCATTGCTGTGAGTAGAAAACTTTTTAGTGACATCTTCATGCTTGGAAAGTAGTCTAAATGTTCTAATTCTAAATATGCCTAAAATAATGTGACAGACACCTGAGTTCCTCTACCAGTAAAAACTAAAAAAAATCTTCTTTCAAACACCAACACACCTGGAAAGTCCATATGACCTGTGTACAGCTGTTGCTACTGAAGACCCAACAAGTTTTTTTTCAAAATATCTTCATTTAAGCTTCATCTATAGCAATGCTCAACAGCAGACATCTGTTTGTAATTCCATTCATTTGTTTGTTTGCTGATGTCTCAGATATTAATTGATCCCAACCTGTCATGGACTCATTCCATTAATTAGGTTGTGAGAGTTAGAACAAATACTAATATCCAGTCTAAGATCAGTTAATAATATCATCAGTCTGCATACTGTGACCTCCATTTTCAAGTGTTTAAGGTCACTGACCCAAAGTTACTTGTCCTTTAAGTTTTGTTTTGATTCATATAGGGACATAGGATAATTACCTGTAAAAAGTTAGCTTGACAGTTTTGAAAAAGATGTCTACCCAGGTACCTTCTCACGTTTGCAATGGTACAGATAAATTGGGGAATCTTTTTTTAACCAGCAAAGTCGGAAAGTCATTACTATAGTGTATGACTTGAACAATGTCAGGTCACCTTAAAACCTGGCAGAAAATAGTTACTGTTATTTATGAACCAATGAAAAGTAACCCTGGCCCACCTTAGTTTTAGATTTCCAAACCCCTGGTTTTAGATGTTAAAATTCAGACAGGTCAAGTCATGGATGATTAGACAGGCCTGATTCAACATTAATGGCATAACCAATAAGATTATCTCTGTTGAAATCAAGGAAAGAAAAAAAAGCTTTTGAAATTTGTTTTTTTCTTCTTCTTTTTTTTAGTGGCTCGAGGCAGCTTTAAAGCACAAGGAACTGGAGATATCCTAAGATTGCCTAGTAAGTTTTTATTTTTAAGTACTCCTTGTAATTTAAAGTAATTATATAACCTGTCTTATTTAAGTGGAACAGAATGAAAGGTTAGAGGTAAGCGGCAAGAATTAGTTTTTGATGTTTCAGCATTTCACGTTCATCTGCCATAAATTCACTTCAGCATACTCGGGCAGTATCAGTCAAATTATAAAAAAAATATAACTCAGTTGATCTCATTGATATGTTTCATGTTTCGTGGAATTTTAATGTAATTCTTATAACATTTTTGTTTATGTTACATTCCTCTGCATATTATTGAATGGTTTAATGAATGAAATTATTTCAGCTCAGTGCACTGGGGAAGGTGTTGGGATCATATTTGTATTGGACGCTTCAAATAGTTTTCAAACTATATTCGAAGCTGTTAAAAGATTTGCAGCTGCATTGATGAGTGGGTATGTATATTATTATATTATAGAGATAAGTTTTGTTCACTAATACTTATGTAGGCTTCAATCTCATAACATGTAAATTGAATCTCTCATGTTGAGAATATGTAATCCAGGTTGCTTAGTTAGACATTATTCATTCAAGCTGGATGTTAAAGAAGATTGCAGTATTATTTGAACCACTGTCAAATCTGCTTCCTGGTTTTCATTTAATCTCATTGCCTTTTAATACTGTCAGTTTAAATTTCATTGCCATTCATACCTGTGGCTTTGAATTGCATTGCCCTTCTTTGCTGTGGGCTTTAATTGCATAGCCCTTCTTTGCTGTGGGTTTGGATTGTATTGTCCTTCTTTGCTGTGGGCTTTAATTGCATAGCCCTTCTTTGCTGTGGGTTTGGATTGTATTGTCCTTCTTTGCTGTGGGCTTTAATTGCATAGCCCTTCTTTGCTGTGGGTTTGGATTGTATTGTCCTTCTTTGCTGTGGGCTTTAATTGCATAGCCCTTCTTTGCTGTGGGTTTGGATTGTATTGTCCTTCTTTGCTGTGGGCCTGGTATTGCATTGTCTTTCTCTGTGGTAGACTTGGATTGCATTGCCCTTCTTTGCTTTCGGTTTTGATTGCATTGCCCTTCTTTGCTGTGGGCTTTGATTGCATTGCCCTTCTTTGCTGTGGGCTTTGATTGCATTGCTCTTCTTTGCTGTGGGCTTTGAATTGCATTGCCCTTTTTTGCTGTGACCTTTGATTGCATTGTCTTTGAGTGTTGTGATTGCTGACTGCATCGCAATTTACTGCTATAGATTTAAATATACTATTTACTGTTTTGGGTTTAACTTAAATCTATTCAATCACTACATGTACTTATTTTTAAATTTTCCCTTAAATTAATAAAAGGTTTTGTCCAGATTGCAAGATGGTCAAGTCCATTTGATATATTTAGTGGGGTAAGGGTTGGAATGTAGTATTTTGATTAATGAAATAATGTTAATAAGAAATGTGGATGGTACAGCTGTCTCAAATTGGTGAAATCATAATGTTTAGGGAATCACTTGGTCACAGCTAGACCACCACTTTTCTGGATAAGGACCTTTTAAGAAGCTAAAAAACAGCATAGGAACATGTATTCATTCTATTGATATTAAAGTAAAAACTTTTAGTCATATTCACCTGAATAATTCTTTTATGTCTTCAAGGTTTTCTGCTCCTGTTGAAATTGGTGCTATAGCGTATGCCAACATCGTTCTATCAAACTACATAACGCCCGGAGATTACATGTCTTTTGTTGAGCTCTACGCACACTTCATGGCAAATGTGAATTTAGACCCAACCTTAATGACAACATCTACACATTTGGCACTTGAAAAGATGAGGGAAATGTTTAGTCAGAAAAATCCCTCATACAAAGAAAAAGTAGGCATTGTCATCACAGACGGCAAATCATCGTCTGCTATTGATACCACTGCGGTAAGAATTTTTAGTACACTATATTATTCAATAAATGACAGGTTGAAATGAAAAATGTTAAAGATGTACTAGGACCAATTTGTGTTTAAATGGGCATGTCAAACAAAGGTATAAGCAGACGTAAACATTTGTAATATAATATTTCCTGTTAGGACAGTACTGTACATGATCAGATAGCATTTGATTGGAAAAAAACAACTGAAAAACAAAAAGAATGTCATTTCTTGTTATTTAAAACTAAGGAAATGTTTAGAAATTTTTTTTTAAATAGGCACTTTGTCATACACTCAGTTACCCATTATTGAGTTTCCAATCCGGTTTTTAGCTAGAAACCAACTGTACCTGTTTAAAAGGATAAAAGTGACACCCCTAATACAAAGGACCAGTACAAATTGTGACTTATAATCAAGAGGATAGTTCTTGCAGTGAATCAATGGGGATAGTTCTTGCAGTGATTCAGTGGGGGGATAGTATTAGCAGTTAATCAGAGAGATAGTTGTACCAGTAAATGAAGGAGATAGTGCCTTAAGTGAATCAATGGGATATTTCTATGGACGAATCCAATCAAGGGGATAGTTTTAGCAAGGGGATAGTTCTAGCACTGGTCCATCTGTTGTTTTGAGTTTGATATGACTAGGCTGGGTATCAGTTCAGTGTATCTATGGCATGATGTAATGCTCATATTACAGAAGGTCTAAAAGAGTACTGTAAAATTGTGCAATATGCTCAATGCTACAAGATGACACTTTTATAATTTACATGTATATACTATTGTGATATATATTTGTAAAGGGAGACATGAAAATCATATTGGATGCTGCTGTAATAAAATTGTATCTAGTGCTGTAGACTCAACTTACAAAATATAATTGATAGCAATCTCAATTCTTGACAGCCAAATAAAGTAACAAGTTTTGTCTTTATTTCTAGGAAGCCGAGAGGGCTCGGAACGACGGAATCAAGATGATTGCCATCAGCTTTCTGGATGATACTTTTGAGAACGAGTTGGGTTCTATCACTGGGGAGGAGATTACTGGAGGAGTTAATCATAAATTTTTGTACAGTAACTCTGACTTGACAAATCCTAGCAAATTAGAGGCCATACAAAAACTTATTTGTGCCTGTAAGTAACAGTTTTATTGACACACAAGACATGTTATGTTCACACTGTTATCATTGTAATTCTGTTGTAAAGAATTTGTAAAAGATATTATGTTATATCTTTATATAAATATTTGAATATGACTGAAATGTGACCTTTCAACCTTTTTTGCTTTACATGTATCATATTTCTAATATTTGGGATGATTTACTTACATAAAGGGAGTTAATTCAATTATAAAAGTTTTTTATAGAGATATATTATTCCCCTTTAACATTCACATTTCAATAACTGATACAATCAAAAATGAGTTTGTGTAAATCAAAGTTTCATTCAAATGTAGACTGTTCCAAAAAAATGTATTGCACTTGCAGGCTTTTTAGATATTAAGTGTGAACTATAAATGAAGTAACTAAAGGTTATGCTTAAGTCAAATTATATACAAATGTAAATGCAATTTATGTTCAATATTTTTTTGACCTTACTTTTTCAGTGATAAGACCAAATGGTAAGTTGAAACTGGTGTTTCTTTTATGGTAAATCAAAATTATTTCAAAACTTTCTTTTTTTTTTTTGCATGTAAATTATTTATTTTGGCTGGATAGAGAATAGTTTTTAGCTCACCTGTCACAAAGTGACAGGGTGAGCTTTTGTGATCGCTTTTCGTCCGGCGTCCGTCCGTCCGTCCGTCCGTCCGTCCGTCGTCCGTAAACTTTTACTTTAAATGACATCTCCTCATAAACCACTAAGCCAATTTCATCCAAACTTCACAGGAATGTTCCTTTGGTGGTCACCTTTAAAAATTGTTCAAAGAATTTAATTCCATGCAGAACTCTGGTTGCCATGGCAACGGAAAGAAAAAACTTTAAATATCTTCTTTTAAAAAACCATAAGAGCTAGAGCTTAGATATTTGGCATGAAACATCTTCTAGTGAGTGTCTACCAAGTTTGTTCAAATAAAAGCCCTGGGGTCAAAATTGGCCCCGCCCCGGGGGGTCATTGATTTTCCCTATATGCATATAGTAAAAACTTAAAAAATCTTCTTTTAAAGAACCCAAAGAGCTAGAGCTAAGATATTTAGCATGAAACATGTTCTAATGGGTGTCTACCAAGTTTGTTCAAATAAAAGCCCTGGGGTCAAAATTGGCCCCGCCCCGGGGGGTCATTGATTTTCCCTATATGCATATAGTAAAAACTTTAAAAATCTTCTTTTAAAGAACCCAAAGAGCTAGAGCTAAGATATTTAGCATGAAACATGTTCTAATGGGTGTCTACCAAGTTTGTTCAAATAAAAGCCCTGGGGTCAAAATTGGCCCCGCCCTGGGGGGTCATTGATTTTCCCTATATGCATATAGTAAAAACTTAAAAAATCTTCTTTTAAAGAACCAAAAGAGTTAGAGCTAAGATATTTAGCATGAAACATGTTCTAATAAGTGTCTACTAAGTTTGTTCAAATAAAAGCCCTGGGGTCAAAATTGGCCCCGCCCCGGGGGGTCATTGATTTTCCTTATATGCATATAGTAAAAACTTAAAAAATCTTCTTTTAAAGAACTCAAAGAGCTATGGCTAAGATATTTAGCATCAAACATGTTCTAATTGGTGTCTACCAAGTTTGTTCAATTAAAAGCCCTGGGGTCAAAATTGGTCCCGCCCCGGGGGTCATTGATTTTCTTTATATGTGTATAGCAAAAACTTAAAATCTTCTTTGAAAAAACCCAAATAGCTAGAGTTTAGATATTAAGCATGAAACATCTTCTAGTAAGTGTCTACAAAGTTTTTTCAAATAAAAGCCCTGGGGTCAAAACTGGCCTGGCCCAAGGGGTGTCATTGTTTTTAACTATATGTGTATAGTAAAAACTTAAAAAAAATCTTCTTTTTAAAAAGCCCAATGAGCTAGAGCTTAGATGTTTAGCATGAAACATCTTCTTATGGTTGTCTACCAAGTTTGTGCAAATAAAAGCCCTTGGGTTAAATTGGCCCTGCAACGTTGGGGGGGGGGGGGGTTGTGGTTGTGGGGGGGCCTATATACAGGTGAGCGATCTCAGGGCCATCATGGCCCTCTTGTTTTTTCACTTCCATGTTTTGCTCTCAAAAATTGACTTCATGTTAAAATGGTATACTGGTCTAACAGAGACTACACTAATGTCATTTTCCCACAGAAATATTTCTGTACAGAGTTTTATTTGAGAAAGAATATAAATTATGGCGGTACTTTCTGATAATAAATTTTGCTTATATTTTTATGCAAAGTAAAAAGAAATTATTACTTTAGAACTTCAGGTTATTACCCTTGCACTGATAATTATATAAAAGAACTTCACAAGAGATGATGTCACTTTATCATATACTGGAGCCACTTTTGTGACTTCGTAAAAATGATATTGCATGGCCATACATAAAATTTTAATGTGACAATTCATTTGCATTATATAAACAAAGCTAAAATACGCTAAATATTAACGTTACACTATAAGGGGGTCATTAACAAAAAGGATTATTTTCACTGTTACAGTAAACAGATTTTATGTTGGTAATGTGATAAATAAAACATTGTATTGATGTAAGTTCATAACTTAATTTTAATGAACTTGTTGAATAAAATAATATGCTCCCCAGAGGCTCGCATAAAATAATTTTATACAACTCGTTCCATAAATTCATTATTGAATTTAGACTCATTCAGTATCCTCTATTTATTTAAATTCCACGTTAAAATTTTGCTTTGTTGTAACAGAATGTCTGGCTGGTTCGTACAGAGACCCGATCACTCTGGAATGTTTGAAGTGCCCGGTTGGCTCATTCCAGGCATTGAGTGAACAGCTGTTCTGTCAACAGTGTGCGTTAGGATATTCTACAACTGACCCTGGTGCTACAAGAAGTTCTGACTGTATAAGTAAGTACTTTATGCCTATTAAGTAATTAATTTTAATCACTGACCTGCCCAATGTTTTAAATGGACTTGTCCTCCTTCCATTCTTTTCAGTTTTTTGGATATCAAGTAGAAAATTTTAATTTATAAAACTGCTGTATAAAGCCTGGTCAGAGTGGGGGTATAGGCTGGCCTGGGCGCAAAAACTTACTACTTTTGGTTCCTGGGCAAGAAAGGGTTGAAGAAGAGCTTATATTAATGTTAATACGTGTAATTCACATGTATTCAGTGAATAAGAAGAGCTCTTCATTAAGGTGTGCCTGTTAAGCCAATGGGGACAGCAGCAAATATTTGGGGTCAATGGTTTGATCCTTCAGCCCATGACAATTGATCTCAGTCATTAATTTTAAAGGAACTCCACTGAGGTCCAAAGTCATTGAAACATACAATTTAAATTTCGTACATAGAACAGCTGGGGCACTTAGAAAGATATAAACACATAATTTAAAAAATATACTTAGAATTAAGTTGAAAATTGTTATTTGTACCTTCTTAGCCCAAATTGAGTGAAAAGTGTTGCAACGCTTTTTAATTTTGCATTATTTTGTACAATTTTAATAATTATTCTATAAAGACAATCTGAAATTTTACACACAAGACCTACATCAAATGGAATATTTATCTCGAAAAATTATTTCAAATCCTGTGGTGTCAAAAAACCTCAGTGGAGTCCCTTTAATGTTTATTGGTCTCTCACCCCTGATTACTAGTAGTACAATGATCTTCAATATAACTGTACTTAGATTTTCTAGTATATAGAGGATATTCAAGTTTTTTCTATAAATACATGATTTATTTTCATCGAGTGGTATGAAAATAAATATTTCATGAGTGGCGGTAGCCACGAGTGAAATATGGTAATTTTCATGCCACAAGATGAAAATAAATCATGTATTTATAGAAAAAACTTGAATTTTCTGTTTATTATATACATTTTTCTCTTTTTTGACATTAAATTTAAAAGACTTTCCCTTAAATTTTGTGTAATGGCAGAATTTAAAAGAAAGTAGTCCGGCAAAGACACCAGTGAAAATACGGAAAATATGTTTCACTGCAGTGAAAAATAAATTTTTACAGTGAAAATACGAAAAATGAAAATATGCATTTTATTTCATCAATATTTCTCAATATTTCATTTATAAGTATATAATAAACAGATTTATTTTTTGGTCTTTTAGACTGTACTGCAGACTGCATCACATTTTCTGGTCTGTTCATTTGATTTTCTGATCTTTTTAGCTCACCTGTCACAAAGTGACAGGGTGAGCTTTTGTGATCGCTTTTCGTTTGTCATCCGTCCGTCGTCCGTCCGTAAACTTTTGCTTTAAATGACATCTCCTCATAAACCACTGAGCCAATTTCATCCAAACTTCCCAGGAATGTTCCTTTGGTGGTCACCTTTTAAAATTGTTCAAAGAATTTAATTCCATGCAGAACTCTGGTTGCCATGGCAACCGAAAGAAAAAACTTTAAATATCTTCTTTTAAAGAACCCAAAGAGCTAGAGCTTAGATATTTGGCATGAAACATCTTCTAATGAGTGTCTACTAAGTTTGTTCAAATAAAAGCCCTGGGGTCAAAATTGGCCCCGCCCCAGGGGGTCATTGATTTTCCCTATATGCATATAGTAAAAATTTAAAAAATCTTCTTTTAAAGAACCCAAAGAGCTAGAGCTAAGATATTTGGCATGAAACATCTTCTAGTAAGTGTCTACCAAGTTTGTTCAAATAAAAGCCCTGGGGTCAAAATTGGCCCCGCCCCGGTGGTCATTGATTTACCCTATATGCATATAGTAAAAACTTAAAAAATCTTCTTTTAAAGAACTGTAAGAGCTAAAGCTTAGATATTTGGCATGAAACATCTTCTAGTGAATGTCTACCAAGTTTGTTCAAATAAAAGCCCTGGGGTCAAAATTGGCCCCGCCCTGGGGGGTCATTGATTTTCCCTATATGCATATAGTAAAACCTTAAAAAATCTTCTTTTAAAGAACCCAAAGAGCTAGAGCTAAGATATTTAGCATGAAACATCTTCTAATGAGTGTCTACCAAGTTTGTTCAAATAAAAGCCCTGAGGTCAAAATTGGCCCTGCCCCAGGGGGTCATAGATTTTCCCTATATGCATATAGTAAAAACTTAAAAAATCTTCTCTTAAAGAACCGTAAGAGCTAGAGCTTAGATATTTGGCATGAAACATCTTCTAGTAAATGTCTACCAAGTTTGTTCAAATAAAAGCCCTGGGGTCAAAATTGGCCCCGCCCCAGGGGGTCATTGATTTTCCCTAAAACTTAAAAAATTCTCTTTTAAAGAATCCAAAGAGCTAGAGCTAAGATATTAAGCATGAAACATCTTCTAGTGGGTGTCTACCAAGTTTGTTTAAATAAAAGCCCTGGGGTCAAAATTGGCTTCGCCTTAAGGATCATTCATTTTCCCTTTATGTATAGTAAAAAACTTAAAAAACCTAAGAGTTAAAGCTTAAATATCTAGCATGAAACATCTTCTAATGGTGTCTACCAAGTTTGGTCAAATAAAAGCCCTAGGGTCGAAATTGTCCCCGCCCCAGGGGGTCATTGTTTTTCCCTTTATGTGTATAGTTAAAAATTAAAAAATCTTCTTTTAAAAAACCCAAATAGCTAGAGTTTAGATATTAAGCATGAAACATCTTTAAGTAAATATCTACAAAGTTTGTTCAAATAAAAGCCCGGGGGTCAAAACTGGCCCTGCCCCAGGGGTGTCATTGTTTTTAACTTTATGTGTATAGTAAAAACTTAAAAAATCTTATTTTAAAAAACCCAATGAGCTAGAACTTAGATGTTTAGCATGAAACATCTTCTTATGGGTGTCTACCAAGTCTGTTCAAATAAAAGCCCTTGGGTAAAAATTGGCCCCGGGGGGGGGGGGGGCTATATACAGGTGAGCAACCTCAGTTGATTTTCTGATCTTTTTTTACAAATGTACTTCAAATCTTCTTGTTCTATTTTACAATAAATGGTATTTTTTGCTCTTTTTTTTGTACAGAGAAATGTAATGCTGGCTATTTTCTGGAATCTGCACCAAATGGTAAATGCAAAATTTGCCCGAAAAACACCTACCAGCCCGATAGTGGACAGATACAGTGTTTGACCTGTAGTCCTTCATTAATCACGAAATTTGAGGGTTCAACAAGCATTGATGATTGTATCTGTAGGTATTTTTTAAATTTTTTACGAATTCTTTATTTGTACAATTACCAATGTAAAGTGAGATTGTTATGCCATGGCGTGATTTTGTTAAATGTTTGAGTCATCAATTTTTTCGATGCTGGCCACCAGAGTTAAGGGTTCAGCAAGTATACATGAGAAGAAAATGGTATAAATGAAAATGCTATGTTTGTCCACACCCACTTAGTCATTATGAGGCTTTGAGAAAAATTAGGTAACAGTAAATATTCTTAGGTAAGGTTTTTTTTTGTAAGCAATAACAATTTTACATGGCTAAGAAAACAATGGGGAAAACAATAAAATAGCCAATGCATGACCCAATTGTAAGGAAGTCTGACCTTTTGTTCATAGAACAAGTCATCACAAATGACTTTTGGATGAAATTATCTTTTAAATTAAATATTATATTTGGTTACAGCTCACTGATGCATGAATTTTAAGCAAATAAACTTTATTGAGTATAATAATGACACTCCTGAAGAATTTTTTTGCTTCTAATTTTATGTTCTAACTATTAAGGGGGAGGGGAACATATAGATTTGCCGTTTTCTGTCCATCATGCTGTCCCTTAAGTCTAATATGGGGCATCTGAGTTCTTATATCGACATTTTTGTTGTTTTAATACAGGTTATTTTAACATTTTTACACTTTGTTTAAGTGGACAAATGCGATGAGCCAATGGATCTGATATTAGTTGTGGATTCAACTGCAAGTATTGGAGTTTTCGAATTCCAAATGCTGAAAGCCTTCCTGATCAACCAGTTAGATAGGTAATTTTGAATTTTATTGTTTTTGTAAGAAATGTTGATTGTTTTCCTGTACAGTCTAACACCAGGGCGTCAGTGGCTGAGTGGTTAAGGTTGTTGACTTCAAACTAATTGCCCCTTACCGCTGTGGGTTTGAATCCCGACAGGGACTTTGGATTCTTTCATGTTTGGAAGCTATTCAGCTAGCAGGTGATTCTATTCAGGTGCCCATTCGTGCCTGAAATAATGCATGGAAGGGCACCTGAGGTCTTCCTCCACCAGGAACGTCGCCATATGACCTATACTGTGTCGGTGTGATGTAAAACCCAAACAAACAAACAAATAAACAAACAGTCTAACCTGCCTTACTGAATCTCTGTTTTTAACAAAATCCTGTCTACAGTGACCTTATTATAACTCTGCCTTGAGATATTATTATAATATTATTATTAGTAAAGCTTGAAAGTGACCACATGTGCTGGAGCATTCATCACCTTAAGTTTTATGTCTTATTGTTCATTGATTTATATCTCATGTTTTATCATAATATTTACTTGCCATGACTATTTATTATTCAAAACATAATATAGACATACTGAAAAAAAAATGTTACAATATTTTAGATTTGACTTCGTCACAACACGTATATCTGTGGTGAGAATCGGAGCTGTAACAAAACCAGAAGATGTGACAGATTTCCTCACAGACAAAAACCTTGTAATTGAGGCCATTAGAAACTTGAAGGTAACTGAAAATTCTTTTATCTAATCTTCTACCCACTAAAATGGTGTAGTGGACTCACCCTGCTTTGAATTTGGAACTGACCATTGTCAATCTGAGGGGTTTTATGTAAAAAAATTATCAAATTAAGTAGACTAGTATTGAGACTGGCTCAGTATGTGTTGTATAGGTGAATCATAACTGGTGCTGTCATAAAAGGACTTCATCGGTTAACTCTTCCAATGCTGTAACTCAAGCTTGAAAGCCTTGTGCCACCAGGAAACAACAGGGCAAGCATGACAACCTGTGTATTCTTATGAGACCATATACTGTTTATTTTAGTTATGATACCTGTATTCCCTAGAATCGGTTATTTACTGTTCCAGAATCGGTTATTTACTGTTCCAGAATCGCTTATTTACTGTCCCAGAATTGGTTATTTACTATTCCAGAATCGGTTAGACCGCCTCCATGGTCGAGGGATTAGAGTCAATGACTTCTAATCCATTTACCTCTCTGGCGTGGGTTCGATCCCCTAGAGATGCTTTGGTAGTTTAGCACGGAGGAGGTAGTCTAGTTCTGGTGTAACTCTCCAGGAACGATGGTTAGGAAACTACCCGCCTATATGACTGAAATACTGTTGGGCAAAGGCATAAAATGAAACAAACAAACAAACAAATTTACTGTCCCAGAAACAGTTATTTACTGTTCCAAAATCAAAGTTAGGCTTGTCCAGTCAGACAATTCAGTAAGTTAATGGTCAAGCACATATAAGTAAATATGTTGGCTCTTTGATGAAAACAGAGTTGGATCAGTGGCATTAAGATTAATGTCTTTTAACCTTAAGGTTCTGGGTTTGAGCCCTGCATGAGGTATCACCATGTTTTATTATGGTGTATAACATCAGGGACATTCAACTTTATATGATGATTGTTTATAGACAGTGTTCTTTAAGGAGTCAAGGTCAAGTTCTTGATTTTATAAAGAATTTTAAGGAGCTCTCTCTTGAATTTCAGGATTTTTGTGTCGCCTCTACGGAGTAGTGGCGACATATAGGGATCACTTCTCCGTCGTCTGTCTGTCCGTCCGTCCGTCTGTCCGTCACAAAACTTGTCCGGACTACCCCTCATAAACTACTGGTGCAATTTCATCCAAACTTTACAGGAATGATCTGTACCAAGTCTAGTTGTGCATATTGTCAGCATTTTCCGGTTCAATGATTTTTGGCAGAGTTATGGCCCTTTAATAATTTTTAATTTAAAAGTTTGTCCGGACTACTTCTCTTATACCACTGAAGCAATTTCAATGAAACTTTACAGGATTGATCTGTAGCTCAAGTCCTTGCGCATATTGCAAGGGTTTTCCAGTTGAATGATTTTTGGCCGAGTTATGGCCCTTTGATAAAAAAGGTGTATTTTTCTGTGTGTTGCCAGATACACAAAAGCTTGTCCGGACTACTCATAAACTACTGGTGCAATTTCATCTAAACTTTACAGGAATGATCAGTACCAAGGGTAGTTGTGCATATTATCAGCTTTTTCCGGTTCAATGATTTTTGTCAAAGTTATGGCCCTTTAATAATTTTTATTTTTAAAGTTTGTCCGGACTACTTCTCTTTTACCACTAAAGCAATTTCAATGAAACTTTACAGGATTGATCTGTAGCTCAAGTCCTTGTGCATATTGCACAGGTTTTCCGTTTGAATGATTTTTGGCCGAGTTATGGCCCTTTGATAAAAAGGTGTTTTTTCTGTGTGTTGCCAGATACGCAAAAGCTTGTCCGGACTACTCCTCATAAACTACTGGTGCAATTTTATCCAAACTTTACAGGAATGATCAGTACCAAGTCTAGTTGTGCACTGTCCGTCTGTCTGTCCGTCTGTCACAAACTTTGTCCCAACATGAAATTGGCCATCATGAGGCGACACATGTGATTACTGATCGCTCTTGTTATTGTTCAGTGTAGATCCTGTGTAGGTTTTTGACCAATCAAATGCCTGTGATTTGAGTAGAGATTACAAAATGTATAAATAACCTCCGACCAAAAGTGATCAGATCTGAATTGCTTGTTTCATTTATTTATTTCTATCACCTATATGTATATCATAATAATAAGCAGACCATCATTATGAAGCAGTCTTACTCAGAGATTAGAGTAATCATACACTTTATAATAAATTAATGTCTACCTACTGATATGTTATCATGGATGGACATATTTTATCTTACAATTTTCCAAATGGTCTTTGTTTTGTATAGTAATCCATTTTTTCCAGGGAGGTGACTACAGTACAAACATTGCAAGTGCAATTGAAATGGCTAACAACAAGTTTGAAAGTGATTTTCGAGATAATGTACCTCAAGTGATGTTTCTGATAACAGATGGCATTGCAAGTAACCCATATGCGGCCAGGTACCAAGCTTTAGTCGCCCAGCAGAAGAGGCAGCTTGTAGTACTAGGAATTGGGACTCAGTATTTCATGCATGAATTGAGGGAGTTAGCGTCTGTCCCAGATACTGTGATGACGGAGGCAAACTTTATCAAATTAGCAAGTCTTGACGCCTATTTAACAATCTGTGATGGTATGGCATAGATTCTATTTATAGCAGATATTTCCTCCTAAATTTGGTTAATTTCTGTTTATGGTATAATATGGTATCTTGCAAATATGTTCTATTCACATTCTATTTTTATATATTTATGATACATGTATAAGGTATCTTGCAAATATACTCGATTCACATTCTATTTTTAACAAATTACAAGTCAGCAGAATTTAATTTCTATTTATAGACACAGGAACTAGACACAATTAATTTACCTCCATATGCTCATAATACTATATATAAAGAATATATTCTTTATATATAGTATTATGAGCATATAGAGGTAAATTAATTGTGTCTAGTGCCTGTGTTTATAGAATATTTTACAGATCTGCTTGATTCACTTTCCAGTTTGAAACAAATTGCAGAATACTTGATTGAAAAATCTCTATATATATATGCAGATTTACTGAACAATATTTCTATTTATAGCTGCAAAACGTTGGGCTAAACCACCAGTCGTTTCAACCAGTAAATGTGATTTGGCGTTAGATATAATTTTTGTCATGGATACGTCTGCTAGTTTTTCAATCACAGAAATCATAGCGATGAAAGCAGTATTAACAACCTTCACAGGAAAGTAAGCATTATAAAGCGTTGAATTTTTCAGTTTCCAGAAATGTTAGAGAATTAAAGCCCCATACCTTTGATTTGAGGAGAGCTTACCTCGTTTAATTGAGAGCTTAATTGAATTTTAAGGCTTCAGTCAATCAGATAAAAATATGACCATTGTTTGGTATTGTCCTTAAAACCTGCAACAAACATAGTTTACAATATTACTTGTTCCTTGTAAGGAGAATTAATGTGAGCAATATAAGGGCCATCATGGCCCTCTTGTTTTTCATCTATTTGTTTCATTATTGATAATCTTTAATCTTGCAAAATTTATGAAAATTCTGTGCACCCAAATGATTTTTTTCCAGATTTTCTAAGTAAAAATTTGCATTACAAAAGTCAATGCGAAAGTAAAAATTTGTTTCCAGCCACAAGGACTGGGATCCTTAGATTTATTTCCGGCCCTGATGATTTTTTCCCAGCCCAGACTCTGAAAGGTATTTTTTTTGTAGGGGTGGGGGAGGGATATTGCCATTATTATAAACAAAAATATTTAGCAAATATGAATTATCAGACTCAACTATAAGATACTATGAAAAAAATATACAGAAACATAATAAATAAAACATTAGCATAATTCATAAGAAAACGATACATCTTTCAAAGGTTTAATTTTGAAAATTGGAGAAAAAATATGTTTTGGTAAGGAAATTATCCAAGATAAGATGGTGGCTTACATTACTTTTAATAGCAAAAAATGGTTGTATCTTGCGGTGATTTTGGTTATCTGGGTCTGTGAATACAAGCAAAAATGAAAAAAAAGATCGATCTTGGAAGTTTTGCATATTTTAGAAGGCCAAAAATTGTTTCAAAGTGGCTGAAATTTTATTCGGACATGAGGACTGACTGAATCAAAATTTATCTTGGCCCTCCTGATTTTTAGTTGGCGAGGTCCGAGGACCGACAGACTTTCGCGCAGACTGATTACACTTGGAAACATCTTTGAAAACAAATAACCACACCTTACAATCTATTTACAAGTATCTGAACATGTACTAATTTACATATGAGCCGCACCATGACAAAACCAACATAATGGGTTTGAGACCAGCATGGATCCAGACCAGCCTGCGCATCCTCGCAGTCTGATCAGAATCAATGCTGTTCGCTATCAGTTTCTCTACTTGTTATAGGGTTTGTAAGCGAACAGCATGGATCCTGATCAAACTGTGCGGATGTGCAGGCTGGTCTGGATCCATGCTGGTCGCAAACTCATTATGTTAGTTTTGTCATGGCGTGGCTCATATGAATCACAGCATACAAACACAATGAAATTGACTTGTAATTGTGTTATTGTGATAAGTCATTGATTTCAGTTTTGATGGCCTTGTGTGCAACCAAGTTATTGCCATTAAAGTAAATAAAAGAAGGAAAGTTCTTTTTATTAATTCAAATTAATAGTAATCACAGGAACGATCCAATATAACAAACTTATCTGCAATTCTTACATTTCAGTCTGCAGATATCGGCAACAAAGGTCAATGTAGGCATCCTTTCATTTCACGTTGATGTCCAAGTTGATAAAAAATTGCCTCTCTCCTCTGACCTTGATGCTATTAATACAGCAATAATGATGCAAACATCTACAGGATTAGGAACAGCCACAGACCTTGCTTTATTAGAGGCAAAGAATATGTTGGAAGCATCAACAAGACCAGATGCTGCGCGTGCTATACTCATCATAACCGATGGGCAGTCAAATAATCCGGCTCAAACTGCTGTTGCTGCTGATATAGTAAGATTTTTGTGTTTTTCTGCTGGAATGGAAAGTGATTAGCATTTTCTTACTATCATGGAGCCATTCCTGTCTGCACTTAAGTGCAGTCTGACCAGGCTCTTACTGTTGGTAGCTCAGATTTTAGCTCAACTATGCCGAGAATAGGGAGAGCTATTGTACTCACACCAAGAATCACACTTGGTTAAGTTTTTTATGCTCCCTGAAGATTGAGCATATAGTCACAGCTTTGTCTCTCCATTTGTCAGTCCATCTGTCCTTCCGCACTATCAAATAGGGTTAAAGGACCATCTAACTGTAAACAGAACAAAAGAGAACAATAGATTTTATTCCATTACAATAGAAAACAAAAGAAAATAACAATAAAAATGGCCCTTTAACCAAATTTGGTTGCATGTCCGTCAGTCCGTCCGTCTGCTTTTCTTGTCAGGAACATAACTCTGAAACAACAAGAGGTATGAACATGAAACTTTGTAGGTAGATAGATCTCATTGGGTAGATATGCATTGGGTAGATATGCAGTGCACAAGACCTGTAACTGCCTTGCCTAATTTTGGAGTTATTGCACTTTGTTTATTTTTACACATTGAACTTTGTCCAGCACATTACTCTGAAACTATAAGAGATATCAACATCAAACTTTGTAGGTAGATAGATCTCATTAAATAGAAGTGCAGTACAAGAGAACCGTAACTCTGTCTTGATTATTTTTTGAGTTATTGTCATTTTTACACTTTGAGCATTGTCCAGGACATAGCTATGAAAGTATAGTAGATATGAAAAAGACACATTGAAAGTAGATAGATCTCATTAGGTAGATGTCCATTTAAAAAAACATAACTCTGCCTTGCCTAATTTTGGAGTTATTATTGCCCTTTGTTTATTTTTACACTTTGACCTTTGTCAGGGACATTACTGTGAAACTACAAGAGGTATCAACAAGAATCTTAGTGGGTAGATAGTGAATGTTTTTACATGTGTATGTCCAAAAACAGACTCTTTGTGTGATTAGATATTTGCGAAAATATGATTTCAGGCACTCCGGTAATATTTTAAATTTAGTATGTTGATAAATTTAACAGTATTGATACATGATAGTGTTCGTAAAGAAGTATATGAATATGCAATTAAAGTTAGTTAAGCTGAAAACATTCATGCAATAATTTCAAGGCTGCTTTATGCTGGGTACCTTTGGTCTTTTGGTGGGTAAATTAAGGAAAAGAAGCAGATAAATATTTGAGCCATGTCTTGACAAAACCAACATAATGGGTTTGCGACCAGCATGGATCCAGACCAGCCTGCGCATCCGCGCAGTCTGATCAGGATCCATACTGTTCGCTTACCAACCCTATTACAAGTAGAGTAACTGATAGCAAACAACATGGCTCCTGATCAGACTATGCGGATGCCAAGGCTGGTCTGGATCCATGCTGGTCGCAAACCCACTTTGTTTGTTTTGTCGTGACATGGCTCATTTATACTTCAGTTGAAATAAAAGTACTGTATGTGTATTTAAATTGGCGGAAGCAAATTTTCGCGGAAAGGTCCACTTTGGGGGTCTATACAAATATTCGCGTTATTTTGAATTCGCGGAGGTGACTGCCGAAAATCATGAATTCGCGTTAACCACTCAGGTTAAAAAATAAGGAAAATAACTGTAATCATCGTGGGAGTTCACAGTTATTTTCAATACCAGGTGTCAAACAATACGCTATTGTACAGAAAAAGACATTGTCTAGCGGACAGATTATAGCAAACAAAAGAATGCCCATTAACGTTCATAATTATTTACAGTTTGCGTTATAAACGTCTTGACATCTGATCAGATCATGTTTTGGTTTTTCTAAACAAACAATGCAAAAAGCACAAACATAAACGATTTTAAATGATGAATAACTTAGAAAACAAAACACAATTACTCAGTAAACATTTGAATAAAAGTGTGAAAGCATATCACACTCTGACATACATTGTTCTATAGAAGCGCGAAAATATGACTATTAAGAAATTATTGGTGTAGAAACATTTGCGCTGAACATGAATTCGCGGATCGAATGTCACCGCGAAGATTGCGAAAATTTGAAGCCCGCGAATATTTCTACACATATAGTAAATGTAAAATCTGATTTCTACAAGCTATTTTCATTGATAAGTATTACAAATACTAAGACTTGTTATTTTTAGCTTGAAAAGGCTGGAATATATGTTGTGGCCATAGGACTTGGCTCCGGTGCAGTGTTTGAAAAGGAACTTGATACCATCAGTACATCAGGGTCTGACACCACTATATTAGTAACAACTCTGGCAAGTGTGAGCACTACAGTCTTGAATACTAAAGTTTGTCCAGAAAACTTTAAGTGTTCCTACACATTACAAGTCGTTTACGTCTGGGACTTGAGTGATAGTGCCCAGGTTTTAGCCAATACCAAAAAGCTTGCAGCAGACGTCTCTGTAAGGTAAATGAGCTGTGTCATGACAAAACCAACATAATGCATTTGCGACCAGCATGGATCCAGACCAGCCTGCGCATCCGCGCAGTCTGCTCAGGATCCATGCTGTTCGCTTACCAACATTACAAGAAGAGAAACTGATAGCAAACAGCATGGATCCTGATCAGACTGCGCGGATGCGCAGGCTGGTCTGGATACATGCTGGTCGCAAACACACTATATATATATATGTTCTTTGTTGTTGTTTGTTTCGTTTAATGTCTGAAGTTAAGGGACTTCCTTTTATACCAGTAATGTTCGTTGTATATCAATAAGAGAATCTTATCCAAAATGCTTAATGAAACAATGCTCTTTCATGTGATTGTGCCTGCATGGAAGTTTGTGCAAAGGTGAATGGAATTTATAATCTTATCTTGGTAAGTGTTTTATGAAGAAAGGAAGGAAGGAACAAATGAACAAAGGAACGAAAGGAACAAAAGAAAGAAAGAAAGAAATGAATGAATGAATGAAGTGAAAGTATGCAAAGCAAAGGGATAGTGAAGTAAAAAGTAAATAAATATTATTATATTAAATGATCAAAACAAGTTTATTATTGCAGAAAACCGATGTTTACTTCATAGCAATTACCTGAAAATATTAAGTTTACAAAATTTTCAGATTTGCCGACGTTCAAGCTAAGATCATTGAGGTGAAGACTAACGATAATACACAAGATATCGACACACTCTTAAAGGGTATGACTGAGGCAAGAAAGGAAACCACGGCCTTAAAAGTGTACGACACTATACATAATATAGTCCTTATAACAGATAAGCCCTCAGCCGATATAGGAACGGATTCTGAATCTTTGCTAACAATTACAACTGCTCTTAAAAAAGAAGGTGTGAAAATCACTATTATTAATGCAAGAGACGAAGACGATGAGGGGTGGGAGGAGTATGCTACTTCAAAGGAAACCGTTTTCCATGGATCAGACTTTCACGAGATTGTGCCTGCATGGAAATTTCACCGAAGTTTGTGTAAAGGTGAGTTTTCTTGGTTAATATAATTATAAAATGAATTTAAAATGTGCTTGTATTTTGCTTAAATATTTTGAATATTTTAGGCGATGTTTTATACTTCAACTTACAATATTTATGCCAGTTTATTATTAAGACTCTTGATTTGAAAGTTTTATATTAGTATTGATATACATGTAAATGAGTGACAGAAAAAAATAAGATAACTGTCTGTGATAAATAGGCTTCATAACCTCTGATCCTGTCTGTAAAAATTCCATTGGTTTAGTTTATATCTTTTAAGTTTCTTTTAAATTATTATTTAGAGGAGTTTAATTTAGATAGATTACAAAAGATGCATGGTTCTGTCAGGTTGTGCTTAAATGTCTGTAAAAATACAATAAAATAATCTAGGGTCTTCTTCCAACAGCAGTATTGATGTGGAAATCATGTGACCTTGACAGTGTCAGGATTACTCAAACTTCATCAAAAAAATTAATTATGATAATCATAGGAACAACTTTACATTCTCCAGAATCAAAACATTTTGACAAACTTATTGTACAGAACCAAATTTTTCACAAATTAACTGGTAACCTGCTGAATTACATTGATGGACTGTTCCAGATTCCATTTTACCTGCTGAATTACATTGATGGACTATTCCAGATTCCATTTTACCTGGTGAATTACATTGATAGACTATTCCAGATTCCATTTTACCTGGTGAATTACATTAATGGACTATTCCAGATTCCATTTTACCTGCTGAATTACATTGATAGACTATTCCAGATTCCATTTTACCTGCTGAATTACATTAATGGACTTGTCCACATAACATTTTTGGGACAGTTCATTATCAATTTAGGTATATCATAGTGAAAATTTAAAGTTTAAGTCAGCCAACAGTACAGAGCCTGATCAAACTGTGCCGGATGCACAGACTGGCCTGGCTCTATACTGGTGGCAAAGGCTAATCACTTACAGTTTCAGCAGGTTATGGGTTAGACCACTATGATATACATTTTATAAAAACTAAACTGATTTTGTTTAATTTTAGAACCATGTGACAGTGGTTATAATATTGGTACGGATGGAAAATGTGAGGAATGTCCAATAGGAACATATAGAGATAAGACCAAGAGTTACATGTGCACGGCATGCTCAACGGACTCTACAACTTTACGCACAGGGTCAACATCTCGTGCAGATTGCACAATTAGTAAGTTTATGAGAAAATTAATCTAGTTTCACTTTTTATATCTTTTAATTTGAGCTATTTAATCCTTTTGAATAATAATAATACAATGCAATACCATTTTATTATATACCTATAAATGAAATATTGAGAAATATTGATGAAATGAAATACATATTCTCATTTTCCGTATTTTCAGTCTAAAAATTTATTTTTCACTGGTGTCTTGCTGAACTACTTTCTTCCAAGTTCAGCAAATATACAAAATTTTAGGAGAAGCCTTTCAAATTGTAATGTCAAAAAAAGATAGTTAAGTGACAATTCAAGATTTTTTCCGTTAATACAGGATTTTTTTTCATCTTGCGATATGAAAATTATCATATTTCATACCTTTCCATGAATATCCTCTGTTTACTTTTGAAATTATTCTTAACTACATTAGTTAGTTCAGAGCTGAAGTTCATTAAATTAATATGTAAACCAAAATTTCTGAAGCCTTCTTCTGACTTGAGTTGTAATTCAACTTAGGTTTTGCATTACTTCATATGATTTTGTTTCTTTTCCAGAAATTCAATGCGAGAAACCAATGGACCTAGTATTTTTGATAGATGCTACAGCCAGTATTGGGAATAATTATAACCTTCTTAAAGCATACTTTTGGAGTTTAGTGGATAAGTAAGTTTTTTATGAGTTTTGCATGGTACATAACATGTATATTGAAGCAGATTGAAATTCATTATATATTTAGTTAAAAACCAAACCTTGACTGTGTTACCTATGAAGGCTTTTTACTAACACATGACTTTACTATGTGTTGGGGCCTCTGTAGCCTTATGGTTAGAAAATCTTTTGCCCCCACATTGCTGTAAATTAGAATCCTGCCATGTATGTGAAGAAGCTATTCAGTTAGCTTATGGAAGGTTGGTGGTTGTACTCATGTGTCCACTCATATCTGAATTAATTTTAAAGGAAGGAGCACTTGAGGTCTTCCTGCCAGTAAAGTTGGAAAGTCACCAACATAATTTTGACCATTATAGCATTGATGTCACTTTAAACCTAAGAAACTATATCGAACTGGTTGTAAATATCAAGAAATGCTATATTTATATTCTTTTCTAGCATTTCTTCATTTTAGGTTTGAATTAAGTTACATGCAAAATATTGTGAAATGCAGAGCTAATACTTCTTAAGGCATGTTTCATTGTGAGATATATCTATTACCAGTATGGTTTTTTTTTTTAATGAAAGGAAAAGAAAATGAATATCATAATAGAATTTGAAAATAGGAGCCATTTACAATTTTATCATGTTTTTATCATGACCAGATTTCCGGTTGGTCTTGGTGATGACCAGACACGTATAGCAGTTGGAAAGATTGGCGAAGACGTGGACGATGATGCAGACTTTTCACTTTTATCTGAGTCTGTGAATAGTTTCGCAGTGAAGGCGAGCATTATCGGTCTCCTTGGCAACGAGCAGAGCACAAACACTGCAGTATCTCTGGAGATGGTTTATAATATCTTCAAAACCGAGGGTCGTGACAATACGAAGTACCCGCATATAGTACTTGTTGCTACAGATGGAAGGTCGGGAAATACGTTCCAGACAAAGAGATATAGCTCCATTTTAAAACTCAATGGTATGAGTGTAATTATATATATATCAATATTCTTTGTTTACTTCTTTACAATTATCCAAAGATTTTTTTTTTTCTATTTGTTTACTTAAAATTTTGTGTTTTACATTATGTTATGTAAATTCACAGTTATTCAAGATAATTTCCAAATAGAACTCATGGAAAAGGTATATATCAACTTCAACTTTATTTTAGTTAAGAAAATTTCAATAATGCAGAGAATTTTGAGTTATTTGCTTTTGAAAATGACCAGAAAGAGAAAAAAAACTCACTTTCAAGGGCAGATAACTCCCAATTGTTAAAAACTTTATATGTTTCATTTATGATTCTCTTTACATGCAAGAAAATTCTCTATGCTAGTTTCTATTTTTCTTCTTTGCCTTTGTAAAAAAATACTTTTCCAAGAAACATCTTTTAATGTGGCCTAACACAGTATTCAACCAAAATTTTTAACAAGTTTTTAAGATACTTTAAAATGATATTAATTATAATACAAACAACGTTTCTGGCATGTACAGGCAGTATAAATATACCTTTCTATAGCTGTATAATCACAATTCTTATAAAATCATGTTTTCAGGAATTCGCACTCTAGTTATTGCCCTTGGTGACGGTGTATTCCAACCAGAAATAGAGGCTTTGGCTTACGATTCTAACTCAATATTTTCTTTTGCAACTTACAAGAGTCTAGTTGAGTCAACTTACATACCGGAAAAAATATGTGATGGTGAGTGCTCCAAATAATCTATACCGATATAAGGTAAATAATTCAAATAATGGCAGGAAATCTAAATATGGTGAATAATACTCCAAATAATCTAAACCCATATAAGGTGAATAATTCAAATAATGGCCGGAAATTTAAATATGGTGCATATTACTCCAAATAATCTAAATACATAAGGTAAAAAATTGCGGAAAATCTAAATATGGTGAATAATACTCCAAATAATCTAAATATAATAAGGTAAATAATTCAAATAATGGCCTGAAATCTAAATATGGTGAATAGTTCAAATAATATGTAATATGATCTTGTTTAAGTTAAACTGTTTAAGTACATGTAAGGTTTTTTCCTTTTGATTTCCAGTATGATCTGATAACAATTTTTTGTTTTTTCATTTGTTTCAGCTGCGGAGAGTTATAAGCCGAGTACACCAGTAATAATTGGACCGGAACTGTTAGGTAAATGTCTGTCTAATGTTATTGAAAGTCATTCGTTGTCAGTCAGTTATTTTAGTGGCGGGCACTTTTGTTTGCCCACTTAGCTCAATAGGGTGAGCATTGGATTCATAATCCAAGGATTTCTGGTTTCCTTGCCGAGGCTAAATTTCTCAGTGACAATTAATATTGGACATTAATATTATTTAAATCTGCTGAATTTGGCTATTTTGAACCTTTCAAAAAACCTTCAGAACTAATTATTTATGTCATTCACTGGCAATCTTGGCCCCCAAAACCTTGTTGAATGTTTTCGTATTTTATACTTTTAGTGTTCTTGAACTTACATCTGTACATATTTATTTTATACATTCCTAGAACTAATAAATAACTTAATTATTACCATCACAACAGGTTGGTGATTAAACATGAAATGAGCCGCGTCACAAAACCAACCTAATGTGTTTGCGACCAGCATGGATCCTGATCAGACTGTGCGGATGTGCAGGCTGGTCTGGATCCATGCTGTTCACTTTCAAACTCTATTACAAGTAAAGAAACTGATAGCAAACAGCATGGATCCTGATCAGACTGCGCAGTGCGCAGGCTGGTCTGGATCCATGCTGGTCGCAAACGCACTATGTTGGTTTTGTCATGACGCGGCTCAAATGTATATTTATAACATCATATATAATTTTTCAGGGGAATGTAAGAGTTATATGGATATGGTATTTGTAGTAGATGCGTCATTAAGTGTAACATACCCTGTGTTCCTGAAGATGAAAATATTCATGATACAGTTCGCTCAGATGTAATAATATCTTTCTCTTTTTCTAAACCTTACATTATTATAACTATATATATACTATATATATATTATAACTAACATATTTTTTTCTTCAGTTTAATATTCTGAATTAAGAAGTAAATTATAAAGAAATAAGAAAAACAAATGTAATTCAAGCTATCAATTTTTTGATTATGAAGTAAGTGGTTTATATTGCTATACATGTAAATATGTTGTTTTTGTGTCGCCTCTACAGGGTAGTGGCAACATATAGGGATCACTTCTCCATCGTCTGTATGTCCCTTTGTCTGTCCGTCTGTCTGTCCATCACAGAGCTTGCCTGAGCTACTCCTAAAAAACTATTGGTGCAATTTCATCATATAACACAAGTTTTCCTGTTGAATGATTTTTGGCTGAGTTACGGCCCTTTAATAAAAAAATGCATTTTGCCCTGTTAACGATTTTTGTGTCTCCTGCTAAACAGTAGCTGCAACATGTGATTGGTTATCATGAGGCGACACATGTGATCACTGATCGCTTTTGTTTAATACAGGTAATTTAATTTAATATAAACCTTTTTATAAACCTTTACCTCACTGTAACTGAAAGTGATTATTCTTTGCCAGCAGTTTAAAGCCAGGCCAGTCTGCACATCACATAGTCTAATCTGAGGCTCCATACTGTTGGCTTAACAACTTAAATTTGCATCTTGCTGTCCCTAAAATTGATAATGGATAGTTCTGAAAATGAAAGTGGGAAAAGTCCATTTAAGTAATTTAGCAAGTAAAGGTTATTAAGACTGAATATTAATAAAGGAATGGACAAGGATGCAAGTACTCCATTTGTGACATATATTCATGAGTCAGTGATTTCATGGTCATGTTTTACAATAAACCTTGTTTTAACAGGCACCTTTGATTAAAGATAATATATAAATCATATCTTTAAAAGCTTCATTATTATTTTCTCACTCAATGTTATGATTTTAAATTACCTGCCCTGAGAGACCACCTATCAGCAAAGACCATGTTTGATCTTATTTAACCTGTCAGCAAAAATCATGCCTGATTGTATTTAATAACTATTTCAGGTTGGATATTGGGCAAAACAGGATCCGAATAGGTGTTGTAGCATTCTCAAGTACAGTTCATAGCCAGGTGTTTTCTCTGAATCAATGTACGGACCAGAAAACTTTAGAGACAGATGGTATTTTACCACAGGTTTGGACAAGTGGTGGAACCACCAACACAGCCGCTGCCCTTGACCGAATGATACAGATGTTTGTGGCTGAAGGTAGGCCTGCATATTTAGAAGTACAAGATATATAGTTCATGTATATAACCTGAATTCTTAGTTGATGATAATGCTTAATATCTTAAAAGATATTGTCCATCTTTCAATCAGATCAAAACCATTTCATCATTTTCAGGGCAAAACAGTGCTGACCATGATTTTGGTCTGCACAGGCCACATATACAGCAAAAGCAGTTTGTAGTCAGGCCTTTGCAATAGATGACATTGACCTTGAATTAAAAATAAACTATGTTCACCATTAAAAGACATAAAACAACTCAATGCCAATATATGATTTTTTTAAAATTTATTATTTTGTTTAAACTTTGTTTCAGGCTGCTTGTGAAGAAAGCATGTAACTTATTATCCTTCCGTCCGACATTTTTGTCCGGAGCATATCTCTAAAAGTATTTGAGTTATCAACTTGAAACTTCATAGGTGGATAGACCTCATTGAGGAGGAGTGCAGTGCACAAGAATGATAACTCTACCTTGCATGATTTTTGAGTTATTGCCCTTTGTTATTTTTCAAAATTGATTTTTGTCCAGAGCATAACTCCAAAAGCCTATGAGATATTAACATGAAACTTCATAGGTGCATAGATCTCACTCAGGAGGTGTGCAGTGCACAAGAATGATAACTCTACCTTTCATAATTTTTTAGTTATTGCCCTTTGTTATTTTTCATACCTAATTTTTCACCTGAGTGGAGCATAACTCAAAAAGTGTTTTGAGATATCAACATGAAATGTCATAGGTGGATAGATCTTATTGAGGAGGAATGTTGTGCGCAAGAATGATAACTCTTCCCTATACAATTTTTGAGTTATTGCCCTTTTTTTTTTTATGCTATTTTGTCCAGAGCTTATCTCAAAAAGTATTTGAGGTATCAACTTGAAACTTCAAAGGTGGATGGATCTCATTGAGGAGGAGTGCAGTGCTTAAGAATGATAACTCTACCCTGCATTATTTTTGAGTTATTGCCCTTTGTTTTTTTTTCAAAATTAAATTTTGTCCAGAGCATAACTCAAAATGCCTTTGAGATATCAAAATGAAACTTCATAGGTGCATAGATCTCACTCAGGAGGTGTGCACTGCACAAGAATGATAACTCTACCTTTTATAATTTTTGAGTTATTGCCCTTTGTTCTTTTTCATACTTAATTTTTCAATTCAATTTTTTTCTCAAAAAGTATTTGAGGTATCAACTTCATAGGTGGATAGATTTTACTGAGGACGGATGCAGCACACAAGAATGATAACCTACCCTGCATTATTTTTCAGTAATTGCCCTTTGTTATTTTCAGCCATCAGTATTCACATAGGTTTCAAATCTGTAATCACTATAGCCATCAGTTTTCATTACCAAAAGACCTCTTAAAATGGAATTATTCCGCTCTACTACATATACATTCTTCCAATGAGCAAACACATTCGGCGGGGGATGGCCATGTTGACATGGCTCTTTAACTACTTTTGAGTGCTTATATTTCTTTTGACAGACCGCCTTTCTACAAAGGTCACTTTTTCTTTCTATAAGTTACCCATAATACCCAATGATACACATGTTCAACTAAACTTTGGTTCAATGTTTTTATATATTTAGGTCGCCAGGGAACACCATATGTTGCTATAGTAATGACTGATGGTAAATCAGATGTTCCAGCTAGCACAAAACTGCAAGCTCAAAGGGCTAAAAGAGAAAGGTTTGTAAAATGATTTTACAGTCAAACTTGCCCATGCGACCACGTCTATTAAAGCGACTTTTGTCCCCCCCCCCCCCCCCCCCCCCCCCCCCCCCCCCCCCCCCCCGCCCCCCCCCCCCCCCCCCCCCCCCCCCTCCCCCCCCCCCCCCCCCCCCCCCCCCCCCCCCCCCCCCCCCGATCATTTTCTAATGTACTGAGCGACTTTTGCTCAACGTGACCAGCGACCACTAATTAGTCACCTAATTGAGATCAATTCTTTTCATTAAACGACCACTTTTACCTGTCAAGTAATTGTGTTTTTAGAGAACGCTGCCTCGTAATGTCACAAGTGTTAACAATCAAAACATAACAAATAAATGTGTGAAAAACTCTATTTCTCAAACTGTTTAAGCGTATGCAAATGAAGTTAAGTATACACATGACGGGTATTATCCAATAATATCGAATAAACAATGCAACGCTCCGCCCCTACTGAGGTGGTGTATACGCTTCCCTTGTTGACATTTAGACTGCATTGAATTGACCTTGAACTTGATCAGCAATTAAATTAGATGTAGTCTGTTCATTTCGAATGAAAAAATGCACAACAGAAAAACTTCTTCACTAATAGGGTTTTCGTTTTGGAGAAAAAAAAATCTGGAAAAAATGTCAAACACGTACGTTATGGATAAAAACTGTTTTGTCAATAAATATCAGAAAGTTATTTTTTTACATTGGCATCCATTTAGATTATCAAGCGTACTAATTATTCAACATTTATATAAAAATGAAGTTGTAAACATTCCCACCGCATAAGAAAGATGTCATTTGTAAATTTTGACTTTAATGTCATTCTTTTCTTAAGAGACCGTTTCATTAAGCGACCGTTTTGGGTGTTTCCCTGGCGCGGTCGCTTAATACAAGTTTGACTGTATAGGTAAATATTTGTTGTCAGTTAAATTGTCAATAATTCTTATGAATATTTTTTTATTAACTCTACTGTGGCTCTGGACCTGAAATAACAAATCATAAAAATAGCTATTAAAGTACTTTTACCTAGGAACTTCAAACTTTTTATTGAGATGTATCCTTGATTGGTCCTACCTGTCACACCCATTTTCAGGTCAAAAGGTCAAGGTCATTTGAGGACCTATAATAACAAGCATAAACTGAACATTTATTTAACTGAACTTATGTAATCAGGTATGAAAGTGAAATAAAGATTGATAATGCTTGATCTGTGGCAGTACTTGTCATGTGATATTAATATATCATTGATATGCTAGCCCTATTGGGCATAGTAAATTGTATTCTTGTATGAATTTTTCAGGTATTCATATAGTGGCTTTGGGTTTTGGAACCATCAGTTTAGGGACAAACGCTCAGGAACTTTACGACATCGCGACTGACCCAGCCTCGGTTAAAGCTGTGAGCACTTTCTCTGAAATCACACCTAAACAGTTATTGGACCTGTCCTGCTCATGTATGTATAAATAGTTCTATAAATTTCATAAGCAATGCTTCTTTGTTTAATATATTGCTGAAAAAAAATTGCTTTCAAACAAAATAATTCAGAAATATTTGATGCAAGAAAGGTGCCCATGAAGCTAGTGTTAGGACATTTTGTCGTTTAAGACCAACCTTCTTCTTGTGCTAAAAATAATGTTGCGATTCACTCAACCAATAAGGCTGAAATGTTATCATAAAATCTTAACAATTACTTTGAACTAAATTCCTAAACAATAAAGTATAATTCACATCAATTTTATCTTTATTGCTTGAACTTATATTGGCTTACTAAACTGTTTCATATTGGCCTACTGACACATTGTCATATTGGCTTACTGGCATTATTGGCCTATTGTCATAATTTGGCCTTCTGACATAATTGCCTTAACTTACATATTGGCCTGCTTACATATTGACATATTGTCCTGCTGACATATTGGTGCCCATTTTAGATTCATAACTTTTCCGATGTATGATATACAACCACTATTATTATTATTTGTTAAAGGTTCTAATCATTTTAAAAGATAACATGATTAATGAACTATTTCAACCTTAAACAAGATATGCAGAATGTTGTTTATTTTGGAATGCCTATTTTGATGTGCAAAACAAATGAAAGACATATTGGCCATGATGGTTCATTCATTTAAGCATGTGTAGAGAATAATTTTTGCATGATTATCAATGTTAAAAGATCCCAATCAGGAAGTTTATCCAAAGTGTTTGTTTGCACTAGAATATGTCTCACTATGCACAAAAAAGGAGTGTTTACCCCAACCAATAAAAGTAGGAAAAGTTGCTGTAGTGGCCTTAAATAGAGCCAAGACCCCTAAGAGAAGAGTTTCGTCCAAGGTTTGTTGTTTAACATAAGAATCAATCCTATGGGCATGTTTTATAATGGAGATGTGTCTTATCATCAATTACAAGAACATACTACAGTTGTCTTATGACCTTTGTACTGTTTATATGAAAGAAAAAAAACAGTCTTAATTAATACATGTATATATTTATTCTATCCACCTTGCACCTGACATAGTGGTAGGAGTTGGGAGGTACATGGTATGCAAACAAAAGGTGTCTCATAAGTCAGAAATGGCTGGCCCTTTCAGTAGGGGTGACAGTATAATAAACAAGACCTTTACCTTAACCTTTGCATTTATAACAGATAAAAGTGTCTATCACTAATTGGCATTATTTTATTACAGTTAATTTTGAATGCTCCAATAATATGGACATCGTAGCAGTGTGGGATCTTGTGAACTTTGACACAATTAGAAGGGCAGAGATATTCATAGATGGCTTGAAGAAAAGGTAGGTCAGGTGTATCTAGCATATTGTCAGTGCATGGACAGTGGGTGTGCTCCTGTGTTATAGAGAGGCCATTAAGTTTCTTCTTTTTATTTATATATGGAAATGTTAATGTCATACTACAAAATATTAATAATAAATATTGAAAATGTGATGTCACTGAATTTCATGGGCATGAAAAAAATAAAAAAAAATTCGGTTCTTGAATCATGGACTGTTTATTTTCCAAAATGTAAATAGTGATGTAAAATAATCTTATTGCAGATAAAATGAAATTTCGTTGGATCTTAAATTTGTGGATTTACTAACCATGAAAACCATGAAACTTTAAGTGCTCCTCGAATAATAATTACTTTGCAGTATTAATGGAACAAGAATATGTTTATACAATAAAAATACCTTATACATACTTTCAGTTAAATTTTTATTTTTATTTTTAGCTTTGTTAATTCTGTTGTCACAAATATATTTGTGGATCATGTGGCGGATGTTGCCCTGGCGATGAAAGAGGCTGTACAAAAACAACATAGTTCTTCTAAAACAAATTTCAATGTGGCACGAGTTATAATGGTTATAACAGATAATTTAATTGATGCTAGTGTGAAAGGTGGGTACTTCAGTTAATGTTTTAGAGGAGCTCCACTAAGGTCAAAAAGCCTGACCATCTAGTTAGTTCAATAGACAGAGTATTGGACTGTGAATTACCACAGAATGTCGGGCGACCCAGATTTGATTCCCTGACAGGCACGGCACATTCATTGTGATTGATCATGATTTCCTTTCTATGGTCACTCCCACTGAACCTCTGCTCTGGCATGTACAGAAGTTGTCAGTTCCTTGTGAAAGAGAAGGCAACTAGAACTTGTAAACTACTTGGAACGATGCGATGCCTGAACTGAACTCTGGTTAATTAAATGTGGCTTACTGTTGTGATCTGTAGAAACTACCACCGTCACCAAATTCAAAAAGCCTAAAAACATAAATTTTTTGCAGAAATCAGATGATGTTTTTAAAATTGAAAAGTTTGCAAAAGATAATTAAGAAGTATATATTGAGTTAAATTGAAAATTGATTGTTTTGCATGAACATTAGCCTGGTTTAAGTTGCAACGCTTTTTATTTTTTGGTCATTTTGCACATTAAATATTATTATTCCAAGAAAACATAAAATGGACTGGACAAAACCAAGCATATAAAGGTTATGACAGGCTTTCAGGTACTAATGTTACATAATAAAACATAATCCAAGTATGACTCAAATCTTATTATATGGGTTGAGAATCAGACATATTAATCCCAATGAGATATTTAAAAAAATGTTTGAAAATATCAATTCCAACACGCTTCGCACCATTCCCCTATCAAATAAATAGGGCAAACAACGGCATTATTACACATTATATGCACAATCTACACATTTGAACTCAAACCATGCATTATTCTACAACAATGCACTCAAAATTGATATTTATTTCTTAATCAAAGGAAAAAAATAAAATAATGAACTGTTACTGCATTTCTTTCAGCACGACTTGAAGTCGAGATTAACGTAGCCAAGGCAGATGGTATTCTGGTGGCTGTTGTGGATGCTGCCACTACCTCAAACAACATCGAAAGCTTCGCCTCCAATGATAAATTGAGCTTCTTTACTAACAGATATGACATGTTACCTTTTGAGCTGGTAATTAAAAGGAGTTTGTGTACAGGTGAGTTTATCATACAAATAATGTTAGAAAAAATGAGTTGTCTTATAATAAACAATTGAGGTGAGTTTACAATACATTAGACCAAACGCAGGTGAGTTTACAATACATTGTTGACCAAACACTGAGTTAACAGTGCACGCAGCACTAAAACACATTGATGAGGTTACAGTGAAAGAAGTATGAGTACAGATGAGTTTCTGTTCTTCCTACTTTATATTGGTCATTTATTTTATAGAAACCTGACTTAAAGAACTTTTAGCATTAAATTGAAGGTTTGAAATTGATAATGTAATGAATTCATAGCAAAACTGTCTTAACTTTGTTGTGAAGATGATAAAACTGTACCACAGTGTTACATTGAAACTTTGAAAATGATCATCATCTGATGTATTTTTTCAGTGCCATGTACTGATGGATACCAGGTGTCAAGTACAACAGGAACTTGTGAAGAATGTGAGGTCAACAAGTACAGAGATAGTGATGAGTCATTCCTGTGTCAGTCATGCCCAGATGGAAGAACTACAGATGGCGCCACTGCATCAGACAGACTCTCTGATTGTCTCTTAGGTATTATAAGAATAGGATAATTTGATATATATATTAAAATTTCAAGTTGCAATAGAGATCATGACGTAGTATTTTCACAGGTTAGCCTGCACAGGAATTTTCTTTCTATGATTTTTTGTTGTTGTCATGTCATTCTAAAAGGTTTTTAAGGTCAGAAGTTGAAAGGTCAAGGACACAGCTAAAAATTGATTTGTTTAATTGCTGAAACTTAACTTAAATTTAAGTGCCAAATATTTTTTGATGAAGATAAATGTTTTTTGATGAAGTTTTAGAGATTTGAATGTAAAAATACAAAAATAGAGCTACACAGAGTGTAAAGCCTGGTCAGACTTCACTGAAGTACAAACTGGCCAGTCTTTATACTGGTGGCAAAGGCTAATTACACGTCATTCTCAAGGCAGATAAAGGGTTAAAGGACATTGGAGCTGAAATTGATTTTAAATGATATTAAAGTTTTATGTGAAATGTTGTCTTATCGCTGAACTACACGAAATATAAGTTTAGTGAATAAAAGTGAAAAAATTAGTATAATAGAAGTGATTTAAAAATTTAAAAGTGATTCTCCTATATTTCAGGTAACTGCCTTGCCCCTATGGATATTGTGTTTGTGGTGGACTCATCCCAGAGTATCAGAACTAATGAATACACCTTGATGAAAGTGTTTCTTTTAAATTTAATTGGAAAGTAAGTCATTAATGTTTTTAGCTCACCTGACCACGAAGTGGTCAAGGTGAGGTATAGTGATGGGGCTATGTCCGGCGTCCGTCGTCGTGCGTCGTGCGTCGTGCGTCGTGCGTCGTCAACAATTGGGTTGTTAACAGTCTAGCAGTCACAGTTTTGATTGGATCATCATCAAACTTTGTCAGAATGTTTATCTCAATGAAATACAGGTCGAGTTCGAAGATGGGTTATCTCGGGTCAAAAACTAGGTCACAGGAGCTAAAAATAGAAAAACCTTGTTAACACTCTAGAGGCTGCAGTTTTCATCCAAATATTCTGGAAATTTGTCAGGAAGGTTGTTTTAATGATATCTAGGTCAAGTTCGAAGATGGGTCATCTCCGGTCAAAAACTAGGTCACAGGAGCTAAAAATAGAAAAAGCTTGTTAACACTCTAATAATTGGGTTGTTAACAGTCTAGCAGTCACAGTTTTGATTGGATCATCATCAAACTTTGTCAGAATGTTTGTCTTAATAAAATACAGATCGAGTTCGAAGATGGGTTATCTTGGGTCAAAAACTAGGTCACAGGAGCTAAAAATAGAAAAAGCTTGTTAACACTCTAGAGGCTGCAGTTTTCATCCAAATATTCTGGAAATTTTTCAGGAAGGTTGTTTTGATGATATCTAGGTCAAGTTCAAAGATGGGTCATCTCCGGTCAAAAACTAGGTCACAGGAGCTAAAAATAGAAAAAGCTTGTTTACACTCTAGTGGCTGCAGTTTTGATCCAAATATTTTGGAAATTTGTCAGGAAGGTTGTTTTGATGATATCTAGGTCAAGTTCGAAGATGGGTCATTTCCGGTCAAAAACTAGGTCACAGGAGCTAAAAATAGAAAAAGCTTGTTAACACTCTATAGGCTGCAGTTTTCATCCAAATATTCTGAAAATTTGTCAGGAAGGTTGTTTAGATGATATCTAGGTCAAGTTTGAAGATAGATCATGTTGGGTCAAAAACTAGGTCACAGGAGCTAAAAATAGAAAAAGCTTGTTAACACTCTAGTGGCTGCAGTTTTGATCCAAATATTTTGGAAATTTGTCAGGAAGGTTGCTTAGATAATATCTAGGTCAAGTTCGAAGATGGGTCATCTCCGGTCAAAAACTAGGTCACAGGAGCTAAAAATAGAACAAGCTTGTTAACACTCTAGAGGCTGCAGTTTTCATCTAAATATTCTGGAAATTTGTCAGGAAGGTTGCTTAGATAATATCTAGGTCAAGTTCGAAGATGGGTCATCTCAGGTCAAAAACTAGGTCACAGGAGCTAAAAATAGAAAAAGTTTGTTAACACTCTAGTGGCTGCAGTTTTGATCCAAATATTTTGGAAATTTGTCAGGAAGGTTGTTTTGATGATTTCTAGGTCAAGTTCGAAGATGGGTTATCTCCGGTCAAAAACTAGGTCACAGGAGCTAAACATAGAAAAAGCTTGTTAACACTCTAGTGGCTGCAGTATTGATTCAAATATTCTGTAAATTTGTCAGGCAGGTTGTTTTGATGATTTCTAGGTCAAGTTTGAAGATGGGTTATCTTGGGTCAAAAACTAGGTCACAGGAGTTAAAAATAGAAAAAGCTTGTTTACACTCTAGTGGCTGCAGTTTTGATTCAAATATTCTGGAAATTTGTCAAGAATGTTGTTTTGATGTTTTCTGGGTCAAGTGCTAAGATTGGTCATGTCTGGTCAAAAACTAGGTCACAGGAGCTAAAAATAGAAATTTTTTTTTAACACTCTAGTGGCTGCAGTTTTGATCCAAATTTCCTGGAAATTGGTCAGGAAGGTTGTTTTGATGATTTCTAGGTCAAGTTTGAATATGGGTTGTATCCAGTCAAAAATTAGGTCACATTGCCCAAATATGGAAAAATCTTTACAACAAAGTATAGGTCACATGTTTGACTCAGTCGCATCAAACTTGGTCATGATGCTTGTTTAAGACATTGCTTGGATGCGGTTGTGTCAGGTGAGCGATCCAGGGCCATCATGGCCCTCTTTTTAGTTTTTTGTTTGTTTTTTTTTTAATTTTATTTATCAAGATAAATTCCCATATTTATACTTCAGATACATTTTGGTTGTACAGTTTGTTTTAAAACTTAACAATTTTATGTATATATATCTTAACATCTACATCACAATGTACATTATCCAACATTTTCCTTCTTTTTCAAAATACAAGTGCTATAACTTAGTTTGCAGCATAATGCTGATATGATAGATTTGTTTGTCCTGGTTCCGAGACTTTGACATGCCGACTCTAGATTCTTCACTTGGATTGAGACAACTGATTTATCTGTTCTTTGACCATTAATTGATGAGTGACTGTTGTTGATCCAAGTTATTTAATTGTGCCCCGCCTTTTTGAAGAAACACTTTATAAATGTATTTCTGTTTACACCTTGATATTATTTCTTTAATGAATTTATTGTTGCATGTGTAGATATAGCATTGATCAAGATTTTGCACTGAATGTCCGGATCCATACCTCATTCTTTTGAAATAGCACAATTTTGTGCCTTATATAAAACTTCCCTTACTGGTGGGGAATGTTGGTAACTCTGTTACAAATTCTTGTTGCTATGAGGTTTGCAGTTACAGTTTATTAGCAGTACTGCATCCATGAGCACATATTAAGTACCTACCTGCCTGCTAGTATATTTGCTGAATGTCAGGCTGGTCACATTAAATTTGTATGTAAGGAATTTTTGTGACATTTTATTTAAACTCACATGCAGAAGACTGTTACTGTTACATTGTATAGACGAGAATATTGTTAACCCAGAACCTGCTGAATCTGTGTAATGGTTTTACCCAGCTTTGAATTTGGAACAGTCCATTCAAATTATAAGGGATTTTGTTATCAAACTATATGTAAATTTAGCTGCCAGCAGTATAGTGTCAGGTAAGGCGCTGCATAGATTTGCAAGCTAGTCTAGCTTTACACTGGTTTGCAGAGACTAAGGACTGTCAGTTTAAGCAGATATTAGGGTTAAAAGTACATATATAATGAATTTTTGAATGGTGATGAGTGAATATATTTGTACAGGTTTGATATTAGTGAGGATAGAACTCGGGTAGGCATTTTGCCGTATACATCAGATGTTCTCAGTGGAGATGTGTTCCCATTACAGCAGTCAACCGAACCGGAACCTGTTCTTCAAGCTGTACGTCAGCTCAACCAAGGGACTTTACCAACAGGTATGAAGTTTACTCAGTATAGTATAATTGCCATGTGATTATGGTCAGTGATTAAATAGAAATTTCTAGATATAATACTGGTGAATTTTGGGAACAGTTTGGATTTCAATTAAACTAGCACAGAATGATTTGAATCCAGCCAATGGCATGGACTTATTTCAAATGCTCTGACTTTAAGGCTAGAAACTTACCAAATAACCTTCATAGTTTAACTAAAAATTATTATAGCAAAGTCATCTTTAAATCATTTGATATAATTCTTTTCTCTTTTATTTAAGGAACTAACACGGCTAGAGCAATTGATGTTGCTGTTGATATGTTTAAAGTCCAGGGTCGTAGGACAGGCGGAGTTATGCGCATCCTGGTCTTGTTAACCGACGGCATGTCTACTAACACTTACAAAACTATCGAAGAGGCAAATAAGGCCAAGGCCGAATTCATACGTCTATTTGTCATTGGCGTCGGTCCTAACGTTTTCCAGTATGAACTTGACCGCGTTGCAAGTGATGAGGATTCAAAGTTGATGGTTCCTAATTTCTTGACATTGGCAACAAATACGGATTTTATTACAAGAATTTGTGAAGGTGAGTGAAGAAATTTCATATTATTAGCCTGACTTTTAGGAAAAAGGCTAAGTGAAAATTTGTGATAGTGAGAATATTGGACATTACACTACAGAACAAATTAAGTATATAAGTGATGTCTGATGGTGAAATAAACACAGGGAAATTATTCAAGTTGGTTCTATTTCATAGGATAAGATACCTTGGTACATTAAATGTCACATTAGAAAATAAGAAAAAAAATTGCATCTTGCAACATTTTGACATCTAAACTGCTCTTAGAAAAACTCAAAAAATTTAATTGTATTTTTAAGCCTTACCATGCTGGCAGCAATAAAATGCAGCCTTCTGTGGGCACATCCATGCTCTGTGATCATAATATGCACTGTTTGCTATCAGTCAGTAGAGCATATATTTGAAAAAAAATCCCTATAAAATTATGAATGGTTTTGTCTAGATTGAAAAATGGCCAAGGTCATTTAAAATATTTAAGACTATCTTGACAAGCAATTTACATTTAATTGTGTTGATTCAATGGACACCTGTCTGAACCCATGCAGTGATTTTTCACCTTATAAATGTATGACAGAGAATTATACAACGGGCTCTTCATATATTTGAAAATTTCTTTAATATCCTGCACAGTTTCCAAAAAACATCTGAACTTACACCAGCTTTTATACTTCCCAAATTAGCAATTTTAGGGATTTTAGGGATTTTTTTTTTTTTGCAAAATCATAAAGTGGCATAGGCCTCTTCCCAATTAAGTGAGAAAAAACAACTGCCTTTATATTTTTCCCAATATATTGAAATGTTTCTGCATACCTTTACTTCCATTTCCAAACTGAGTAAAAAACAATACAGGTTCCCATATCTATTGATACCAGTGGATCATACCATTAACAAATATTTTTGCTTTTACAGACACATTTACATGCACTAAGAGCATAGATATTATAATATTTGAAGACAGAATTACTACTGATCCAGAGTTTAAAGGACGATTTAACAACTTTGTTGTAAAACTTGCAAGCAGGTATGTTTGTTTAACTTTTACATTGCTAAAAATTGTGAAATGGACATTAAAAATGGACATTAAATGTTATGTAAAAGGGCTTGTCCTGCTTATCATTTAGAGATGAATATACCTGTAAACCTGAAATCAAGAGTTGTTAGCCTCTGCCACCAGTATAGAGCCTTTGCCACCAGTAAAGAGCCAGGCCAGCTTGTACTTCCATGCTGTCTGACCAGACTCTATACTGTTGGCTGCCAAACTTTAAATTTTTATCTTAATATCCCCAAAATTGATAATGGACAGTTCCAAATTTCAATGTGTGTGATATAATTTTGTATGTGCTTTGTCGTAAAATTTTAAACAAAATTTTAATTGGGTCAAGAACATTGAGTCTAAAAAAAGTTTTTCTTCTTTTTCCTAATAGCAAGGCTAAGTTTTCAGGTTAGTCAAAGCAAGATGTATCAGTTTTTTGTATTTCACAAGGTCATTATTGACGAGGTTTTACTATATTTTGTAATATTTGTATTAGTATTATTTACACTGAAATCAGTCAAATTTAGCTTTTTTATGTGTCTTTATATTTTCCAGTTTCAGCCAGTCAACTGTGGCAATATCCCCATACACAAATATGGTCGAGTTAAGCACTCAAGCTGATAACCAAGATCTATCCACCAATCCGCAGAAAACAAAACTGTTCATTTTTGTCACAAAAACAGATATTTTGGATGTTGATGTTAAAAATAAAATTGTCAGTAAACTACGTAATACTGGAGGGATTGTGTCAGTCATCAATGCAAGGACCGACCTAGACAACATAAACTTTGTTACCATAGTTAACAGTCTGCAGTTCCTGTTTAATGTGGAGAATTTTAATGAACTTCCAGCCTACAGATTCCTTGAAAGGAAATTTTGCATTGGTAGTAAACCTATTTTATATAATTTTTTGACATGAAAATTTTATAATTTTATGAAACATAATAAAACACTATTGTTAAAGTGATATAGGAGTTAATAAAATGCAATCGTATTATTTAAAGGACATTTAATATCTGTTTTGCACACATCTGTAAGTTGATATCTGATGATGAACGTGATTGAGCTTTTTATTTTGTTTGTAGACCCTTGTGATGATGGAGAGCAAAGAGGAATGGACGGGTCGTGTGAGAAATGTCCGCGAGGAACATATCGTGTTAAAACTGACGCGCATACTTGTGTGCAATGTGCTGTTGGTAAAACAACAGAGAATACAGGATCTACAGCCGACACTGCCTGTATACGTAAGTCAATATATTTTTGCTTTCTGAAAGTTTGCGAGCGTTGGAAGCATATTTCATTTGTTTCAAAGGTGTAAACAGGCCTCTTTGTTTTGTCTAGTTATTCCATTTGTTTCAGCATTTATTGACCAAATATTTCAATCTGTGCTTGCATTGACATCTTATGTCAGATGGGGTTCATAATCAATGGGGTCAAGGTCACTGATCCTAAAATGTGATTTTTCTACTTTAATGCCCCCACTACTGTATTGGGAGAAGCATATGGATTTGCCCGTATCTCTTCTTAATGCTGGCTGTCTATACACTAGCATAAAAGTGGAATATGGGGGGATCTTTGACCTAAGGGCTCATGTGTAATATTCATATTTTGGCAAAGGTTTCAGCCCTGTCAAAGGAGTGTTTTGGTACATCCATCACTGCAAATTATACTCTTGTTAAAAGTACATGTACTTTTATTGTTTATTTCAAATCACTTTGAATGAAATTTATTAGATAATCAATAAAATAAATATGTAAGGAAATCAAAATAGATATACATGAAACAAAAAATATAAAAAATGATTAATTAATGATATTATCAATATTTAATAACAGAAATAATATATAATGATACATTTTTCCAATAATTGTGCAAAAATTTTTGGTCTGTCCAACACTTACCTTTTGTCATCTGCAGTGCTTTGTGCGTCCCTAAATAAAAGTAAACACTTTCATATGTCATGATGGCACAGTCCATTCAGACTGAATGTTTTAGACATTGAGGTGAAGTTTAATTTCTTCACAGTCATTGAGCATTAGCAAAATTAGTTTCTTCCTCAAAGAATTATAGATTATCCCAGTGGCAAAGAATTATAATTATTATTATGTATTTGACTATATGTGATTGATGTATGTTATTTCAGCCAACTGTGGACCTGGGTTTAAGACAGTAGGGGAGAACTGTGTTGAATGTGGTAAAGGAGAATACCAGGCTGACAGTTTTCAGTCTAATTGTGACACCTGTAAAGCTGGTTATTCTACAAAAGAAACGAAATCAACATCTGTTGACCAGTGTATTAGTAAGTGGTCATCATGTATTAATATTCTGTATGCCAGTACATTTGTTGTAACATCTGTAGATCAATGTGTTAAATAGTAAGTTGTGACTGCTGTATTAGTAAGTGGTCATTTGTTACATTCTATATTGCAGTGTATTAAAAAATTATAATTTAATACATTTTCTTAATAGCAATGTTTTAGTAAGTGGTCATGGGATACATAACTATTCTAAGTGGCAGTGCATTACTAAGTGGTCATTTGTAACATTTTATATATATGCAGTGTATTCAAGTAAGTGATCATTTGTTACATTTTCTATATGGTAGTGTATTAGTAGGCGTTCGTTTTGTACTCCAGTTCATAACAAAGTGTTCATTAATTGCACATTCTATACTCTGTAGTGTATTGATTAGCAAATGATAAGTAATACAAAAAAGTGTTTTCTAATTGTGACTGTGCAGTAAGACTAATATATGCAAATTTTTTTTTTATCTAATACTAATTGTATTTTCATAGGGGACTGTAATGAAGGGGAAAGAATTTCGCCAACTAATAAGGATACCTGTATTGCTTGTGAAGCAAACACATACCAACCAGAGAGGGTGCAGACAGAGTGTATAGACTGTCCTATAAACCTGTTTTCACTGGCAGGAAGTGACTCTCTAGATGACTGCAATGGTAAAAAGATGTAAAATCACATAAGATAATCTAGGTTTCAAAGGCTCAATAATTGATAACAATAAACATTTTAAGACCATTATTGAGTAATAGCCATCTGAGTTTTGATAAGTTAATTGGAGGATGTTTTTTAGTAGAAATTCTTGGATTTATTAAGGTGAAAAAGTATCAATGAAATTAACTGCTTTTTTACTAATTAATTTCAATACCTGGTAACTGTTTTGTGTGTGTTAAGGGGGCAGGGGACCTAAAAATGAAAAATTTTGTATTTCAGTGTGACCAGAAACACAATTCCAAATATTTCAAAATCTGTTTCACAGGCAGATAACCAGTTGCACAGCATTATTCAATGATATATGACATACATTGAAGAGAATAATAGTTTGCATGCATTGCTCCTTCAAAAAATGACTGACAGCAATTTATATTTACCCCCACCCAGCCAAAATAACACCTAAAATATACCAATATGGGCAATCTTCATGAAGGTGCAGCATACTCCAGAATCCGCCCGATTCCTTTAAAAATATCAGTAACACACAGTGCAAGCTATGGCATTTTCAGAAATGACAAATAAAGTGTCTGTCATACGTTTAGATTTTTCACAAAATTTATCTGAAATTTCTTACTTGTTTGGCGCCAACTGTCAAAGCTTGATTTTTAACTTGTTCACCTCCATTCGGAGAGTCAGAAATACATACAAAGCTACCAAAATGCTTAGTTTCGGGTAAAAACCCAAAAATATATCTCATTTCCTACACACAAACAAGAAAGAATTACAATGACAGAGAAATATCAGAAGTTATCAGTACCTTCAAAACACCATGTCTGAGTTATTAAAAAATTTCACCGGGGCCATCATTCGAATATGTCCCCTGCCCCCTTAAGATTTTTTATGTGATCCGCATTAAAGCGTTTCCTTTTATTTTCTTAAAATATGGAGTATTTCGCATTAAACGTTAACTTCGAAAAGTGAATACTGCGGTTACTTTGTATTTAATGAAATATTTAAAAATACCCTATTTCAGGGGAAGTAACTAGTACAACGGCCATGCCTGTTATATGATTTACTTAATATCAAGTGCCAGGAACCTGTGAGATGGTTTTTTTCTGTATTCCACCTTCATTTAAATACCATAAAGTATTTTCAGAGTATTTAAAGTCTTTTGGAAGGAGATTATAGCAAGAAAAAACAATATTACAGCAACATTTAATGTCCCAAAATGAATTTTACAGGAAACCAGACCTGCATACACCTAAAAGTGCAGTAAAGATACCACTGTTGACTAATATGACATTATATACATTTGTAACAATTGAAAGTGCTCAATTATGCATTATTATGTCAATTTGCACAATATAAAACTGTTAAATCTGGATAAATGTGCACATTCTGTGAAGTACAGTGTTTGCCAAAATTCCAAATTTTTATTACCTCCCTTGACCCTTTACAGTCTACTTACCCTAACATTTAAATTGATAAATCTACAGTCAAATTCAATTTTTTTTAAAATTTTGAAAGGGTTTTTTATGGGACAATTTTGGGTCAAATTCCCAAAACCCCTTTTATAAAAATTTTAAAATTTCCTTAAAAAGGGGGCAGGGGCCTTAAAAAAGAAAATTTGTAAAATTTTTAGTGTTTAAACCCGAAACAAATTCCCAAAAATTTCAAAAATTTTTTTACAGGGAGATAACCCGTTCCAAAAGCATTATTTCAATGATATATTTACATACATTGAAAAGAATTTTAAAAGTTTGCATGCATTTTCTCCCTTTCAAAAATTTTATGCCCGCAATTTTTATTTTAAACCCCCAACCAGCCAAAAATTACACCTTTAAAATTACCAAAAATGGGGAATCTTATGAAGGTGCAGCATACTCCAGAATCCGCCCGATTCCTTTAAAAATATCAGTAACACACAGTGCAAGCTATGGCATTTTCAGAAATGACAAATAAAGGTCTGTCATACGTTTAGATTTTTCACAAACTTGTATCTGAAATTTTCTTACTTGTTTGGCGCCAACTGTCAAAGCTTGATTTTTAACTTGTTCACCTCCATTCGGAGAGTCAGAAATACATACAAAGCTACCAAAATGCTTAGTTTCGGGTAAAAACGCAAAAATATATCTCATTTCCTACACACAAACAAGAAAGAATTACAATGACAGAGAAATATCAGAAGTTATCAGTACCTTCAAAACACCATGTCTGAGTTATTAAAAAATTTCACGGGGCCATCATTCGAATATGTCCCCTGCCCCCTTAATATTTTTCTCCATTTTAAAGAGCTTACGGTATATTTGTATCTCCCTATTGTACAGTTTGATTTTTTACTTGCAGATGCATGTGGGAAGAATATGGACATCATATTTCTAGTGGATGCTTCTATGAGCCTTACATCCATTAGTTTCAAATTGGTTAAGGTGTTCTTAGAAAATTCTGTTTACAGGTAATATATGGTTGATTTCTGTATATATTTTGAATATTCATGTCATATCTATGCTTAACTGTGTGTTAATAGTGGCTATGTGGTTGAATGGATAATGTGTCCAATTAGTAATTTGAGGATTGCTGACTGCTTGAGTTCAAACCAACACTTTTTATGCTCCCCCAAAAATTTTGGGGGAGCATATAGTCGCCGCCTTGTCTGTCCATCCGTCCGTCTGTCTTTCCGTCCGTCCGTCCGCTTTTCTTGTCGGGGAAATAACTTTGAAACAACAAGAGGTATCAACATGAAACTTTGTAGGTAGATAGATGTCATTGAGTAGGTGTGCAGTGCACAAGAACCGTAACTCTGCCTTGCCTAATTTTTGAATTATCCCCCTTTGTTTATTTTACACTTTGAACTTTGTCCAGGACATAACTCTAAAATATAAGTGGTATCAACATGAAACTTTGTAGGTAGATAGATCTCATTGAGTAGGTGTGCAGTGCACAAGAACCGTAACTCTGCCTTGCCTAATTTTTGAATTATCCCCCTTTGTTTATTTTACACTTTGAACTTTGTCCAGGACATAACTCTAAAATATAAGTGGTATCAACATGAAACTTTGTAGGTAAAAAGATCTCATTGAGTAGGTGTGCAGTGCAAAAGAACCGTAACTCTGTCTTGCCTAATTTTTAAATTATTCCCCTTTGTTTATTTTTACACTTTGACCTTTGTCCAGGACATAACTCTAAAACTATAAGAGGTATCAACATGAAACTTTGTAGGTAGATAGATCTCATTAAGTAGGTGTGCAGTGCACAAGAACCGTAACTCTGTCTTGCCTAATTTTTGAATTATTCCCCTTTGTTTATTTTTACACTTTGAACTTTGTCCAGGACATAACTCTAAAACTATAAGAGGTATCAACATGAAACTTTGTAGGTAGATAGATCTCATTGAGTAGGTGTGCAGTGCACAAGAACCGTAACTCTGCCTTGTCTTATTTTTTAATTATTCCCCTTTGTTTATTTTCAATTTTTGAACTTTGTCCAAGACATAACTCAAAAAGTGTAAGAGGTATCAGCATGAAACTTTGTAGGTAGATAGATCTCATTAAGTAAGTTTGCAGTGCACAAGAACTGTAACACTGTCTTGCCTACTTTTGGAGTTATTGCCCTTTGTTCATTTTGACACTTTGAACTTTGTCTGGGACATTACTCTAAAATTAAAAGAGATATCAACATGAAACTTTGTAGATACATAGGTCTCATTTGGTAGAAGTGCAGTGCTTAAAATTCATTACTCTGCCTTGCCTTATTTTGAAGTTATTGCCTTTGTTTATTTTTACTTTTTGACTTTTGTCCGGGACATAACTTTAAAACTATTAGAGATATCAACATGAAACTTTGTAGGTAGCTAGATATCATTGGATAGAACTGCAATGCTTAAAGAACCTAAACAAAGCCAAGTCTAATTTTGGAGTTATTGCCCTTTGTTCATTTTTACACTTTGAATTTTACCTGGGACATAACTCTGAAACTATAAGAGATATCATCAGGAAACTTTATAAATAGATAGATCTCATTGAATAGAAGTGCAGTGCAAAAACACATAACTCCACCTTGCCTAATTTTGGAGTTTTTGCCCTTTGTTCATTTTTTTAATACTTTCCTGTGTCCAAACCTTCTCGGAGAGCATCACCCGGTTCAACCGGTTCTTGTTTCACTTTTTTTTAGAACTGGTTGGATTTAAAACTGTGTTCAATTGCTTTAATCTTCCTACACTATTGAACTAATATAAATTCTGTTTAAACTAAGTTTATGTAACATTAATGTTTTGTTAAAGATTATTTTTATCATAAACACCTATTTGTAGCAAAAAAGAAAAAAAGTTTGAATTTTTATTGCAAAAGCAATTTTTTTTTCAAAATACATGTAAGTGTTTTAAGTATTGGCTGCAAAAAGGCCCTTTGAATGTTTTTCAGCCCCCCCTCCAGCATTGACTGATTAGCTTATAAAGTTCTCATTTTGTCTCTTATGACAAAAAATATCAGCAAATAAATAATTAAAGTTTTGTCACAACTTTTGGTGAAAACAGAAATCACCATTCTTGGTTAAAGATTTGCTTTTTTCTCTAGTTAATCTCATATAGCAATATTTTTGTACTGTTTATCAGGTTCAAGGTTGGATTGACTGCGACTCGTATCGGAATTATCCAGTTTGCCGACAATGTGCCGACTAATCCACGTCTAGATTTAACAGGATCCACTGATCGAGTCACCGTGACTACTTTAGTCAGAAGTCTGGTTCAGAGTACGAAACCCGGTACAAATACAGCTGCGGCTATAGATGCTGCCATCACTACGTTCGATAACCAGGGCCGAGCCGGCATACCGAAGAACATAATTGTAATTACAGACGGAATGTCGGACAACACTGCATTGACTGTGGCTGCAGCGGCACGGGCTAAAAGGAGGTTTATAAATATTATCAGCATTGGCGTAGGCTCGAACTTCTTTTTAGACGAACTTCTGCGTATTGCAACTGACGAAACGGCTCTGAAGACTTTCACAAGTTTCTATAGCTTGGTTACTTTCAATATTCTCCCAACTGTTTGTACACCAAGTAAGTTCACTTCTACCATTCTATACTACTTGTCAATCATTTCAATAATTATATTTTAATGTATTCAGTTTATATCATGATACTTGCCATTGTGAATTGGTAGTAATTGTTAAGTTAGAGAAAGAAATTATTATTTTTTGTAAAAATGGTAATATGTGTATTTTGATAAAAGAACAATCACCATTTTTCGGTGTTAGAATAGTTGTTGAGGTGTTCTGATTGGAAACGGAAGCTGTGCATGAACCGAATTACACCTTTAAAACAAAAAAAATGTAAAATAAAAATGAACAATTTTTATAATTTTATGCCCTAAAGAATTTCGGGCATATTATGTTATACCCCCTGGCATCCGTCTGTCCGTCCGTCCGTTAGCAATTTGGTTTCCGGAGCATAACTTAAGTTCGATTTAGCCCATAGTATTCAAACTTCATACCGGTAGGCTGATTGCCCATATTGGGTAAAAGATCCCTATTGATTTTGGGGTCACAAGGTCAAAGGTCAAGGTTACTATTACCCTAAAACTGAAAATGGTTTCCGGAGCATATCTTAAGTTCTGTTTGCCCCACAGTATTCAAACTTCATAGGATGATTGCCCATATTGGGTAGAAGACCCCTATTGATTTTGGGGTCACAAGGTCAAAGGTCAATGTCACTATTACCTTAAAACTGAAAATGGTTTCCGGAGCATAACTTAAGTTCCATTTGGCCCACAGTTTTCAAACTTCATAGGATGAGTCCATATTGGGTAGAAGAACCCTATTGATTTTGGGGTCACAAGGTCAAAGGTCAAGGTCACTATTAGCTAAATACTAAAAATGGTTTCCGGAGCATAACTTAAGTTCCATTTGGCCCACTGTATTCAAACTTCATAGGATGATTGTCCATATTGGGTTGAAGACCCCTATTGATTTTGGGGTCACAAAGTCAAAGGTCAAGGTCACTATTACCTTAATACTGAAAATGGTTTCTGGAGCAATTCTTAAGTTCCATTTGGCCCACAGTTTTCAAACTTCATAGGATGATTGTCCATATTGGGTAGAAGACCCCTATTGATTTTGGGTCACAAAGTCAAAGGTCAAGGTCACTATTACCCTTAAACTGAAAATGGTTTCTGCAGCATAACTTAAGTTCCATTTGGTCCACAGTATTCAAACTTCCAAGGATGATTGTCCATATTGGGTAGGAAATCTAAAAACAGTAATAACTCAAGCATTAATCAACCTACAGCTAAAGTACTTTCGGGCATATAATGCTCCGCCTAGCGGTGCTCTTGCTTTTTTTTAATCTGACTTCCCCGTTCATAGTCCTTGCCTTCTTTTATATTATGATTTTGAGTAAAGATTCTTGTGTAAGTAGACAAGGTTCAAAAATGATTCAGCAATTTTCATCAAATTTAATATTGTTTTGTTATTTTTGCGTTTTCAGCCCAGTTTTCATGTGACAAAAATATGGATATATTCTACATCAAGAATTATGACAGCAATGCAGATGTTGAAACAAAGGTCACCAAGTTTATTTCTGACTTTGAGACCAGGTATGTTTGTGATGTTTGTCCCATAATTAAGCTTAACCCTGTTGAACTTGAGTCTTTGTCACTAATATACGAGGGTTGTCCAAAAAATTCATGCACTGCAGTTATTGTCGAGAGAGTTATTAATAAAACAAAAAAATTATATATCACTTGAAAGAGGAATCTGTCTCAAATAAGAAAACAAAAGAAAAAGTCGATTAACCGGCGTGTCGTGTAAAAGAATGGTCATTGAGTTACCTTAGTAACGTAATACTGGCGCACAACAAAACATTGGGTTAGTTCATTACTGTAATTGTATTAATTGTTTGTTGCTTGTAAAGTGGTACATGTGTTGTATTTGCTTTTATGTTATAATTTGTTTTAAATACTGTCAATAGAGGAATGATTGATGCAAAGTATTGATTTGTTTTTATTTTGTTTATGCAACGTTCATGTAGCATATTCCACCAGTGCAGGAATATATTGGATAACCCGCGCCGGCATTACAGACAGACGTCTGCCTGACCGGTTGCCATCGTCTACCAACTCTCTTTCTCTTCCACAGAGCGTTTCTGCCATTTAAAAATCAGCCTTCGTGACACTGAACTTGTCCTGCTTGCCCTTTTAAGTTCTTTGTAGGTATCTGTTGGTGTTTTACCAATATCTGCACCATATTTAATGTTCGTCCGTATTTCCAGACGTTTAGCGACTGACACTTTCACGTTATTACAGTATTGATGACCACACAGAAATGTTTGTTAACGACCGTTATAATAAAGCAAATGACTCCATATTTTCTAGTGACTTGAGGAATACGTACACACATTTTTCCCTGAATTTTAACGTTAATATGTAGTGTTCAAAGAATACCGTGATGCATCAAAGTAATGAACTAACCCAATTTTTGTCGTGCGCCGGTATTACGTTACCAAGGTAACTGTATGACGATTCGTTTTAAGGAAATGCCGGTTACATGTTTTTTTCTTTTGCTTTCTTATTTAAGATACATCTCTCCTTCAAGTGATATATAATCAATGTTTTTCTATCATTAACTCACACGACAATAACTGCAGTGCACCATTTTTTTGGACAACCCTCGTATTGCCAGGCCAGCCTCCCCTTTTGTGCAGTCTGACTAGACTCTATACTGTTGGCCATCTTACTTTAAAAAGTTTTCCTCTTGATGTTTTCTTCTTGATATCCCAAAAAGAGATAACAGACATGCAGTTCTAAAATGGAAACTGGACAAGTCCATTAAACATTCAGCATGTGAAGGATTTAACTGTAAACATCACAGTATCTAAGTTGTTTTTATTTAAGAATATTATGTTTATCTCCTAAAGTGAAGAGCTTTCTATATTTATCTCCTTACTGAAAGAGTGGGTTAAATGTCTTTATTGAAAGGCATTTCATTTTGTCTCAGAAGTTAATATTTGGGTCCTGGGTCCTAGGTTATAAAGAAATCTTCTTAACTCAAACTCAGGTATTTGACTGATCAGAAAATTTGCCATAGAATTTCAATGACCAATGAAAATCCTGAAAGATTTAAAGACAGAACTCACAGGAAAAAAGTTTTATGACCTCCAAAGGGCCTTTGGGTATCTCGCAGTGAAGAGCATGTTGTTGTACCTTTCCATTGAAAGAGGTATAAGTACATAATAACATTGTATATGACTTTTAAAACAAAGAGCAAGGTATGTTAGTATATCAAAAATGTGAATAGACATTATATGGACTTTACAAGGCATACATTACATATATTATCCACAAAATTGTCAGCATAATTTTTTTTTTATGAATTGAAGAGGAAAAACATTCCGTTTTGCATATGAGTAAAACATAATTTTTTTTTTTTTGTGTAACTTTTGGTTGAAAATGTATGTTCTAAAAATTTACACAAATGTTAGTAATGTGCATGTGCCATTTATGAAGATATCATTTGAAAGCTTTATTTATTCTACAGATATTTATCTGGTACAACACTTACACTAGTTGATGCAGTCATTAATGTTGAATCTCTGGTGGATGACCTGAATCATTTTTCGGACACGACTAACCCAGCAAACACTAAAGTCCTCATCATATTCACAAATAAGGCCAATGTAGCAGGATCGAACATTGCCGATGTGGTTAAAGATCAAGGAGTAATTGTTGCTGTGGTGTACACCTCTGATATAACAACGGACACATCTTACGATGCAATTGTGTCAAACGAAGATTTACTCTTCTACGCGGAGAATTTTGATCAGTCTCCATATAATGATTTCATCTTGAGAAGTCTTTGCATAGGTAAGATTTTTACAATTTTTATACTTATTCTGTATATTACATTTATATTAACATATACATATTAAAAGTTTCTTAATGGTCATTTTGAAATTTCATTGAGTTTGAGACATCTTGTTTGTTTACTATGTTATGCAATGGAAATAGATCTATTTATGCCAAATGTGAAGGTCATTTTGAATATAAATATGTCTTGAAACACATGAAAATTTTTGTATAAGCTTTGGAGAGCATCTTCTGTGATAATTGCTGCCAGTCTGCTTAAATTTGGGTTGTGACAAATTGTCTTGTGTCATTAGAATTAGAAATTATCTTTTATTATTTAATTGTCATTTTAAATTATGCAGCAACTTTATTACAATTTTCCAATCTCCCAATATCAAGTTGTCAAAGTTTGTTATAAATGATAAACTGGCTTTTTGAATTGACATAATGCATTTTTTTTCGCTGTCAAGTTAAATGAAAATTGTAATGTATTTCAAAAGCGTGGTTATAACAGGTTGAATAACATGTATAAAAAGACTGCCACATTCATTTTAAAAATTTGGCATGACCAGTACATTTTGAACAATTATTTATAGAAATTTCCATTGACCAAAAAGGGAAATATTGGTTTTTTTCTTAAAAAAAATATAAAAATTTTAAACACAAATTTTTGAAAAAAAAAATGTCCCCAAAAAATTTTTACAACGTTATTAAAAATTGTTTTTAAGGGAAAATTTTCTAACGGGAAAAAATTTGGTTTTTTTTTTGAATTTTTGTGAAATGCAGTAAATTTTTCAACATAAAAAACATATTATATAAAAATTAATGAAATATTTGACTTACAAAATATTTTCTGTATGTTAAAGCACCATGTGGGGATGGTTTTAGGAAAGGGCAGGCCCCTTTGGTTTTTTTGAACAATGGGGCCCCCAAAAGGGTCTTACAGGGGCAGCTTTCAAAAAAGTCATGTCTTGGGCAAATTGTCCCTTTAACGACAGAGCCATGACGACAGCCCGGGGCGGGGGCTACAGATGTTAGTCAGTGTGTTGGTAAGTGCTTAAACTTAAGTAAGAGATTAAACAAGGGACCTTCATGGATGAGTGGTAAAGTATACTGTCATAGAATAAATTATTCCTCACCTGTGGGTTTAAAACTTGCAAGGGAAACTATAAATTATTTCATGTAATTGCATTACATGTACCCCATATCAGTGGTTTAACTGAATAGCCGATCTGTTCGTGAAGAAGCCTGCATGGCTGAGTGTTTATAGCATCTAACTTAGATTAAACACATTCATTTAAGCTTGATTGCAAAACAAGTTCTTGCAACTTAGATTAATCACATTTTAGTCTGCTTTCTGGAACCAACCAGTACTGGTGTCTAATGAAGAAACATGGTTGTGCCCAGAGTAGGGCTCAAACCCATGATCCCTGGGTTTAGAGGCAGACACCATAACCACCAGGCCACCACTCCCCCTAGGCCTCTGCTCTCAACTTACTTAAAGAATTTTAAATTGGGAAAGCTATAAGCTGTGTTTTCATCTTATTAGTCTTGTTTTCACTTCAAATGAAATTGTAATTTATTGATAAACATTGGTATATTTCAGCTTGCAGTGCAGATGAGGTTCCCTGCGCCACTGGTACCTCGATTACAGGTGACACATGTATTCCAGTAACAGACAGGTGCAATGGTGTGAATAACTGTTTTGATGGCTCAGATGAGATATGTAGTGAGTATTGATTGATTGATTGATTGATTGATTGATTGATTGATTGATTGATTGATTGATTGATTGATTGATTGATTGATTGACTAAATGATTGATTGACTAAACGATTGATTGATTGATTGCATTTAATTATACAATTAGATAGCATGGCACATCATTAGACATGCATTTCACAGAAACAAGTAGATTGTACATGAATTTATAAATAGCAATGTCAAATAACATACTCTTTATCAAGGGGACAATACACATAAGAGTTAAATTCTTATTCTAATTAAAATATTTTCATTTTTTGCCCTTTAAGGTAAAGTATTTATGTAGTCAAAATAATTTAATGTCTTGATATGATTATGTTTGACATCATTATGAATTTCAATGGCATACCTATTTGCCAAAAAGGAGAGAAATCATTCAGAGCGGCCTTTGCCATCAGTATATAGAGCCATGCCAGCTTGTGTCAGGCATTCTAACCAGGCTCACTACTGTTGGTTGACTAACTTAATTTTAATCCCGATATCCCCATAATTGTTTATGGGACGGTTCTAAAAATATAAGCCGGACAAGTCCATCCGTCATCAATTTTCGACTTGTCCCCGCGTAGCTCAAAAAGTATTTGACCTACAGTCAGTAGTTTTACAAAACAATTTGGAGTAGATTGACAAACAATGGAGTGTGTGGGCATCTGTGTCCTATGGACACATTTCAAGTTGTATTTTGGTTTTGAAATCCCTTCAACTTTGAATAGACTGGTCCTGATTCAAAACAGAGGAAATTCAATGAAAAATACTGCTGGTTAAGGAATAACAACTGTTGTAAAGCAGCTAATGACTAAATTCTCATTTTAAAAACAGATACATGCACAATCGGGTATAAATGGACAGGTTCAATATGTAAACAGTGTGAAAAAGGTACATTTCAAGATGAAGAAAAGCAGACGGACTGCATCAAATGTCCTGAAGGCTCAACAACAGATGGAACTGGAAAAAGTTCTGTATCAGCATGTTATGGTAAGAATAGATGTTTATTATTTTATACATGCAGATATAACACTTTGGTCGAAGACATCAGATGGATGTAGGTTGTTTAAAATTTATTATAGTTAGAATATTGTTAAAAAGTATCAAAAATATTGTACTCATTCTAATTATACTTACCAATGGAGACAAAGCACATCTGTAAAACGAGGGACATAACTAAGTGATCAATATAATTTCTCGAGTTACACCCCTCTTTTAACTGTTTTTAACTGGCCATATGATCTTTACATTGTTGGCAAAACCTAAAATCCAGCCAAAAATGAAAATCAGCTTTTAATATATAAACTGATTCAGAATCATCTTTAAAAGCAGAAATTTACTCAAAGTACTGAAACTCACTGAAAGAATAGAAATCATCTCAAAGGAATTTTGTAAAATTCATGAAGTTTTATCTTCTAAATTTTAACTGAATGTGTTTTGTATAGTTAAAATTTTGCCCATAATTTCAGTCATTTGTAACAGTAATGGACAAGAGCTAGATTATCCTGATGGAAATTGTAGAGACTGTCAAATTGGTTACTATAGAAACAAGGATGAAGATTCTGTCTGCGTGAAATGTGAAAATGGTTTTATAACGAAACAAGTTAGGTCAACTTCGAAGGATGACTGCGTCTGTAAGTTAATGATGAATGAATCAAGTAATATTTCATAAAAGTATAAAAATCTTTAACAAAATATTAGATTTTCATGATTTTACTTTCAACATTTTAGCTTTATTAAATGATATCATGTTATTAGACCATGTAATATATGTATGAAATTATTTCTTTGAAAACACATAATGACCAGACTTTTAGCTTACAAGAATTTCAGGAATTTTACTTCTTAGTGATGGAATATGTATCATACAAACAATTCATACTCTGGGTTAATCTTGAAAGTATTACTTTTATAGTTACAGCATTTGGTCTCCAGAGCTTTAAATTTTAGGTTACAGTGTTGTATTTTTTATTGAACACTCGGTGAAAATATTATGTTTAAAGTCCCATCCGTTCACTGATGTTTCAATAAAGTGAACAGAAAAGTAAGCAGTTAGAAACTGATATAGAATCCTTTCCAGTACTGGTACATTAACAAAATCAAAGAAACTAGTACAGAATCCATGCCAGTATTGGTACATATGAAATTCAAAGAAACTGGTTCAGAATCCATGCAAGTACTAGTTCAAACAAAATTGGCATTACTCTGTATAATAACTTGTATGAAACTTTTTAATTTGCTCTTGGTACCCCTTAAAACTATGTTAATTTTTCAGCACCTTGCGAAGCTGGACAAGGTTGGGATGACGTAACAAAAGTCTGTGTAGATTGCAGTTTAGGTTCATACCAACCTGAGCCAAACAAGATTACTTGTCTGAGTTGCCCTGCGGGGAAGACCACTGTTAGTGTTAAATCAACTCTTGCATCCGACTGTCAAGGTTTGTAGGTCATAAAATATGTTATGTTTTGTTTTTACTCTTAGCTTTATGGCAGCAGTTGAATCAACCTGTGCAACAGTTACTGGTCTAGACAAAAAGCAGACGGCACATCTTTGTCTGCACTGTTTTCTGTTCAGGCAGTACTTTTTTTGAAAGTTACCCTTAAAAATGATGAAAAGTTTTGTCCAGATTGAAGGATGGATAATTCCATTTATGATATTAGGGTAATGTAGTGATGATGGATAAAACTAGAAATAGTAGTTCAGTGTTAATTGCAATGGGTCTGAATCTGTAAAATGACAGACCAGACTTTAGTATTAGCTACATGTAAATTGAATTAACCCTTTCAACACTCTATATCTTAAATGAATTTGTCAGTCTTACTATTCATTATTTTTTGGTAAAATTTTCAAAACATGTATTATCTGAACAGTGCAAACCAAGATCAAGCAACATAATTTTACCTTTTTTAAGAGTTTATTGCATATTTCATTTATAGATATAGCTTTATTACCCTTTAAGAATTATTGGTGGCTAAAAAGATAAGGTGTAAGATAAATAAATTTCTGACTCTGAACTATATGTATGTTTATAGACCCGTGCCAGCCTGGTGAAGAGCTCCCTGTGGGAGGTACAGAAAGTGCTGATTGTCAGGAATGCCCGCTGAACACATATAAATCTAGTCAGGATATCATCTGTCAGTCTTGCCCTCCAGTTCATATCACGTTGGAAACAGGCAGCACTGCATCAGATAGTTGTATACGTAAGTTGACATTTAAGTGAGCCGTGTCACGACAAAACCAATATAATGGGTTTGCGACCAGCATGGATCTAGACCAGCCTGCGCATCCACGCAGTCTGATCAGAATCAATGCTGTTCGCTATCATTTCCTCTACTTCATTTTCTCTTGTAATAGGTTGGTAAGTGAACAGCATGGATCTTGATCAGACTGCGCGGATGCGCAGGCTGGTCTGGATCCAAGCTGGTTGCAAACCCATTATGTTGGTTTTGTCGTGACACGGATCAAGTATTTGATGTTTATAAGTAGTTGTTTCGCATAAATGTTTTGAATTGTGAAAACAATCTTAAAATAAGAAAAAAACAATAAAAATAAAAAGTTTACTTTGATGTATGTAAGTTGACCTGGATGAAACTTGACTTAGATGTATGTTGACTTGGATGCACATGTATATTAGTTGACTTTGATGTACATAAGTTAATTTTGATTAACTTAAATTGACTTTGATTTATGTAAGTTGACCTCGATTTATGTAAGTTGACTTTGATACTAATAAGAAAGAGGGCCACTATCTTGGTGTTGTGGTTAAGATTGATGATTTAGATTCATGACCCTCTTCATTATAATGGGTTCAAAACAGTCATATTCAGTCATAGGTGGAAGCTCAATTTTCTGAGTAGATCAACTATGTTTCTGCACCTGCTTCCACCTGACGACTAACTCCGAGTCAAGTTCCTCATACTGATGTGGGTTCAAAACCCAATAGGGACAATGAATTGATTCATGTGAAGAAATTAACTGATATAAAGGCTGGATCTATTAATAGAAAAATAGCCTAATCCTAGAAATAGACAAATAATGATAAAAGAAGTAAAAAATGTTTGACTCAATAAAGATAATCATTTTTTATGGTGATGAAAAGGTTGTCTAATGCTATGAAAATAGATAAAAAATGATAAAAGTACATGTAGTTAAATAAGTCTAATACTTGGTGCATGTTTTTTATTCCGTCTGTAGCCAACTGTGATGTAGGGTATTACTATGATGAGAGTCTTGAGAAATGTCAGAAGTGTACGTTCGGGACATACCAGGACCAAAAATATCAGACTTCATGCAAATCATGTGACACTGGTAAAACAACAACAACCCAGGGCAACGATGAGGAATCTGATTGTATTGGTAAGGGGTTATAAATAGGTGACGGTGTCATTAATTACTGTGAATTCACTTAATATCATAGACATGAAATTTCATGGTTTTGTCACTAAGAACATTTTCACAGGTACTTAAATTCATGGACTGTTTATTTTCCAAAAGGTAAAATGTAAATAATACAATGCAAAATAATCTTACATAAGACAAACTCAAATTTCATTGGATCTTAAATTTGTGGATTGACCTATCCTTGAAAACCATGAAAATTAGTGCCCCACGAATAATAATGATTTTGCAGTAAATCGTTTCATTGGTTCAGATTTTTATCTTAAATTGCAATCTCATTTGGTTGTGTGGTTGACTGTTCCCTGTGTGAAATATTTGTTACTCTGTTACATAACCCAAACAAGCAAAAATATTTATAGTTGATTTGTTGCAGTACCTTGTCCAGCGGGGTCGTATCTCCCATTCCGGATCAGTGGTCAGTGTACGCCATGTCCACAAGGGACATACAGGGTGAACGATGAAACCATTGCAACTTGCACACCTTGTGAAAGTGGGAAAAACACAGATGGAGAGGGATCCACGAGTGAAGCAGACTGCAAACGTATGTTGACTTTGACGTTTTATCAAAATTTAAAAATAAATCCTATCAATTGAATTTTGGTATTGAATTATTGTCTATATATAGACATGTGATGTAACCATTAAAAATGCAACATGCTAAAAATAATTACAGAAACAAATCAGGTTCAATTTGTCTTGATATCAGATACAGCAATCTTTTTATTGTTGATGTCTTAGAATCAAAATAATATATCGAAAGCAGTGCCCTCTTGATATAATTATAGTTGTGCAACTGAACACCAATCAGTGATTTTATTAGGGATAGAATCACTGTTGGGGATATATTATTTCTGGAGTATCAAGATTTAAGCAGACGGCAGTCAGACAAAATTTATAGAAGCCTAACTTGATTCCGATAACAAAGGCCTTCTATACTTAGAATTTTTTTCGAATAGTTTTATTCTGTAGGGGTATTCAATCTTTTACATCTTATACTATCATAATTATGATAACTTGCAACATACTTATTAAAATCACATACCAGACATATTATCTTTATTGACACTTGGTATTTAAAAATGAAGGACATTAAGAATTGTACTGTTAAATTTATAATGAATGTGGAGTTTACAAGAAAACTTGGAAAAAAATGAAGAAAAAAGCCATACTTACAAAATTGACCTTGAATAAATCATGATATTCTGTATTTTCTAATAAAAGCTGACTGCAAGCTAGGTGAGAAGATTGTTGGAAATGTTTGTGAGAAGTGTGAAATTGGGACGTACCAGACAAAGCCCAGGGAGATCTCTTGTGATACTTGTGGGGATTATAAGTCTACTGAACAAACTGGAGCAGATTCTGCTGACAAATGTGTTGGTAAGTTGGATAGGAAACTTTACCATACAGCTCTTGACCCTGCTGAATTTGTGTAATGGATTTATCCTGCTTTGAATTTGGAACAGTCCATTTAAATTTTAAGGGATATCGATATTAAAATGCATAAAATTGAGCTACAAACAATCAGCAAAAGTGTATCATTTTTGGTTCCAGCAGAAAAAGGGTTAACAGTTACTATTGCAATTTTTGATAAGTCAAAGATTTCATTTTCCTGTTGATTATCTATGAACATGAGATTCTTCATATTGAGTATTTAGAGAGTCATAAGTTGTAAACTGTAGTTATTTGATTTTATTATCATAATTATCATTATTCATGAAGGTGATAATGTAGTTGCTGCCTTTAAAATTGTAGAAATTTTATCAAACGTTTACACTGTATTTATGTTTGCAAATTTTATGCTTAGTACATGTATTGTGACTTTAATTTCATATTTGGTTTTAATTGCAAAATTGTATTAAATTTAATTTATTCTAAATTTATAATAAAGTATTTTATATTATGACTTGTATATTTCCTTCTATAGATACATGCCCTAGTGGTACACAACTTACACAAAAGAACCCGTTACTCTGTGAAAAATGTCCCATGAATAATTACAAGGAAGCTGGCGTTGATGAAAAATGTACACCTTGCCCAGTCAATCATATTACTCTGGCAGATGGTGCTGCGAACATAAGAGAATGTGTTCGTAAGTTGTTAATTTTGGATAGTATAATTATGCTTGAGTAATAACAATGTATTTGCACAAAAATAATTTTAATAGATGCTTTGATTTTGATACTAAATCTGATTTGAAACTGGTAATTCAAGTAAACATTTGTAGAAATCTGGCAAAGTTTCATCAGGTGACAACAAACTCAATTTAGACATAACGCATTTAAGCGGTATTAACTGTTATGTTAAAGTCCTACAAAATTGAGAATACTTTGTTTGTCCTATTTATTTGTTTTTAGCTCACCTTGCACAAAGTGCAGGTGAGCTTTTAGGATGGCCAACCAAATGGCGTCCGTCGTCCGTCCACATTTTAAATATTCTAAGGACATCTTCTATGATACCGCAAGGCCAATGTTTATGAAACTTGGCAGGAATACTCTTTGTATGAAGCTCTATCAAGATTGTTCAAAGAATTCCATTTCATGCAGAACTCTGGTTGCCATGGCAACCGAAAGAAAAATCTTTAAATATCTTCTTTTAAAGAACCATAAGAGCTAAAGCTTAGATATTTGGCATGAAAATCTTCTAATGAGTGTCTACCAAGTTTGTTCAAATAAAAGCCCTAGGGTCAAAATTGGCCCCGCCCCAGGGGGTCATTGATTTTCCCTATATGCATATAGTAAAAACTTAAAAAATCTTCTTTTAAAGAACCCAAAGAGCTAGAGCTAAGATATTTGGCATGAAACATCTTCTAGTGAGTGTCTACCAAGTTTGTTCAAATAAAAGCCCTGGGGTCAAAATTGGCCCCGGCCCGGGGGGTCATTGATTTTCCCTATATGCATATAGTAAAAACTTAAAAAATCTTCTTTTAAAGAACTGTTAAAGCTAGAGCTTAGATATTTGGCATGAAACATCTTCTAGTGAATGTCTACCAAGTTTGTTCAAATAAAAGCCCTGGGGTCAAAATTGGCCCCGCCCCAGGGGGTCATTGATTTTCCCTATATGCATATAGTAAAAACTTAAAAAATCTTCTTTTAAAGAACCCAAAGAGCTAGAGCTAAGATATTTAGCATGAAACATCTTCTAATGAGTGTCTACCAAGTTTGTTCAAATAAAAGCCCTGAGGTCAAAATTGGCCCTGCCCCAGGGGGTCATAGATTTTCCCTATATGCATATAGTAAAAACTTAAAAAATCTTCTTTTAAAGAACCGTAAGAGCTAGAGCTTAGATATTTGGCATGAAACATCTTCTAGTGAATGTCTACCAAGTTTGTTCAAATAAAAGCCCTGGGGTCAAAATTGGCCCCGTCCCAGGGGGTCATAGATTTTCCCTATATGCATATAGTAAAAACTTAAAAAATCTTCTTTTAAAAAACCCAAAGAGCTAGAGCTAAGATATTTAGCATGAAAAAACTTCTAATGAGTGTCTACCAAGTTTGTTCAAATAAAAGCCCTGGGGTCAAAATTGGCCCCGCCCCAGGGGGTCATTGATTTTCCCTATATGCATATAGTAAAAACTTAAAAAATCTTCTTTTAAAGAACTCAAAGAGCTAGACCTAAGATATTTAGCATGAAACATGTTCTAATGGGTGTCTACCAAGTATGTTTAAATAAAAGCCCTGGGGTCAAAACTGGCCCCGCCCCGGGGGTCATTGATTTTCCTTATATGTGTATAGCAAAAACTTAAAAATCTTCTTTGAAAAAACCCAAATAGCTTGAGTTTAGATATTATACATGAAACATCTTTAAGTAAATATCTACAAAGTTTGTTCAAATAAAAGCCCGGGGGTCAAAACTGGCCCTGCCCCAGGGGTGTCATTGTTTTTAACTATATGTGTATAGTAAAAACTTAAAAAATCTTCTTTTAAAAAACCCAATGAGCTAGAACTTAGATGTTTAGCATGAAACATCTTCTTATGGGTGTCTACCAAGTCTGTTCAAATAAAAGCCCTTGGGTAAAAATTGGCCCGGGGGGGAGGGCTATATACAGGTGAGCGACCTCAGGGCCATCATGGCCCTCTTGTTTTTCTACACTTTTTGCTAGTTAAAAACCACTAACCTGTCATAAACTGACTTTCTTGTTAAAAAGTACAAATTGTTTCATATCTTTGTTTTTAGGTTACTGTTATAGTAAATTATATTGTTTTTTGCAATATCTTAAAAAAAAAATTTCTGCGTTATTTCAGCTAATTGTGAGAACGGAAAGAGGTTTGACAGCACTACTCAGCAATGTGTAGACTGTGATATAGGAACATTTCAACCCGAGTTTTATAAAGATTTTTGCTATGACTGTAGAGAAAAATGGACTACAGTAACAGTTGGAGCCAAAACAGAGGATGACTGTCTGCGTAAGAGTCTCTTATCTTTATTGTAATTACCTGTACGGTAATTGATTGAACATTAATAAGGAGTTGTTTCCCTTTTTTATGATACCCCATCATTGATTAAATATAAATGAGGAATTGCTTTCCTTTTTATGATACTCCATAATTGATTGAACATTAACAAGGAGTTTATTCCCTTTATCTTAATGCTCTATAGTTTTTATTTTATATTTATGAGAAGTTGCTTCCCTTTTTCATGATACCCCATAATTGGTTCAACATTAATGAGGAGTTGCTTCCCTTTATCATGTTACCTCATAATTGATTTAACATGAATGAATGGTTGCTTCCCTTTATTTTGATGATACGCCCCCCTCCCCCCTCCACATTAAGCTATTCAGCCAGCTTACATAAAGTGGTTCAACTGCAATGCCTGCTGCCGACTTGATTGAGAAGCACCAAACGTTTTTCTCCACAAGAAAATCCGAAAAGTTGAAAAATTGGTGTTACAAAAAACCAAACTGATATGCTCATATTTTATGTGCAGTTTTTATGTTATCACAGCTGACTGTGCTGCGGGTGAATATTGGAATGAAAATATATTATCTTGTGAAAAATGTCCTAAAGACTCGTACCAACCAGACCTGTACAAAAGTAGCTGCCAGAAATGTCCAAATGGGGAATTTACTGATGACATTGGGGCAATAAATGAACTGCAGTGTGAAGGTAGGTGAATAAAATAATGTGAGCTGAAAATAAAAAAAAATACAAATGAAGCCTTTTCCTGAAACAGGGGAAGGTCACAAATGTTTGATGACAGGAATTGAAGAAATTCAGCATCCACTGTATTCCTTAGTATGTTCTGTCAATTGCTTCTTTTTTTTAAAGTTATTTTTTTGTTTGTGTTTCAGATGAGTTCAAATATACTTGTATGTTTGATATCAGAGGAGGCATAAAAATAAATAATTGTAATTGTATTTTAGTCTTGAATGTTTTCATTCATTAAGCCTCTGTGTATTTTGCCTGACCAGATGATATAAATTTAGCATTTTTGTACCATTAGTGATTCTGATCTAGCAAAATTCATACTTTCATATCTTATATTAGATCAGTGCCCTCTGGGAGAGGAGATGGGTCCAGGGGGGACAACCCCAGCTGAATGCATTCCATGTAAAATCGGGACATTCAAAGATGCAACCACAAGTACCTGTCAGTCATGCTCGAATGGTTTAACAACATTGGATACAGGAAAAACATCAAGTTCTGACTGCAAGCGTAAGTATTTACTAGCAAATTAATGCTTTTTGTAGAGAAGGAGCATAAATATAAATACATGCAGGTTTTAATGCTTGCATCTTTGGGGATTTTGTTCCTTCATTTATTGAAAATTGATAATGCATTTTTGGGGACAAATGATTTTAAAATCTCTGTCTTGAAGTCACATGCCCCTTTTAACTAAGGGCTCAAATCTTGAATTATAATCTTGAATTCTTTATTTAGTGTGTCTTTAACTTATGTTTGTAAAGAAAAATGCAGTCATGGTCGTGCAATACCATTTTTACAAAAAAGTTGTAAAAATGGCACAAGTATGTTTAAAAAAGTGAAAAATCTTTATTTATTTGTTCATTACACAGCCCCCTGTGCAACAGGAGAACGTTTTGACACTACCTTGAAGCTGTGTGTAAAATGTGAGGTTGGTACATACCAGGACGAACCGAACTCAGACACCTGTAAACCATGTACACCTACTGGCTACACAACTCTACAACCAGGCTCAAAACTAGACACAGACTGCCTACGTAAGTGGTTAAAAACAATTTTGTAATTTGTGTGGGAGACCATAATACTTTTACAAGTTTTAAATAGTATTTAAACATTTTAAATATTGGTATTTTAAACCTTTGACATTTAGGTTAATATTACCTCTAGTGATGTAATTTATGTATATTCGCTCATACCATGCTAAATGAATAAAATGGACAAAAGTCTTATCCATCTTACAATCACGACAAAACTATTTATAATTTTTGGGGAAAATTAAAAAAAATATATATATTAACTGAAATGCAAACAATGCAGATCATAATCTGATGGCATGGAAGTACATGTTGGTATATCTCAGAAACCGATGTCTGCCACCACCAGTAAACCTGGAAAGTTGCCAAATGACCTTAATAACCAATCACAGGGAAAGAAATATTTTTATAATAAAAAGGCTTGTTGCTTTCTTTCAGACTTATTTAGAATTAAAAAAAATGATGTAGGATTACATAGTGAAATCATAAGTCAATCAAAGTTAAACCATTCAGTTAGCTGAATAGGTAGAGCGTTGTACTGTGAATCAGGCAATCCAGGTTCCAGGTTCGATTCCTGGAAGGTGCAGGTCACTTTAATTGTGATTTATCATGAAATCCTTTCTTAGGTCATTAATTTTGCACTATACCTCTGTCCTTGCATGTACAGAAGTTATCAGTTCCTTGTGAAAGTGAAGGCAACTAGTACTGGTGAACTGCTTGACAGCCTGCCCAGGAAGATACAGTGGATGAACTGTGCTCTGATAAATTTAATGTGGCTTAACTGCCATGATCAGGAGTGAAAAACTACCAACACCAACACCACCGATCAAAGTTAAATACATTGTGCCAAAATTTTTCAGCTCCGTGCAAGCCTGGTTCAGCTTGGGACAATGGAGTGGGAGCATGTAAACAATGTTGGAAGGGGAAATATCAAGATGAGGCGAACCAGGTAGAGTGTAAAACATGTCCTGATACACAAACAACCCTTGGAGATGGTGCCGATAGCCAGGATGACTGTATAGGTATAGAAGTGAATCATAAGTTTTTTTTCCCAGCAATTTTAGCTTGTCTGTTTGGAAAATACCAAAGAAATAAATTTTATGGAGAGGAAACTTTGATGTCACTAATTTTAAATCTGTAAATCAAATAGCATTTAAATGCAAGTTTGTGTAAAGGTCTGTTGAAATTTAAAAAAATGGTGACTAACAAACTCCAAACTCACCCACAGGTTTATTATGATATTATTCATCTGATTTATTTGTCCCTCATGTATAAACCTCTTATGGTTACTGGTAGACTCTTGTGCAGGGATAAAACAAAATCAGTTAATGTTTTGGTGGCATAAAAATGCATTTGAAATGCCATATGCATAATAATATTTCAATGAAAGTCATGAATATGTATTTTATTCTAACATTTTGAAGATAATTATATTTCCATAATATTTTATTTATCTTCATAAATAAGTAGTTTTAACTTCTTTAAAGATCCTACTTGTGGAGCACAGGAATGGCAGTGTGATGATGGGCAGTGTATAGATGAAGCCTTAAGATGTGATGGTACAGTTGATTGTACTGACAACTCAGATGAGTCAAATACAAACTGCTGTCCCATTGGTCAATTCTTTGATTATTCAACCAATCAATGTGAAGCTTGTCCAGCTGGAAGTTACCAGGATATACCAGGAGAGACATCTTGTATGAACTGTCCAAAGGGACAAATTTCAGCAGCAGGATCAGATGAACCAGCGGATTGTCAAGGTAATATTTTATTTAAATCAATTTAAACATACAAAGAAGACAAAGATTCTTACATGCATTGTATATTATAGGAAGTATCGCTTTAGCTTTGTTTTTATAGTTAGTCCATATTCTTAACCATATTGATTGAAAAACAAATAATTTTCTTGAAACTTTAGTTCTGATTTACTTTTCTTAATTAAGAGCTTTTATAGTTTGCCCTGCTTATTAAATCTTTACTGGTTTTAAGCTACCTGAAACAGAAGTGGTCATAGGTAATGGCTATGTGATGTGGCTATGTATCTTTTGCGTGTGCGTCGTGCTTCGTTGTCGTCAAATTGGGTTTGTTAACAGTCTGAGCCAGGTTGAATTGGACTCATTGTTAACTTAAGGATGTTGTCTCAATTAAATACAGATCGTTAAGAATGGTTACTCGGTCAAAAAATAAGGTCAAAGGAATGAAATATATCCGCTATTTAAACTCTACTGGCTGCAGTTTTGATCCAAATATTCTGGAAATTTGTCAGGAAGGTTGTTTTAATGATTTCTAAGTCAAGTTCGAAGGTGGGTCATCTTCGGTCAAAAACTAGGTCACAGGAGCTATAAATAGAAAATCTTGTTAACACTCTAGTGGCTGCAGTTTTGATCCAAATGTTCTGGAAATTTGTCAGGAAGATTGTTTTGATGATTTCTAGGTCAAGTTCGAAGATGGGTCATCTCCGGTCAAAAACTAGGTCACAGGAGCTAAAAATAGAAAAAGCTTGTTAACACTCTAGTGGCTGCAGTTTTGATCCAAATATTCTAGAAATTTGTCAGAAAGGTTATTTTAATGATTTCTAGGTCAAGTTTGAAGATGGGTCATCTCTGGTCAAAAACTAGGTCACAGGAGCTAAAAATAGAAAAAGATTGTTAACACTCTAGTGGCTGCAGTTTTGATCCAAATATTCAGGAAATTTGTCAGGAAGGTTGTTTTGATGATTTCTAGGTCAAGTTCGAAGATGGGTCATCTCCGGTCAAAAACTAAGTCACAGAAGCTAAAAATAGAAAAATCTTTGTAACACTGTAGTGGCTCCAGTTTTGATCCAAATATTCAGGAAATTTGTCAGGAAGGTTGTTTTGATGATTTCTAGGTCAAGTTTGAATATGGGTCGTCTCCAGTCAAAAATTAGGTCGCATTGCCCAAATATGAAAAACCTTTTTAACACACTAGAGGTCACATTTTTGACTCAATTGTCATCAAACATGGCCAGGATGCTTGCCTAAGATATTGCTTGGATGCGGTTGATGGGTCAGGGGAGAGATCCAGGGCCATCATGGCCCTCTTGTTTATAATAGATTTGCCCTGGTTTGATTTTGAACAATCCATTTGGATATTAAAGGATTTCAATATAAAAATGAAAAAAAAAAGTTACCATAGGTAAAGAGCCCAGATGTGCAGACTGACCTGGTTTTATGCTTGTGCCAAATGCTAATCTTCTTCTGCTCCAGTAGGTGAAGGGTTAATTGAAACATAGCTGGATTATTTAGTAGAATTTGTTGCCGGGTACCAATAATAAAATATTTTTCACTTGTAGAGTGTCCTGCTGGTTCCCAGCTTGTTGATGGAGCCACAGAATGTACAGAGTGTCCAGAAGATATGTACAGAAGAACAGGAATGATGACATGTAGCTTTTGTCCCCCTAATTTTGTCTCTGACGCAGGTTCGACGGACATTACTGATTGTAAACGTAAGTATACTTCGTTTGACATTCCAATTGTATAGACTTTTAGCTCACCCGCTTAGCCCAGTAGGGTAAGCAATGTATTAGTAATCCAGGAGTCACTGGTTTGATCCTCGGACAAGGGGTAATTTCTTCATACAAGTTGATCTTTAAATAAGAAGTCTTATGGTTATCTGTGTGTGGGATTTAAACTTAAGTTTTCTGGTGGAAAAATACAATGAATACAAAGTGATAGACCATTTAGCCAAGTAATTGATTCCCTGAGGCAGTCAAGATTATATTTATTACACTTATCCATGTAATTGTGCACTACTATGTAGTATTAAACTATAAGATTTATAGTTGTATACAGTTGAACTTGTGCTGACAGTCATCTCCGGTCACATATCAACAATGGTCATGTTGATTCCATCCCCTGATAAACTCTCAATAAAATTGGCAGCAAATGGTGGTCGCCACAACCAGCAGTGATTCAAGGAGTCAATTCTTAAAGTTGTTTTGCCAAATGATGAATTTGTTACTCTCTGAAAGAACAAAATGATATATATTCTTTGTACATTTTCATATTTTCAGCTGACTGTGAGGAAGGTGAATACTATGATACTGGACTGTTGGGGTGCGAGCCCTGTCCAATAGGTTATTACCAGGACCAGGAGAAACAAGGTCAGTGTAACAGGTGCACCACTGGTACAACCACAGAGCAGACAGGAAGTACAAGCAGCAACCAGTGTATTGGTATATATCATTCTGTATTTGATATTCATATTTTTAAATCATTACAAAAATTAAAATTTGAATTTTTACACACTTAACAACTAATAGGGCTGAGTCGTAAATGATCTCTTTGTTTGAAGTTCCCTCCTTACTGCTTTGGATTAAAAAAATTAGAGAATGTCAATCTTTAATTATATTTCTCTTAAAATGTTTCTATTACCATAATCTCTGATCATACATAGTTTCAATTTCTTTTTCTCAAGTTTTATGTCACATTGTCGCAAGAGTTTTTATTCTGCCCATATGTATGTCTGTCTAAAAACAGTAGCAAACATACTTAATTTACAATACACATTAAGTTACATTTCTAAAAAAATGTTTTTAACAGCAATAATTTTGTCAGTTGATTTAATCTGTCAAAAAAAAGGAGAAATTAATAATCACACATAATTAATTTGCCAGGTGGTAAATTTTTGCCACCAACTTGAAAACACCATCGGCCTCTATGTTGTGGGCTGGAAATATACAAGGGACTTTGGATATCTTTCATGTCAGAAAGTTTTTCAGTTAGCTGGGTTCTACTTACCTGAGTCTAAAATAATGCACTGAGTGAAACCTGCGTTCTTCCTGAGCTAAGAAATCTGGAAAATCATCATTTTGACCTTTTCATTATAAAATGCAATAAAAATGTACATCCTCAAATTCACTTTTTTATGATTTTATTACATGTATTTTTATAATGGCAGATATATGTGATCCTGGCTATACTTTGGTATATGATTCGGACGGAAAGCCTACAACCAGTTGTAATCCATGTCCGGTTTCAACATACAAGGACAACTCAGACTTCTACGAGTGTAAGCCTTGTGCCGCTGGTTTCACAACAGCTGCTACTGGAAGCACAGAATGTTTGCGTAAGTTTTCTAATGTAATTAAAAAGTTAGTTCCATTCACCCTTGAGTCTTAAATTCCTAGCTAAGAATGTCCCTTACAATAAAGTAGAACAAAAATTGTGAAGTTTTATACTTCAAATATTAACATGTTTTGCTGATGTCAAAAATGTTTATTAACCATAAAATGTGCAAAAGTATTTCTTGACAAACAAAAACATTTGTATATTTATCAAATATTTTCAGCGGACTGTGATGCAGGAAATTTTTACCCGTCTAAAACCAGTCCAGACTGCAAGTTGTGTTCAAGAGGATCATTCCAGCCTGACCGTCTGCAATCATCTTGCATCCAATGCCCTGCTGGCCAGACTACACCAATAATTGGTGCAACAACAAAGTTCCTATGCTATAGTAAGTGATGACAAATAGAGATTATTTGATTTCCATGGTACATGTATGTTCAGAATTATAGACAAGTCATAGGTGAATGCCTGACACTATTGAAAATGAATGCAATTGTATACCTAATAATAATGCAGAAGTAAATTCATTTACATCAAAAATATTATATTATTAAATTAATGCTCTTATGGTGAATGTTCATGACTGTACCAGATTCTATGCTTTGATTCATTTTCAGGCAGATTCTTTTCTAAATTTGGTTCATTTTCAGACATTTTATGGAGCTCTTGATTCAAATTAGTCAGTTTCTTTGCTGTGGTTGATTTATTTTCAGACAGATGGTTCATTTTCAGACAAATTCTATGCTGCGCTTGATTTATTTTCAGAATACTTTATTCATTTTCAGACCAATTCTATATTGAGCTTGATTCAATGTCAGACAGTTTCTATGCTACGCTTGATTCACTTTCAGACAAATGTTTCAGAGAATTGACACATTTTTAATAGGAATGTAATTTCTATGCTGTGCTTGATTAGTTGTTTGATAAATTACATTGTGTTTGATTCATTTTCAGACAAATGCTCTGCTGGATATAAGTATGACTCTACAACAGATCTCTGTGAGATATGCCCAAAAGGAACTTACAGACGTAAAGAAGATGAAGGTGATTGTAAAGTATGTAGGACAGGTTTCACTACAGAGGGTCCTGGGACTCCATCAGAGGACTTGTGTGTTCGTAAGTTACCTAAGTTACAGTGTTGGGTCTGATCAATAATAAAAAAATACTGTAGTTATAACTGTTATGGGACCTCCGTGGCCGAGTGGTTAAGGTTGTTGACTTCAAACCACTTGCCCTTTGACAGGGACTTTGGATTCTTTCATGTGAGGAAGCTATCCAGCTAGCTTAGGGAACGTTGGTGGTTCTACTACCATCCCCCTTCTTGCAACCCCCTGATGTATCATTTTGAAGTGGGACCGTGCCGAATAAAGTGGTCACTTTTTTTAACAACATTTTTCAAATGAAAAACAGTGTTTGGGGTCTAAATAGGGCATTTTTTCATTGTTTGAGGCCTAAAAAGGGTGGGGGGGCAAAAAGCCGTCAAAACAGGTCTATATGAGGGAAAAGGTAATTTAAATTTTATCAGCCACATTCAAAAGTTGGAATTTCACAAATAATATAATTTCATTTGTATATTAAACCGATTCCTGATATTTCTCTAATTTGAAGGTGATTCCATATCACAAATGGTCAAAAGTTGATAGAAATGACAGAAAAATAAATGGATATTTTAGATCCTTTTACAAACATGAGCAGCAGTTTTAATGCAGCCAAAAATATAAAAAAAAAACAACTTTCATTTCTAATTTATTTAAGCAATTTCAAGTAATATTTGTTAATAGTTTGATTTTTATTTTCATTGTTTCGGGCATATTATGTTATACCCCCTGGCGTCCGTCCGTCCGTCCGTCTGTCCGTCCGTCCGTTAGCAATTTTGTTTCCGGAGCATAACTTAAGTTCCATTTGGCCCACAACATTCAAACTTCATAGGATGATTGCCCATATTGGGTAGAAGACCGCTATTGATTTTGGGGTCACAAGGTCAAAGGTCAAGGTCACTATCACCTTAAAACTGAAAACAGTTTCCGGAGCATAACTTAAGTTTCATTTGGCCCACAACATTCAAACTTCATAGGATGATTGTCTATATTGGGTAGAAGACCCCTATTGATTTTGGGGTCACAAGGTCAAAGGTCAAGGTCACTATCACCTTAAAACTGAAAACAGTTTCCGGAGCATAACTTAAGTTCCATTTGGCCCACAGTATTCAAACTTCATAGGATGATTGTCCATATTGGGTAGAAGACCCCTATTGATTTTTGGGTCACAAGGTCAAAGGTCAAGGTCACTATTACCTTAAAACTGAAAACAGTTTCCGGAGCATAACTTAAGTTCCATGTGGCCAACAGTGTTGAAACTTCATATGATGAATGTCCATATTGGGTAGGAGAGCCCTATTGATTTTGGGGTCACAAGGTTAAAGGTCAAGGTCACTATTACCTTAAAACTGAAAACAGTTTCCAGAGCATAACTTAAGTTCCGTTTGGCCTACAATATTCAAACTTCATAGGATGATTGTCCATATTGGGTAGGAGACCCCTATTGATTTTGTGGTCACACGATCAAAGGTCAAGGTCACTATTACTTTTAAACTGAAAACAGTTTCCGGAGCATAACTTAAGGTCTACTGGGCCCATAATATTCAAACTTCATTGGATGATTGTCCATATTGGGTAGAAGACCCTGATCGTTTTTAAAGTCACAAGGTCAAAGGTCAAGGTCACTATTACTTTAAAACTGAAAACAGTTTCTGCAGCATAACTTAATTTCTTTTTGGCCCACAATATTCAAACTTTATAGGAGGATTGCTATTGGAAGGAGGTACTACTTTATTTAATTTATGTAATGTCTTACAAATGCTTCATCCTTAATATAAAAAAAAAAACACTTTCGGGCATATAATGCTCCGCCTAGCGGTGCTCTTGTTTTTCTATGTTGTTTTTTTTTCCCCAGCAAACTGTGTAGTTGGTCAGTATTACAACAGGCAGACTAGTAGATGCGAGCCATGTCCTATAAATAGCTACCAATCAGAACCTTACAAATATGTCTGTGTGCAATGTCCGACTGGAACCGCTGTTTCTTCAACTGGCTCTGATGAAATGTCAGACTGTGAAGGTAGGCTGTTACAATATTATACACTATTATTACCCTACTTACATGTATGTACTTATAGAGGATATTTGTTAGTTCTGAACGAAAGATAAAAATATAGTTCACAGACTTAACACCGGATGTCTTTGTCATAACTTTGTCATGAGGTGTTATTTTATAATTCATTGTAAGCCACTCTAAATTTTAGGAAATTTTACATCTAACAAACCAAATTTCTTTGTTATATTTGTAGACCTTTTAATCAGTTGAAATAGGTCACGATGGGCATGTATTTTGTAGAATTTATATATAGGTCACACTTCATAAATTGCAGATCCATGTACAGTTGCTGGAGAAGAGCTTCAACCTGATGGTTCTTGTGGTCCGTGTAAAGTTGGGTTTGCCAAGATACCACCTAGCACTATCTGTACTGAATGTCCAGGTGGCTTCACAACTGAAGGAACAGGGAGCTCTGAGTGTGTTCGTAAGTTAGCGTTTATTTTAGTTACAAACTTCAGTTATGATTTTTTTCTGACTGAACGCTGATGATGATTTACATATTTCTATGATAGAACTGACGAAGCAAATAAAGCAAAACATGTATTGATATTTAAAATTGTGTTGGTTTTGATCTATTTGTCCTGTGATAGTTCCTATAATTTAGATTACAAAACAAAAACACTATGTAAGATTACCATATTTTCCAGCTGACTGCACTGAGGGTAATTACTGGGATGGTACCAAGTGTTCACCATGTGTAAAAGGAGAGTACCAACCAAACAAATACAAGTACGATTGTGTAGATTGTCCGACTGGGCGGACAACAGCCAACGTTGGAGCAAGTCAATCTTCTCAGTGTATTGGTAAGTATGAAATGTGCTCATAGGCATAATGTTATACAACAGCAGGGATATAAAATGTCATCATTTAGTTTAAACCTTTTAAGCGTATTTCAATACATTGTCATATTTTAAAGGCATGTTATGCCTCAGAAATGAATATTATTTTCTCTCTCTATAATTATGGGGCAAACATGTGTTTAGTAATGTTTTAATAATGGATTTAAAGCATGTTAGATGCTTATCACCTGACGTTAGTATCATTTAATATGGATTTTATTTTCATAAAAGTAGCAAAATATAAAATAAATGGTACTTTGATTTTCATACAAAATTCTTGATCACTGCATTGACTGTACTTATTACCAAAAAGCAAAATAAGCTCACGATGGTTTAGCTTTATGGCCAATGAGTGTTTTTTCCCCAGAAATATACCAAAATAGTTTTGAGGAATGAAAGAAAAAGCATTTTGGGGGCTAAATGGGCCTTGGAAATTTTTTTCAAAAAGTTAAAGTTTAAGGATGTGTGTCCCTCTCATAATAGTAAATTAAGATTAAGAGAAAAAAACACACAAAAAAACAGTCATTTGTAGGAAAAAAGAATTTTACTGTGGTACATTATAAACAGATAGTTTTTGGAAACATATTCACTGGAAAATACCAATTGTATGAAGCAGACTTTGCCTTTTTTTCTTCAGATATCATTTTATGTTAAAATTAAGCAAATAGGGCAAATTTGTTTGCACCTTACACCTTTTTTTCTTTAATAAAGCTTTTTACATTTACATACACATGTAATTTGTATGTTATGAACAGTAGCTTTCTAAGGGGTTAAGATTGTTTTGTTTTCTTAAATTTCAGATATATGTCCAAATGGGTTCGAGTTACAGGTTGATGGCACATGCAAACCATGTGACAAGAATTATTACCGTACAAATGGGGTGCAGCTACAATGTACTCCATGCCAGAAAAACTTTATTACATTGTTTGAGGGTGCAGAGACAGCAGACGATTGTCGTCGTACGTATTACGTTATTACTGTTTTATTACTTTTAGATATTTCTTTTTAGCCTGGGTTGCAGAAAAGTATATTTGATTTACATCACATATCCATGCTGCTTTTGTAAATCCGTAAATATGGTATTGCAGGGCAGTGCATATATTTTGACATGACGTAATTTGTGTTTTACATAGTATACAGACCCGCTGAATGTAAGCATTACACTAAAGTCAGGCCCATGAAAAATGATTCTTTTTCACTTTAAACAGTCTCTTTTTTGGGTATATGATAAATAGATTATTATATTCGTCTGAATATACTGAACTTGTTGTATAGAATATTATCATGCTCGCCAGAGACTAGCATAATATAATTTTATTCAACTTACACTCATTCAATAACCTTCTTTTCTTCAAAAGCATGTAAATTAAGTTGAACATTTAAGATTTCTATTTTTGTAGTTTGGTTATTGGAAACTTGCCAGTTTTATATTCAAAAACAAAATGGATATTGTTTGTGGATATGCTTTCAGCACTGTGTGATGTGGGAACTGAATGGAATGATGTCACTGGTCAATGTGAACCTTGTAAGATAGGGTTTTACCAGGATGAAGAGTATCAGAAACAATGTAAGGCTTGTGATAGCGGCAAAACTACTGAAAATACAGGGCAAATTTCCGAAGATTCTTGTGTTGGTAAGTTGATTGTTTTGTTTTTAATTATACATAAAAACTTGGGACTAATTTCCCCCATGTAGGTTTTAAATGTCCCAAATTATTTGCAGTTTTTAGAAAATTTTCGTGAAATTTGATCTTCCATTGAGTCTAGTCTTTGGGTCTTTTTGCTGTTTAAGAAAATTGTTATTTTATAACGGTCACTTGGAAGAATTGGTAATTAAAAATTTAGTTATCCAGGAAAGCTGTTGGGTGGATCGCCCCGGGGTTATACAAAATTTTTAAAAAATTTTTTTAAAAAATGAAAAACAAAAAAAATAGAAAAAAACATGTTTTTTAATTAATTTGTTTCTTGGGGGGAGGTTTTTTAAAAAGGGCTTTTTTAAGGTGGTGGTTCTAAAGGGGGGGCCTAAAATTGAAAATAAATGATTTTGCATTGAAAAATAATGTTAAAAAAAAAAATATTTATTTTTAAATTCCATAAAAGGCAAGCATGTTTAAAATGAGCAAGAAACTTTAAACTTATTACCTAATATTGGTTGGTTCCAGGAACGGATTCAAGAGTGTTTAAATAAGTTTATAGCTTTTAACACAATCAAGTTTAAATACTGGTTTATTTGTATAGACTATACACAAATCCATTACCAATTCCAAACACTTTTTTCCATTACATAATACATGTAATTTATTTTATAAATCTTTTTAACATATGCTGTATTGTATATTTTCTAGGTGAGTGTGAGCCCGGGACATATTGGAATGAAGCAACCAGCCAGTGTACAGACTGTGCTAAAGGAACATATCAGAGTGAACGCAACAAAGATTCATGTGTTCAATGTTTACCTGGCTACACCACAAATTTCCCAAAATCTACAAGCCAGCAAAATTGCATTGGTAATATTTATATACATGTATATTCAGTGTGAAAATGAAGGAGAATATTGTATTTTAATATTAGAAATTATTTAAACTTAAAAGTTACCAACATTAAACTTGCTAATTATTATAAGATATAAGATGCAGCTGTTAGACAAGGGGCATAATTATGAAAGCTATATATTTTTAAAGTTATGCCACTTTTTATACTTAAATGTTATGTGAAAATATGGCTTATAATCATTGCCCTTAACAGACAAGTTTTAACACCGAATGCAATGCTCTTGTTAAAGACATAGCTAAGATAAAAAAAATACTCATTAATCAACACAAGATATATTAGATATGGCAAAAAGTATTACATATTGCAATAAAGCAGGGCATTGTTCTAGTGCCGAAGGGTGTTTGCCTTTAAATTTATGGATAAAGGGGTTTTTGACCTACTGGGGGTCGTCCCTTGTTCCTTATAGGGAAAATAAAAACCCAAAAAAGCTAATTGTAGATGGTTAAAAAAAGGGGACAATTTTTTTTTCAATAAGCTTAGATAAATAATTTTTTTAAAATTTTGTTAGAAGATTTTTCCCAGGACATGAAATTGTAAAAAATATTTTTTTTCTCTAATTGTCCATAGATCCGTGTACAAGTGGGTATACCTATAATGCAGTCTTAGATAGATGTGATAAATGTGGATACCAAAAACATCGAGATAGAACTAAACATAACATTTGTCAAGATTGTCCCCCTGGATTGTATACCACAACAGATACAGCAACATCAGAGGCCGAGTGTATATGTAAGTGAAATGTGTAATTATGAGCTCAACTGAGTGTATAATGTAACTGAAATGTGTATTGATGAACTCACAACTAAGTGTATAATGTAAGTGAAATGTTTAATTATGAGCTCAACTGAGTGTATATTGTAAGTGAAATGTGTAATGATGAGCTCCACTGAGTGTATATGTAAGTGAAATGTGTAATGATGAGCTCAACTGAGTGTATAATGTAAGTGAAATGTGTAATGATGAGCTCAACTGAGTGTATATGTAAGTGAAATGTGTAATGATGAGCTCAACTGAGTGTATATGTAAGTGAAATGTGTAATGATGAGCTCAACTGAGTGTATATGTAAGTGAAATGTGTAATGATGAGCTCAACTGAGTGTATATGTAAGTGAAATGTGTAATGATGAGCTCAACTGAGTGTATAATGTAAGTGAAATGTGTAATGATGAGCTCTACTGAGTGTATAATGTAAGTGAAATGTGTAATGATGAGCTCAACTGAGTGTATAATGTAAGTGAAATGTGTAATGATGAGCTCAACTGAGTGTATAATGTGAGTGAAATGTGTAATGATGAGCTCTACTGAGTGTATAATGTAAGTGAAATGTGTAATGATGAGCTCAACTGAGTGTATAATGTGAGTGAAATGTGTAATGATGAGCTCTACTGAGTGTATAATGTAAGTGAAATGTGTAATGATGAGCTCTACTAAGTGTATAATGTAAGTGAAATGTGTAATGATGTGCTCTACTGAGTGTATATGTAAGTGAAATGTGTAATGATGTGCTCTACTGAGTGTATAATGTAAGTGAAATGTGTAATGATGAGCTCAACTGAGTGTATAATGTAAGTGAAATGATGTGTAATGATGAGCTCAACTGAGTGTATAATGTAAGTGAAATGTGTAATGATGAGCTCTACTAAGTGTATAATGTAAGTGAAATGTGTAATGATAAGCTCAACTGAGTGTATAATGTAAGTGAAATGTGTAATGATGAGTTTACTGAGTGTATAATGTAAGTGAAGTGTGTAATGATGAGCTCTACTAAGTGTATAATGTAAGTGAAATGTGTAATGATGAGCTCAACTGAGTGTATAATGTAAGTGAAATGTGTAATGATGAGTTTACTGAGTGTATAATGTAAGTGAAGTGTGTAATGATGAGCTCTACTAAGTGTATAATGTAAGTGAAATGTGTAATGATGAGCTCTACTGAGTGTATAATGTAAGTGAAATGTGTAATGATGAGCTCAACTGAGTGTATAATGTAAGTGAAATGTGTAATGATGAGCTCAACTGAGTGTATAATGTAAGTGAAATGTGTAATGATGAGCTCAACTGAGTGTATAATGTAAGTGAAATGTGTAATGATGAGCTCTACTGAGTGTATAATGTGAGTGAAATGTGTAATGATGAGCTGTACTGAGTGTATAATGTAAGTGAAATGTGTAATGATGAGCTCTACTGAGTGTATAATGTAAGTGAAATGTGTAATGATGAGCTCTACTAAGTGTATAATGTAAGTGAAATGTGTAATGATAAGCTCAACTGAGTGTATAATGTAAGTGAATTGTGTAATGATGAGCTCTACTGAGTGTATAATGTAAGTGAAATGTGTAATGATGAGCTCTACTGAGTGTATAATGTAAGTGAAATGTGTAATGATGAGCTCAACTGAGTGCATAATGTAAGTGAAATGTGTAATGATGAGCTCAATTGAGTGTATGATGTAAGTGAAAGGTGTAATGATAAGCTAAACTGAGTGTATAATGTAAGTGAAATGTGTAATGATGAGCTCAACTGAGTGTATAATGTAAGTGAAATGTGTAATGATGAGCTCAACTGAATGTATAATGTAAGTGAAATGTGTAATGATGTGCTCAACTGAGTGTATAATGTAAGTGAAATGTGTAATGATGAGCTCAACTGAGTGTATAATGTGAGTGAAATGTGTAATGATGAGTTTACTGAGTGTATAATGTGAGTGAAATGTGTAATGATGAGCTCAACTGAGTGTATAATGTAAGTGAAGTGTGTAATGATGAGCTCTACTAAGTGTATAATGTAAGTGAAATGTGTAATGATGAGCTGTACTGAGTGTATAATGTAAGTGAAATGTGTAATGATGAGCTCTACTGAGTGTATAATGTAAGTGAAATGTGTAATGATGAGCTCTACTAAGTGTATAATGTAAGTGAAATGTGTAATGATAAGCTCAACTGAGTGTATAATGTAAGTGAAATGTGTAATGATGAGCTCTACTGAGTGTATAATGTAAGTGAAATGTGTAATGATGAGCTGTACTGAGTGTATAATGTAAGTGAAATGTGTAATGATGAGCTCTACTGAGTGTATAATGTAAGTGAAGTGTGTAATGATGAGCTCTACTAAGTGTATAATGTAAGTGAAATGTGTAATGATGAGCTCTACTGAGTGTATAATGTAAGTGAAATGTGTAATGATGAGCTCAACTGAGTGTATAATGTAAGTGAAATGTGTAATGATGAGCTCAACTGAGTGTATATGTAAGTGAAATGTGTAATGATGAGCTCAACTTAGTGTATAATGTAAGTGAAATGTGTAATGATGAGCTCAACTGAGTGTATATGTAAGTGAAATGTGTAATGATGAGCTCAACTAAGTGTATAATGTAAGTGAAATGTGTAATATTGAGCTCAACTAAGTGTATAATGTGAGTGAAATGTGTAATGATGAGCTCTACTGAGTGTATAATGTGAGTGAAATGTGAAATGATGAGCTCAACTGAGTGTATAATGTAAGTGAAATGTGTAATGATGAGCTCTACTAAGTGTATAATGTAAGTGAAATGTGTAATGATGAGCTCTACTGAGTGTATAATGTAAGTGAAATGTGTAATGATGAGTTTACTGAGTGTATAATGTGAGTGAAATGTGTAATGATGAGCTCAACTGAGTGTATAATGTGAGTGAAATGTGTAATGATGAGCTCTACTGAGTGTATAATGTGAGTGAAATGTGTAAGGATGAGCTGTACTGAGTGTATAATGTAAGTGAAATGTGTAATGATGAGCTCTACTGAGTGTATAATGTAAGTGAAATGTGAAATGATGAGTTCAACTGAGTGTATAATGTAAGTGAAATGTGTAATGATGAGCTCAACTGAGTGTATAATGTAAGTGAAATGTGTAATGATGAGTTTACTGAGTGTATATGTAAGTGAAATGTGTAATGATGAGCTCAACTAAGTGTATAATGTAAGTGAAATGTGTAATGATGAGCTCTACTGAGTGTATAATGTAAGTGAAATGTGTAATGATGAGTTTACTGAGTGTATATGTAAGTGAAATGTGTAATGATGAGCTCTACTAAGTGTATAATGTAAGTGAAATGTGTAATGATGAGCTCTACTGAGTGTATCTGTAAGTGAAATGTGTAATGATGAGTTTACCGAGTGTATAATGTAAGTGAAATGTGTAATGATGAGCTCAACTGAGTGTATAATGTAAGTGAAATGTGTAATGATGAGTTTACCGAGTGTATAATGTAAGTGAAATGTGTAATGATGAGCTCAACTGAGTGTATAATGTAAGTGAAATGTGTAATGATGAGCTCAACTGAGTGTATAATGTAAGTGAAATGTGTAATGATGAGTTTACCGAGTGTATATGTAAGTGAAATGTGTAATGATGAGCTCAACTAAGTGTATAATGTAAGTGAAATGTGTAATGATGAGCTCAACTAAGTGTATAATGTGAGTGAAATGTGTAATGATGAGCTCTACTGAGTGTATAATGTAAGTGAAGTGTGTAATGATAAGCTCAACTGAGTGTATAATGTAAGTGAAATGTGTAATGATGAGCTCAACTAAGTGTATAATGTAAGTGAAATGTGTAATGATGAGCTCAACTAAGTGTATAATGTGAGTGAAATGTGTAATGATGAGCTCTACTGAGTGTATAATGTGAGTGAAATGTGAAATGATGAGCTCAACTGAGTGTATAATGTAAGTGAAATGTGTAATGATGAGCTCTACTAAGTGTATAATGTAAGTGAAATGTGTAATGATGAGCTCTACTGAGTGTATAATGTAAGTGAAATGTGTAATGATGAGTTTACTGAGGTATAATGTGAGTGAAATGTGTAATGATGAGCTCAACTGAGTGTATAATGTGAGTGAAATGTGTAATGATGAGCTCTACTGAGTGTATAATGTGAGTGAAATGTGTAAGGATGAGCTGTACTGAGTGTATAATGTAAGTGAAATGTGTAATGATGAGCTCAACTGAGTGTATAATGTAAGTGAAATGTGTAATGATGAGCTCTACTGAGTGTATAATGTGAGTGAAATGTGAAATGATGAGCTCAACTGAGTGTATAATGTGAGTGAAATGTGTAATGATGAGCTCAACTAAGTGTATAATGTAAGTAAAATGTGAAATGATGAGCTCAACTGAGTGTATAATGTAAGTAAAATGTGTAATGATGAGCTCAACTGAGTGTATATGTAAGTGAAATGTGTAATGATGAGTTCAACTGAGTGTATATGTAAGTGAAATGTGTAATGATGAGCTCATCTAAGGTCCGAAAGCCTAATATCTTACACTTAAGATTTAAAAAATCTTACATACCCGGTACATCAACTTGGGCACTTAGAACAGAATTGATATTTCACATGATTCTTTTGCCCTATAAAAATGATTATTCTGGAAAAATGGAGTAAGTAAATGATCTGAAATTTTGCACACAAGTTATTTGTGTAGACAGATTTAAAAGTTTCAAAAATTATTTTCAGTTTTATTTTTTCAATGATTTAGTTTGTATGTTTGTTGTGTACATTGATAAAGTTGATATTCTTGTCTGAACTTGGGAAACTACCTATTACAGTTTTAAATGCAGTATTTTTTGTCTGGATAACATTATTTTAATATCATTTAAATACTTAGCAAGTGTAAATCTTTGCAATATTTAGAATGTGCCAAACCTAAAAAAAAAGAGATTTTTTTATCCAAAAAAAAAATGGTAAAAAATCTGACTGTGAAAGTTATTTGAATTTTTTTCAATTACATTGTATCCTTGATATTTCAGCATATTGTACTGCCGGTAATTACTGGTCAAAGGATAAGAGGGTTTGCATAAAGTGCGAGATTGGCTTTTATCAACCAAACCCGTCAGCGCTTCAATGTATCCCATGTAGTGATGGATGGATTACTTTGTTTACAGAATCCACGCTAGCAAGCCAGTGTAGACGTACGTATATCAGTTAAAATCACAAACTCCTTGGCAGAGTGGTCAAGGTTGCAAGTCTCGAACCACTTGCCCATTACCACTGTAGGGTCAAATTCTGTCCAGCGACTTTTGATTTTGTCATGTTTTTTACCAATCCAACCATGCAATTTTGGTACATTAGTGGTTCCGTGTAATAATGCCAGAGTGCTTGTTATAATGAAGGGAGGCACACCTGTGGCTAGTCTCCACATTGAGTTAAACACTTCAAACTTGTTTATTTGATTTAACAACTAATGTTATAAATACAGAAGAACTTCTATGAGTCAAACTATGATTATTGACGAAGTAAAATGAAAGTCCCGATTTTTCAACCTATAATTATATTCTTTATAAAAACCTATATATGAGTCAAAATTTTATGTGTTGAATTTTCGATGTGTCGAAGTTTTTTGCGGTCTGTATAGAATAAATCGGGCTCAATTTACCATAAATAAGTCAAAGTCCTTCGACTATTCGACACCTTCCATCTCGAGACATTTTTCACACCTTTCTTGGTCGAAAGATAATTACCGATCATCTTGTATGTGTTAATTACACAGCCGAGTGTTTTAACTACCTTTCCATGTGTTGAAATGTTCCAACTGCTACTATTTCAAATGAGTATAAGGCTTTCTAATGTGTGAGAGAACTTCTTAACAAATTCATTTCTTGAAATTTTTTATCGTTTTTTCACAATAAAATATTACAGCTCCTTGTGTAGAAGGTGAAGAATGGGATGATACTAGTAAAACTTGTGTTCCATGTCCTACTGGAGAATATCAGAATACTAAATATGAGGAAAATTGTAAAATTTGTGACGTCGGAAAGTCAACACAGTCCATTCGTTCAACGAAAGAGTCAGATTGTCAAGGTATGGTATATTATAGTTATATAGATTTTTAACCAGTTTTATGACCAAATATATATGGTTTTGTGGTAATTTAACAAAAGCCACTAGGTGAGGGTTAATGTACAAGTTCTTATTTCTAATTTTTGCAGAATATTTACTTCTGCTATTTCTGCAGATGGCAAAGAGACCGCAGATTTAAAACCTGCAGAAACATACACCATAATGTTTGTTTTGCCCCTACAGTAATTGTTGCAAACAGCAGTCATTATGCCATTTTGTTTTCATTGACAATGGTATGACTGATTCTAGTTATGTGCCTCACTTGTTCCAGCGAATTCCTGTAGAAATGATATACATATCCCAAAACCCACTAAATTTGAGTAATGGATTAGCCCATAACTTTGAAATTGGAACAATACATTTGGAAATTAAGGGATTTGAATATTATAAAATGCAAAATTGACCTACCATCAGTATAGAGCTTGTGTGCACTGCGAAGGCTGGTCTGATTCTATACGTGTGCACTGTGCAGGCTGGCCTGATTCTATATTTGTGGCATTTAAAGGCTAATCACTTGGTTACAGCAGGTTAACAGGTGAGGTCTTGTGATTTCTTGAAGTCAATCATCCATGAAGTGTCATGTTTTGTTATCCACATACATAACATGAATATACATGTACTAACATCTCTTTGCAGCAACTAGCTGTTTACCAGGACAGTGGAAATGTTTAACTGGGACTGGATGTGTAGATTGGGAAGGAAGGTGTGACAATGCTGTGACATGTGCTGACAGTAGTGATGAAGCTGGTTGTAGTGAGTGAATTATTGTTTTATTTTAGCTCCCCATTGGTGAAATTAGGATGACTTTTTGCAGTTCATTTCCTCTGGATTTGAATCTCATAGTTAGGGTCATTTGTAGTTATTCATTTACTGTTTATTTCCTTTGGGTTAAAATATCACAGTTTAGGATCATTTGTAGTTACCCATTTACTGTTTATTTCCTTTGGGTTAAAATATAATAGTTTAGGGTGATTTGTAGTTATCCATTTACTGTTCATTTCTTTTGGGTTTAAATCTCATATTAGGATCATTTGTAGTTATTCATTTACTGTTCATTTCCTTTGGGTTTAAATATTATAGTTTAGGATCATTTGTAGTTATCCATTTACTGTTTATTTCCTTTGTGTTTTAATCTCATAGTAAGAATAATTTGTAGTTATCCATTTACTGTTCATTTCTTTTGGGTTTAAATCTCATATTAGGATCATTTGTAGTTATCCATTTACTGTTTATTTTCTTTGTGTTTTAATCTCATAGTAAGAATAATTTGTAGTTATCCATTATTTTACTGTTCATTTCTTTTGGGTTTAAATCTCATATTAGGATCATTTGTAGTTATTCATTTACTGTTCATTTCCTTTGGGTTTAGATATTATAGTTTAGGATCATTTGTAGTTATCCATTTACTGTTTATTTCCTTTGTGTTTTAATCTCATAGTAAGAATAATTTGTAGTTATCCATTTACTGTTCATTTCCTTTTGGGTTTAAATCTCAAAGTTAGAATCATTTGTAGTTATCCATTTACTGTTCATTTTCTTTAGGTTTAAATTGCATAGTTAGAATCATTTGTAATTATCCATTATTTCCTTTGTGAGTGTAAATTTCATAGTAAGGATCATTTGTAGTTATCCATTTACTGTTTATTTCCTTTGGGTTTTTATCTCATGGTTTAGGTACATTTGTAGTTATCCATTTACTGTTTATTTCCTATGGATTTGAATCTTGACAGCGGTGTAAAATGCTTTCTTGAGAGGAAGCTTAGACTTTGTCATGCTAATTTCATTGGTAGGAGATTCTACACACTTTAAAGTTATCTGGAGTATATTTTTTGTAGTAAAGTCAGAAGTTTTTATTGACATCAAAAATGTTGTTGTAACTTAAACACTGTATCAAAAAATGCAGGAATGGCCCATACTAAATTTCTAATGGGGAAGGACTTCGAAATAAGAAATTAAAATTTCAGCTATCTTTTGCTTGAACAATCGTTAAACTACCACCATTTGATTGTAAATATTTGTGCATTTCTTAAACCTATAATATATTAATCTAAGTTTTATTATGTAAAACTGTTTCCTTATTTTTGTTACTTAAATTTGTTATTTTAACTTTTACAACACAAAATGTCTTAAACTGGCTAAATGTCCATCTTTCAATCTGGACTAAGCCATTCATCATTTTTTCACAGAAAATTTCATTACAAATTATTAAGTGACTGAATAGGCAACACTGTGCAGACCATGATCAGCCAACACACAGATATACAAGTTAATCTAGCCTTCTAGGTGTCACTGGTCTTACTGGTAACAGCTGGCTAAGGGTTTAGAGTTTTAATATAAAAAAGCTGAAAATAAGGCACCACTAGTACATGTGTGAAGTCATCATTTGATACCCACAGTTGATTAACCCATTACTTCATATACACGCCTTTTAACGCCTTTTTCACCCCCCCCCCCCCTTTTTGTTGTCTCAAATGATGAAAAAATGCCTTATTTAGGCCCCAAACACTTGTTTTTGTTTGAGAAATGTTGTTAAAAAAAGTGACCTCTTTTTCGGCGCGGCCCCCCAACCAAAAGATACATCAGGGGGTTGCCATAAGGGGGATGTGCCCCCTTCTGTTTGGGGGGTTTGAAGGGGGGCGGAGTCCCCCTCATCGCCAAGAAAAATTTTGGACTTGTGAGAGGCTGTAAATGACCCCAGATTGATCATAAGGTAACGTGTAACCAACGCTGAAAAGCATTTGACTCTATCTCAATCCATTGAGAAAGTGCAGCACTTTGAAATCAATTTTGATGGAAAAAATCAACGCAAAATAGTGATTTTTGGCAATTTTGAGATGTCCCCTTGTTGCCATGGTAACAGAAACTTTAAGCCTGAGCATGTTGTTGCAAGTGCAATGGTCCAGTCAACATTTGTGCCAAGTTTGATTAGTGTTGAAGCAGTTTTTATAGTATTATAGCAATTTGAACTTGTAACGGGAGACTTTTCAATGAAAACAGCCATTTTTCACAAAATGCTCATGAAGTAATGGGTTAATGAAAAAAATAAAAAAATCTACAAAACAACAATTTTTCTTCAAATTTATATGACAGGCCATGTTTAAACATGAAAAAACGCGATTTAGGGTAATTTCAAGTATTTTCATCATTTTCAGTTAACCCATTACTTCATATACACGCCTTTTAACGCCTTTTTCACCCCCCCCCTTTTTGTTGTCTCAAATGATGAAAAAATGCCTTATTTAGGCCCCAAACACTTTTTTTGTTTGAGAAATGTTGTTAAAAAAAGTGACCTCTTTTTCGGCGCGGCCCCCATCCAAAAGATACATCAGGGGGTTGCCATAAGGGGGATGTGCCCCCTTCTGTTTGGGGGGTTTGAAGGGGGGCGGAGTCCCCCTCATCGCCAAGAAAAATTTTGGACTTGTGAGAGGCTGTAAATGACCCCAGATTGGTCATAAGGTAACGTGTAACCAACGCTGAAAAGCATTTGACTCTATCTCAATCCATTGAGAAAGTGCAGCACTTTGAAATCAATTTTGATGGAAAAAATCAACGCAAAATAGTGATTTTTGGCAATTTTGAGATGTCCCCTCGTTGCCATGGTAACAGAAAATTTAAGCCTGAGCATGTTGTTGCAAGTGCAATGGTCCAGTCAACATTTGTGCCAAGTTTGATTAGTGTTGAAGCAGTTTTTATAGTATTATAGCAATTTGAACTTGTAACGGGAGACTTTTCAATGAAAACAGCCATTTTTCACGAAATGCTCATGAAGTAATGGGTTAATGAAAAAAATAAAAAAATCTACAAAACAACAATTTTTCTTCAAATTTATATGACAGGCCATGTTTAAACATGAAAAAACGCGATTTAGGGTAATTTCAAGTATTTTCATCATTTTCAGTTAACCCATTACTTCATATACACGCCTTTTTCACACCCCCCCCCTTTTTGTTGTCTCAAATGATGAAAAAATGCCTTATTTAGGCCCCAAACACTTGTTTTTGTTTGAGAAATGTTGTTAAAAAAAGTGACCTCTTTTTCGGCGCGGCCCCCCAACCAAAAGATACATCAGGGGGTTGCCAGAAGGGGGATGTGCCCCCTTCTGTTTGGGGGGTTTGAAGGGGGCGGAGTCCCCCTCATCGCCAAGAAAAATTTTGGACTTGTGAGAGGCTGTAAATGACCCCAGATTGGTCATAAGGTAATGTGTAACCAACGCTGAAAAGCATTTGACTCTATCTCAATCCATTGAGAAAGTGCAGCACTTTGAAATCAATTTTGATGGAAAAAATCAACGCAAAATAGTGATTTTTGGCAATTTTGAGATGTCCCCTCGTTGCCATGGTAACAGAAAATTTAAGCCTGAGCATGTTGTTGCAAGTGCAATGGTCCAGTCAACATTGGGCCAAGTTTGATTAGTGTTGAAGCAGTTTTTATAGTATTATAGCAATTTGAACTTGTAACGGGAGACTTTTCAATGAAAACAGCCATTTTTCACAAAATGCTCATGAAGTAATGGGTTAACATGTAACATAACATGTTAATGGTTTGGCTGTAGGTATCGGACTATGGTATAAAGTGAGGTCAGACTACTTTCATATAATGTTGGGTTAGACTCTTTCATACTTATATCATTTAGAAAGTCAGTATTGAGGGAATCATTTATTTAATGTTCTAATTTTTTCATACAGTGTAACTTCTGAAAACCGAACACTCATGGGTCTTGTCAAAAAGTTCGGATTTCAGAGGTTTCCGGAATTCAGAGGTTTTCGGATAATGTGGACAAGACTAAGCCATTACATGTCACTAAATGTCAAGGAAAATGTGGCCATTACTGTTATATCATATATAATAGTCTTTTAATCAAGATAAAGATGTGAAGGAAAAGAAAACATTGATATTTAACACTTAATTTAACTTGCATATTGTCCGATGCTAGTTAATTAATTAGTGCATCAAATGCAATAAAATCCCTAAAGACTTTTGATGCACACATTGTCCCAATTAATTGTCATTCAATCCGCTAATAAACACTTCAAATTAACTGACCGCCGTAAATTACTTTAATTGACCGCATCACTTCAAACATGCCATTTCTCAGTTTGTGATTTTAACGCGTGTCCAATTACACGATCACCGCTAATTAGTAAACAATTGACAGGGAGATTAAATCTTCCTGCAGGGTAAACATTCTCGATTTACAATGTATTTCACACCTTTAGATATTTCCGGATTTTGGAGGTAAAATTGCATTGATTTGACTCTAATTTTACTAAAATATCGTCCGGAATTCAGAATTTAGAAGTTCCGGAATTCAGAAGTATTATATTAATAGAAAATAGAAGGGGGAAAACCGGGACCGAAAAAATTGTTCGGTTTTTAGAAGTTTCCGGATTTCAGAAGTTCCGGAATTCGGAAGTTACACTGTATATCAAATTATCAGATTGTGTGCCAGGAACTTATTACGACACAGCATCAGACACATGTAAGAATTGTGAAACAGGGTCATATCAGGATAAAAGTGGTCAGTTAACATGTATACAATGCCCAGTAGGTTCTGACTCACCAACAAATTCTGACAGTTTGTCGGACTGTGAAGGTATGCATTCTATATTACATGGATTTATTGCACCATTTAGGAAACTACCACAGTTGAAGAAAATTGATTTGATATATCTATTTATGCCTTCTTTGTGAATGAAAATCACAAGTTGCAAATAAAATTAATAGTGCCAAGCATATATGGTGTTGATGTGTTGTACTTCTCCATTTTCACTTATTTTGATGTGCATAATATGATACGATTAGTAGTCTAAAGTTATATTTAAAGTACATGTACCAACATATACATAATTACAATGTATTGTGTTTTTGTATTTTCTGATCGTAAGATCAGTAAATACATAGCTAACATCCACGGTCTAACACAAAATTTCCTAACAGTCCTAACAACGCAAAGTAGTTCTCACTCAAAAACTGCTTAAAAACCAGCAATTTAAAAGAAAGAATAATTTTTAATGTAGGCATTTAACGAATTACAGTGCATTAAAAGTTTAGATTAGTCAATAGAAATGTGAGGTTACAATCACAAATTTCGCGGATGAATATCTTTTTTACCCAATGAAAAATGTTCGGTTATTTCCGTAAAGCTTCGGATTATCATGAATATCATTTTAATCAATGAAAATGCTATTTTTAGCTATGTCGATTAATGAATACTCCAGAGCGTAGTACACAAATAAATCTGACTGCCGAGTAGTGGAATATATACATGTCGGACTGTTTTGGCGAGAAGATTTTCGCTAAATTATTTTCATCAGTGTTAAACAACAGGTTTATCGTGAACAAAAATACCTCGAAATTAATAAGGATTGCAAACACGAAATGGAAATTCTCAATTTAGAATTACATAATGTATTCGTTTTTATTCAAGGTATATATGTATTACTTCGCCGTGGTGCAGAGATAAGCGGTCTCGTTGAGGGTGTGAGAGGCCTATGGTTCAAATCCTAGTCGAGGCAATTCTATTTTTTTTTTTTCATGCAAAATTCCATATACATGTATCAATCTCAAACTGTTATAGAAGAAAATCAAAATGCTGTCGCTGCGTAAGATGAATTATAGTATATAAAAATAAACTTATATAGGAAAGTACATACAGATAGTCAGTATGATTTAGATTGCAAAGATCAGAAAATACCATAGAGCTGCAGCCCTTTGATTAATGGGTGAAATCTCAGCAAATCAGTGGATATTTACATTTTTTAATTTTCTATAGATGTATGTGAAAGTGGGGAGCAATATGTCCCTGGTAACCTGCCTGCTGATAGATGTGTACAGTGTCCTGTTGGAACATACAGAAAAAAGGGCAGAGATGACCCTCTTGTCTGCATAGAATGTCCAACACCATTTACAACAGAAAATCCAGGGGCAGATGACATTGGCTCTTGTGTTCGTAAGTATACTCTTGTGTTCGTAAGTATACTCTTGTGTTTGTAAGTACACTTTTGTGTTTGTAAGTACACTCTTGTGTTCATATTACTTTAATGTGTTCGTAAGTAATTTCTTGTGTTTATAAGTACATTCTTGTGTTTTTGTTAGCAAGTACAATCTTTTGTTTATAAGTACACTCTTGTGTTCATAAGTACACTCTTGTGTTTGTAAGTACACTCTTGTGTTTGTAAGTACACTCTTTTATTCATAACTACACTCTTGTGTTTGTAAGTATACTCTTGTGTTTGTAAGTACAATCTTTTGTTCATAAGTACACTCTTGTGTTTGTAAGTACACTCTTGTGTTTGTAAGTACACTCTTGTGTTTGTAAGTACACTCTTGTGCTTGTAAGTACACTCTTGTGTTCGTAAGTACACTCTTGTGTTTGTAAGTACAATCTTTTGTTTTTTAAGATGTTGTGTTCATAAATACTCAAGCTTCTGTGTCGGGGCAGTATTTTTATTTAAATAGATTTAAGATTTTTCATTATTTGCAGGTAAGTATATCTGTTCTTACATAAGTCTTGAAGTTCCATAGATAATTCCATACATTACTTCTTTCAGCCAAGTGTCCAAAGGGACAGTACTACAGGGTGTTACCGAATGAAGGCTGTGTATTATGTCCCCTTGGTTATACCCAGGACAAGGAGTATAATCAGTATTCCTGTGAGAAGTGCCCACCTGGTACTACCACTCTAATTTCTGATCTGAACTCATGTACAGGTAAAATATTGTTAAATATTATCATTGCCCATTTCTTGTAGAATGACCAATGTGGGGTCAAATGTTACCTTCACTTTACTATCATAAATGGTTATTTTTATGCTTTTATCATCAAATATTAAAAAAAAATCCAAATCATCAATTGAAAAAAGGCAGCTTCTATAGTAATATAGACCTAGGAAATCTAAAAGAGAGGCTGTCATTCCACATTAATATTTATGAAGAATAAGAACATTATACGAGTACATGGCAAATAACAACAGTTTCTTAAAGCATTACCTTTCTAGCAAAGATGAAACAATCTTAATTGGGCAGTAAATTGAAAAAAATGTCTGTACTAGATGATCTGACACTAATACATCTGATTTTATATTCCACTGGCGTTCCTTGTGTTCAGAATTTTTATTTGTCTCTTACGAAGAATTTCATAATCAAAAGCATAAATGTTCACTGCCAACTGGAGTGTGTCTCATCGAAATCTGTCAGAGAAGTACTGTCTAGTATGAAGTTCTTATGTCATTTGGGACTTTAAACTTACCTTCTATATAATGACATTTGTGTATAGTGTACCTATTGTTTGACATTTTGACATATTCTGTCTGTGCACCTATTTTTATACCCCCGCACAACAAAGTTGTAAGGGGGGTATACTGGAATCAGCTTGTCCGTCCGGCCGTCCTGCTGTCCGGCTGTCCGTCGGTTTTTTCTTGTCCGCCCAATAACTTAAGATTCCTTTGACCCTTAATCTTCATATTTGGCATGGAGGTTAGTCATGATTAGTAGATGACCCCTATTGATTTTTAGGTCAAAGGTCAAGGTCACAGGGGCCTTGACTTCAAAAAGCTTGTCCGCCCAATAACGTAAGGTTCCTTTGACCTACAGTCGTCATATTTAGCATGGAGGTTAGTCATGATAAGTAAATGACCCCTATTGATTTTGAGGTCACTAGGTCAAAGGTCAAGGTCACAGGGGCCTTGACTTCAAAAAGCTTGTCCCCCCAATAACTTAAGATTCCTTTGACCCACAGTCTTCATATTTGGCATGGAGGTAAGTCATGATTAGTAGATGATCCCTATTGATTTTGAGGTCACCAGATCAAAGGTCAAGGTCACAGGGGCCTTGACTTCAAAAAGCTTGTCCGCCCAATAACTTAAGATTCCTTTGACCCACAGTCTTCATATTTGGTATGGAGGCTAGTCATGATAAGTAGATGACCCCTATTGACTTTGAGGTCACCAGGTCAAAGGTCAAGGTCACAGGGGCCTTGGCTTCAAAAAGCTTGTCCGCCCAATAACTTAAGATTCCTTTGACCCACAGTCTTAATATTTGGCATGGAGGTTAGTCATGATAAGTAGATGACCCCTATTGACTTTGAGGTCACCAGGTCAAAGGTCAAGGTCACAGGGGCCTTGACTTCAAAAAGCTTGTCCGCCCTATAACTTAAGATTCCTTTGACCCACACTCTTCATATTTGGCATGGATGTTGATCATGTTTAGTAGATGACCCCTTTTGATTTTGAGGTCACTGGATCAAAGGTCAAGGTCATAGGGACTTTGACTTCAAAAAGTTTGTCCACCCATTAACTTAAGATTCCTTTGACACACAGTCTTCATATTTGGCATGGATGTTGATCATGACTATAAGGTGACCCCTATTGATTTTGAGGTCACTGGGTCAAAGGTCAAGGTCACAGGGACCTTGACAAAAAAAAAGCTTTTCTTCTCAATTGCTAAAGAAAGTCCTGTCCGCAATGTATTGATTTTGACATTTTCACATTTGAAGCATGTAGAATACATAACTTGGCAATGCACTGGCTTAGTAACCTCAGATTTGGCAGGGAGGTTGTCCTTGAGCTCTAAATGGCCACTGTTGATTCCGACAAAGTGGTATGCGGGGGTATTCACGCCATGATAGTGGCAGTTCTAGTCTATATTTAAACATTTGCTGTCTGTGAACCTATTTTCTGTACATGTATTTAGATATTTGCAGTCTGTGAACCTATTTTCTATATTTAGACATTTTCTGTCTGTGAATCTATTTTCTATATTTAGACACTTGCTGTCTGTGAACCTATTTTCTATAGACATTTGCTGTCTGTGAACCTATTTTCTATATCTAGACATTTGCTGTCTGTGAACCTTTTTCTAAATTTAGACATGTCCAGCCTGTGAACCTATTTTCTACATTTAGACATTTGCTGTCTGTGAACCTTTTTCTAAATTTAGACATTTCCAGTCAATGATTCTGTTTTCTATATTTCGGTATTAAATGTATTCTGTTACTTAGAAATCTGCGGTCTGTGTACATACATTGTATATTTCTATATTTATAAATTTGTGGTCTGTTTATCTATTTTGAGCTATTAAGACAATTTCAGTTTTAGAACTTTTTACTTATTTTGTATATTTAGACATTTGCGGTTTGGGAGAGTACCTGCCACTTGGTGGCACTGTGGTGGCAGATTGTAAAGCATGTGAGCCTGGCTACTACAAAGATGCGTCTGTGTATTTATGTAAAAAATGTCCAAATGGGTTTACTTCTCCAAGTGGATCAGATTCTGTGAATGACTGTTATGGTATGAATGTTATTCTTTTACATTTTTTAATATTGTAACACGCTACAAACTATTCTCTTATCAAACAGATTGGGCAATCAAGTGCATTATTAAACGATATAGACACAGCATAAAAAAGGAATGCTTACATGTCATATGACGTCAGATATGACATCAATACAACAAATTTATCGTTTCACAGTTTATCGTTCAAATGCTTTGTAATTAATCACGCAGGCCTATCGGCCTTTGTGATTATATTTCTATGCATTTGAACTCGAACTATGCATTATTCTACAACAATGCACTCAAAATTGATATGGATTTCCTAATTAAATTATTAAATCTATTGTATTCTTAACATAAAAGCAAATAAAACTGTTTTATAAAGAAACTAGATAGTCAATGAAATTGTATGCAATAAAAAGGAAATGGCCCTCGAAAAACCAATTTATGCTTTGCAACCACTGATTGCACGTTATCAGGATCCCTGTGTTTGCTATTAGTTTTTTTATTTAATAAGTTTGTAACAAAAATGATGGTCCTATCGATGCACAGCTGGCAGGGTGTTGATCTTGTGTAGAAACCATTACTTTGGGTTTTTTGTGACGTGTCAAATAATAAAATAAAATTTGTTTTTTTTGTAAATGTGTGAACCGGGGAAAAAAGTTCATTTAAACAACATTAAAAAATTGGGTGCAACCATGGACCGGGTTTATCGAAAACTCCGCCCATAAATAGACAAAACTTTTCACCTGCCGCAGGAATCTAAAAATTAAGCGGAATGCTATATCTAACATTATGTCTTGGTAAGAAACTATATGCATATACTTACATTTATATATGTATGTACTTAATTTTATATGTATGTACTTATGTTTATATATATGTACTTATGTTATTGTTTATAGTATGAACTTATGCTTATATGTATGAACTTATGTTTATATTTTTGTACTTTTGTAATGGATGTATTTGGAACTCTCCATTGGTATTTCATTGATATTGATAATAGAGTAAAACTGTTGTTCTATTAAATTGAATAAATTCTGACCATAATTTTTTTTTATAAACTGCGACATTATGCTAATTTTTTCACTGTCAAGACGAGCTGAATTAGTAATATTCATAATATATTTTAAAAGAATGAGTCTATAATAATTATCATAGTAATTGACTAATAATTGATAATTACAGCAGCTGTTTCTGAAAATTGACAAAATATAAGAACTAACAAAATTGTAAACAGTTTGCCTCACCCTTTTTTTACATTTGAATGTAACCGCAAATTTTTTTAACAATATTTTCCTTGGGAAACATGGGTTATTGATTATTTCTGCAAAGTAAAAAAAAGGTGAATTTTGGCAAATGTAAAGTTATTTTGACTTTAACATGAACATTCACCATTTACACTGGAACAGGCATTATAACTCTGTTGTAATTATGTTTGTTGATTATTCTGCCGTGAGTTTACATGTTTATTCATTGACTAGTTCTAATGATTTGAAAATCGTTTTTCTATTTTGTCTATTGTTTTTTTTTTTATAGATTTGTGTAATGATGGTTTGGAGCTATCTGCAGACAAAGATTCCTGTGTGGAATGTCCGGTGGGCAAGTATCGCGCCCAGGGATCTGGTGATGTTGCATGTGTCTCTTGCCCAGTGGGACTGCACAACCAGCACTGTGGATCAGCCTCTTTGGCAGGGAATGAAACGTATGTTACATATTTAATAATTAGCATTGGAATTTTTAAAAATTTTATCACATTAACCATTAAAGATGAAATAATTATTCTTATACATTTACATTATAAAAACATATTTCTAAAATAATTTTTGGGGTTTTTGAATTTGTTGTTTTCATTCTTAGTTTTTAATAGTTTAATGGAAATTTGAACTAAAATTTGCTGTCATTGTTTATTTAGAATAAATAATAAAGAAAAACAGTCTTTTATATCCCGTGTTGGAGTTCAGATGTGAAAGATTGCGCTCCAAAACAACCATATGTTTTACCAAGCAAATGAAAAATCACCTTTGAGATATATTTCTTTCAAGATTTTTAACATGACTCATCAAATAAATGCTTGCCGTACCCGATTATTAAGATAAAATTCACCTTGGATTTTTTCTGTACAAGTTTCAAATTGTTCAAATTTTATAGGTACTTACATGTATAATATTACAATCACCATGTCTAAAATATAGAACCCCAAAGTGATTTATTGCATAACTTAAAGCACACTTTCATTATAAATTCTATATTCAACAGAAGAACAAATGAGCAGTTGTGTTAGAATTATTGTTTAGTTTCCAAGTTACAAGAATAAACCTAATTATTTTTAGGTTTTTTCAAAAATTTTTGTTTTTAGGTGACTGCGGTTTGGTCAAAGGGTTATTAAGTCGCTTACTGCATGTGGTGGAATTGATGGTCGGGAAATACCGGTTTTGGAGGGTTCAGACTAATGTTTGTGGCAATGTCCTTAATGGAAAATACACTTGGCACTGGATTCAAACAGTTTTTTGACAACTGTATAGGTAATATTATAGACTTTTTGTTAAATTTTCATCAAGACTTTTACTTTGGTATTTAGAATATTTGGGGTTTTCCCAGCTAATCAAGGGGTACAAACAAACCTTTACAGTTACAGCTTTGAAATGAAGCAGCTCAATAGGTTGACTAATCAGTTGTGATAGTGCACCATGAAGCTGTAAGGGTAAAAGATTATTTCCAGAACTGTCATATTAAAAAAACCCTTATTAGAGTCCCTTAAAAATTATTAATGGATTTGTCCTGCTTTGAATTTTGAAGCAAAGTTGTTGGATTGTAATCATTTGGGGTGGATTGGGAGGTCCGGGTCAAAGTTCTGAGGAGGGAGAATTAAAGCACTTCAAAAAAGGGAATTTAATGTATATTGCTATTCATAATGTCAGCCTTTTGTTGTACATTGTTTTTCCACAATTTTAATGTTGTTTTATTGCAAAAGAAGAATAAGAAAAAATATTTGAACAGTTATTATTGATAAAAATTTAACATTTCAAAATAAGTATAAAACCAGTTATCTTATTGTCATAAAGGGGAAATCATCAATATTTTTCTGTTAGTCAATCCTGATTTGGAAAAAAATAAAGTTTTTTTTTTTTGCAATTTATTAAAATGTATAGAAATTATGAAAAATCACCCTAAACATATAGGTAGGTAGGTATCCAGTTTGAAGGACATGTCTTAAACTATGCTTTCTGCTGTTTAATAAAATGGACGTATTTCTTAGCAGTGATGGCAAAAAGTCATCAGACAAAAAACATGACATGGGAATTTATAAACAATACACATCATAATGGTATGCACAGAAAGTGTATTTCAGTGTAGATATGTAAAACTCGGTATATATTGATGTATTATGAATATTTTACCTCCAGTATTGATATTTTCATTGATGTTTCTCGGCATTTGTCTAGACTGCAGAAACTGAGTAGATTTCATGGATGTTCAAGCTTATCTGTCTACATGTATATAATTGTTGCATATGAAAATTATTATATGTGTTACAAATTACTGGGGGTCTATGCATCCTTTTAAATCCCGAGGGGAGGGGTTTTTACCCCCGGTTGTTGTTTTTAACACCCCGGTAAACCAAAAATCATCTTTTTTGTTTTTGCACCATATTTTACCTAATTTTTGGGCGCCATAAAACCAAATAAAAAAAAAAAAATTTTTTTTAGTTAAGAATCAAAATTTGATAATAACTAATTTTTTTTAAACAAATTAATAAAAACAAATTTAAAAAAAAAACCTTAACTTTTTTATGCATTTTATTCATCCTTATATCTTTTCTCTTTAAACCATATCAAATCAAATTAAAAAATTTATAGGAAAGCATTATTTTACCGCACTATAAACAAAATTTAAATTCACTTAAACAAAAAAATGCCCTATGGAATTGATACCCCCGTGACAACAAAGTGCCCCTTTTTAAAAAAATTAAAAATATGGTATCTATTATGACTTTCAGTTTCAGTCCAAATATTCCAGTAATAGATAATAAAAATTCCATTTCCATGATATCCAAAAATCCATTTCCATGATATCCAAAATCCATTTTCCTAATATCAGATATTTTCCATTCCATGATATTCCATTTCCATAATATCAAAAATTAAAAATATGCTACTTAAATTGATAAATACTAAAGAAACTATTATATATCTCCGCAATAAGCCCACCTGTTCCGAGCAGACTTAAAGCATGCTAATTAAAAATAAAAGAAATTATAGGATATTGTCCCTCCAAAATTGGTTTTCTGAACAATAATGTCAGCCATATTCTGAAGAGAGTAAATCCATACCTAAGTTTAATATTTAAAAACATATTAATTCTTTAAATTATTTCTAAAAAATAGAGTTGCACCATTCGATTGTCAGCGGCCTACAAATTTTCAGACAAAATTCAGTGCAGCACCTAAATGCAGATTTTTTTTTTTTTTTTTAAATGTCACATGCTCTCTTAAATTGTCCTGACCTAGTTTACATATACAAAATTTCAGCACAAATATCATTTCACATTTTTGCTCAATCCACAAAGTTCATATTGTCACACTTTTGTAGTTTACTGTAAACAAGAATGATGACTGTTAGGAATTTCTTGCACCAAGATACCATTGACTTTTGTGCTGTTGTCTTCTGTATGATAGTAAACAGTTACCATGCTTCATCTTATTCTGAAAATATACAACTCGAAGAGCAGAAAACAAGCCTGGTTCAATTCTATCAATGTTTATTGTACATTCATGCCTTAATTTTGGGTGAGGTGGGTGGGTGAATTTGAAAATTTTCTCTAGTCTTTCCAGTGTGGAAGCTGAGGTTGAAAGGAATTTCCCATGTGAACCTAAACAGGAAGTGACCTTTAGCCTTCCATCTATTTTCAGAAAATTATCAAAGGGAAATTACTCAAAATTTAAGTATGAAAACATCTTGTAGCAGTTACATCCCTTATACAGTTATATCAAGTATTCTGCTAAAATAATAAGGCCTTATTGACTTAAACAATAAGACACATTATTTTAAGACTGAATTAATACAAAACAATTAAAACAAAAAACCTTAACTTTTGATGCATTTTATTCATCCATTATATCTTGTACTCTATAATCCATATCAAGTCAAAATTAAACATTTATAGGAATGGCATTATTTGACCGCACTGATAAACCAAATATTAATTCCACTGGTAATCAAACAAGTGCCATATGGAATTTGATACCCTACGCTGACAATCGAATGGTGCCACCTTTAAAAATTTAAAAATATGGTATTTATTATGACTTTCAGTTTCAGTCCAAATATTCCAGTAATAGATAATAAAAATTCCATTTCCATGATATCCAAAAATCCATTTCCATGATATCCAAAATCCATTTTCCTAATATCAGATATTTTCCATTCCATGATATTCCATTTCCATAATATCAAAAATTAAAAATATGCTACTTAAATTGATAAATACTAAAGAAACTATTATATATCTCCGCAATAAGCCCACCTGTTCCGAGCAGACTTAAAGCATGCTAATTAAAAATAAAAGAAATTATAGGATATTGTCCCTCCAAAATTGGTTTTCTGAACAATAATGTCAGCCATATTCTGAAGAGAGTAAATCCATACCTAAGTTTAATATTTAAAACATATTAATTCTTTTAATTATTTCTAAAAAATAGAGTTGCACCATTCGATTGTCAGCGGCCTACAAATTTTCAGACAAAATTCAGTGCAGCACCTAAATGCAGATTTTTTTTTTTTTTTTTAAATGTCACATGCTCTCTTAAATTGTCCTGACCTAGTTTACATATACAAAATTTCAGCACAAATATCATTTCACATTTTTGCTCAATCCACAAAGTTCATATTGTCACACTTTTGTAGTTTACTGTAAACAAGAATGATGACTGTTAGGAATTTCTTGCACCAAGATACCATTGACTTTTGTGCTGTTGTCTTCTGTATGATAGTAAACAGTTACCATGCTTCATCTTATTCTGAAAATATACAACTCGAAGAGCAGAAAACAAGCCCAGATAGCATTCTATATGGGACCCATGTGGGGCCCATATGGGCACCTATATGGGTCCCATTTGGGCTGCCCATATGGGCCCCATATAGGAAGTGCAACCGGGTTCCAAATGGGTCCCATCTGGGCAGCCCTTATACTCAATATGGGATTCACATGGGCCCCATCTGGGCAGCCCATGTACACAATATGGGCCCCATATGGGCAGCCCTTGTACTAAATATGGGTTTCAAATGGGCAGCCCAGATACTTCCATTATGGGTAGATTTTGAATTCCGGGGTAGATATATTTTCAATTACTTCAATTATAAGTTTGCTGAACGTTTAGATAGCAACCGCTTGCTACAGAGCATGATTCTTCTGTACTTGCGTTAAATATTCAAGTGATGTTTTAACTCATTCTGTTTCCTGGAACAGACAGATTATGTCACAAAGCCTTTATGATCATGCAAGAAAACAATACACAATGTATATGCTTTAACAATGTAACTTTATTTATTAATCTCACTTATGGTAAGTGTATATCATATATATACAGATTCTCAATACATTCTGTGGACGCCTGATGTCAACAAAGAAACCTTTACTTATGTAAATAAACTTAGAAAAGTGTACAATATAAAAATTCGAGTAAACTGTACATATTTGTAAATC